TTAGTATTTTTTATTCTATATTTATAAAATTACTACTTTTTTATTATTTTTTATAATACTTTTATATTTTATATTAATAGAATTAAAATATATTATTTATAATTAAGCTAGATTAAATTCTATTATAGTTTTTTTAGAAAATTATTTTTATATTCTTTTTTAAAATATAGAGAATAATACTAGCTCTAAATAACTTAATAAGCTACTTCTATATATTAAAAGTAAAAATAATATAAATTATTAGTATATTTATCTATTATTTAAATAATAAATAGAGGATATTTTTTATAATAATACTAATAAAGTAAATTATATATAATAATACTTTTTATTTATTTATTTTATAGATTATAAATAAAAATTATAATATTATTAATCTTTTTATTATTTATTAAATAAATTTATTTATAATTTTAATTACTCTAAACTTTAAAAAATATATAATAAATTTAAGCTATCTACTTATATTTATATAATATATTTAAAATATTATTTTACTATAATATAGTATTAGAATTAAATAAATTATAAATATATATATATTTAAATAAATAATAATAATAATAATTAGTATTTCTATAACTAGTAATATTAAATTAACTAGATAAGTAGTATTAATATAGAGCTACTAATCTATTATATAATAAATATATTTTTTTTATTATTAGTATAATTATTATATTTTTTTTATTATTAATATATAAGTAATATTAGTACTATATTACTTACTAGAATACTAAAAATAATTAAGCTATTATAGTATTATAGAATTAGTAGATTAATATAATTCTAGTATTCTATATAATAATTATAGTAACACTATAGTGTTCCGAAGCTACATATTTCCGGTATGGAAGCGAAAGACTTCTTGGGATAACGGATGACAACTAAACTTTACCTAGACAGGCTGAAGTAGTAATATGCTCCAAATCCTTCTGTATTCTAGCGTCGTTGTACTGTTGAGCGAGGTCTGTTCGTGGTTGGCCTGCCGGCTTAGTAATGGCAATGTTTCTGCGGATTTCGCGGTTAACGCGAGTTAAAGTTTAAAAAGTGACCAATCATATGGAAGTAGTCACCTGTTCTGCTAAAACCTGTGGACGGAAGAGCTCGCAAGGGGAAAAGATGTTGGTTGGCGCCTAGACAAATCATACATCTAAGGGACAACGCAATCCGCCTGGGACACTGTTCAAATGCCGCGGAGCCCTTCACCACATCGAGACGAGCGAAGGAGCCGGTCCCCCGCGAGGCGGCACGACGAAGGAGAGAGGCATAGAGAAACTGCGAGGAAAAAGCAATCGTCCGGTTTTCGGTGGAAAGAAAAGCGACGCGACGATGATAGGGACAGGGAGAGAGATTCGGGGAGGTCCAGAGGTTTAGAGCGTGGATATCGCGGTGGTGATAGGCGAAGGTCTCCATTTAGAGACCGTGATAGAGAAAGGGACAGAGACTTGGACCGTGGCCGTGACCGCGAACGCAGGGCAGCAAGGGACGACCCAAGCGACCAGAAGCCTGTCGAGAAAGAGAAGGATAAGAAGAAAAAGAAGCCATCTGCTGCCCCGTCTAACGAGCCTATGATCATTGTCAATGTCAACGATAGACTAGGCACCAAAGCTGCCATTCCATGCCTTGCTTCAGATCCTATTCGTAAGCCTTCCTGGCTCGCCTTATACCCTGCCCTGACCTAGGCTAATATGTCCTGTAGGTCTCTTTAAAGCTCAAGTAGCTGCTCGCATTGGACGGGAACCACATGAGATACTTCTTAAAAGACAAGGAGAGAGGCCGTTCAAAGACCAACTTACTTTGGAAGACTACGGTGTCAGCAATGGCGTACAGCTAGACTTGTGAGTTGCCACCTACTTCCCTTTTCATATCCTGGCTTAGACATGCTGACTTTGATATAGGGAGGTGGACACTGGAGATTGACGCGGTTGCATACGGATATCTCCCTCTATGCACGCTCGAGATGAAGAAGCTTGCGGTCATGAGCTTTGTTATGTTATAATGAACCATCCTGATTTTCTCACGCCGCTGTCTGGACTGTGATGAAGCAAAAAGAGCCCTCCAAATTAATACATCTGTTATAATATATTTTGGTTCCTTTTTGGTTCTACACCCTGTTCGTGTACTAGGTATATCTGCTGCACCCCGGATAAACTCCGGCAGTAGCTTGGTAACCATCTCCCTGTCTCTCCCTCTTTCCTGCCCTCCCTCTTCCTTGCTCTCCTCCATTGCCCCCCTGCCGCCTCTACTCCCTCTACTATACTCCTCCCCATATCTCTCGCCCCGTCCTCCATCACTCTGCCTCACCTTCCGCTGCATCATGTGTCGTCTTGCCTAAACCGGCCGCCAAAACGTCATGCTGACTAACAATCGCGCCTTTCCGCTTTAGGCATAACATGCGCCTTATCCAACCAATCAGGATGTTCCATTGCATGTGACCGTCGGCGGAAAAACTGGGCTGCAAAAATGGAAATTTCGAAACATCCACAAATTCCGTGACTGACTTTTTGCCTCATTATTGTGTCCGGGCCAAACTCTCGCTTGCAACCATGCTTGCCTCCCGTCTCTTGAGCCTGCTCTCCTCCTCCATGCTGCCCTAACAATGATGTTGAGAGCGAGATTGTGATTACCATCCTCCTGGAATCAGTGATAGCATCTTTTGCTTTATTTTTCGCTGTTGTCTTTTACGAGTTTGATTGGCCTTTGAAAATTTACTACAGCCGCGGCCGTTTGACAAACCCTCATCGATCGGCATTTCTATACTGCTCGGACTTTACATCATAACCATCAGGGATCCCATCTGGCACACCACAGACCTTAGGAAGACTTGCTAGAACTATTTCACCATGGTCCGAAACCTCGTTGTCCTGGGTGGTAGCTCGCATCCTCAGCTGAACGCTACGATCTGCAGACAGCTGGGCATTCCTCCAGTCAACGTTCTGTTGACAAAATTTTCTGTTGGTGAGACACGCGTTGAGATCAATGAGTCGATCCGAGGGAAAGATGTCTACATTATCCAATCTGGCGGAGGAAAAGTGAACGATCACTTGATGGAGCTTTTCATTACTATCTCGGCTTGTAAGACTGCCTCTGCCAAGCGAGTCACTGCCGTCCTTCCTCTCTTCCCATACTCTCGCCAAAGCGACATTCCTTACAACAAAGCCGGAGCTCCCCTCGTAAAATCGGCCACTGTCGCCAAACCAGAGGCTAGCAACGCTTACACCTTCGAGAGCACCCCGCCTACCCCACCGGCTGGAAATATAGAAAGCAACGGGCTCCAGAACGGACTAGAAGGGCTTCACAAGGGACTCGCTCAAGTCCAGCTGAATGATCTCGAGAACACTGGTTCTCTCAACAAGGCTGTGCGACTTTCTCACTACGTTAATGGGATAAAACGCAGTGACACCCTAGATTCCCAAAAGTCTGAAAATGGCCACCACCGTATCCCTACTAGCCACAGCGATGAAACAGCAAGCAATGCGTCGAATACCTCAAAGATGAACGCATTCCAACCCCGCCCCGGTTACCGACAATGGGTTGCCCAAGCAGGAACCTTGGTGGCGGATCTGCTCACCTGTGCTGGTGCAGACCATATTATCACCATGGACTTGCACGACCCTCAATACCAAGGGTTCTTTGACATCCCCGTTGACAACCTTTACGGACGTCCTCTTCTGAAAAGATATATTCAACAAAATATCCCCAATTTCCACGAAGCAGTCATAGTCAGTCCCGATGCTGGTGGAGCTAAGCGAGCTACAGCTATTGCAGACTCCATGGGCATGGAGTTTGCCCTTATTCACAAGGTAGAACCACAGCTATTCTCTAACCATCCCGTATGTTTTTCCTGCAAGCTTGACTGACGTCCTCTCCTCCAGGAACGTCGTCCCACCAAGATCACGGACCGTCAGAACGCCACGATGATGCTTGTCGGAGACATCAAAGACCGAACAGCTATTCTCATCGATGACCTCGCTGATACATCCAACACTATTACCCGCGCCGCGAAGTTGTTGAAAAAGGAAGGAGCTTCAAAGGTCTACGCCTTGGTCACACATGGTATCTTCAGTGGCGATGCCATCGATAGGATAAATGCCAGTGCTCTGGACAAAGTCGTTGTCACAAACACAGTCTCCCAGGAAAACAACCTAAAACGATGTCCTAAACTTGAAGTTCTGGAAGTTGGCCAAGTTTTTGCTGAGGTATTTCCAAATATCCTATCCCAAATCAGAAATGCTCGATTTTGAGGCAGTGCGCTTTTTACCATATTACTCACTAATCTTATCTGATTATAGGCAATTCGTCGTGTTCATCATGGTGAAAGTATTAGTGTTCTATTCCAATATGACTGAGCCAAAAACCAAAAAAAAAAAAAAAAAAAAAAAAGGCATATACTACTCAACCTCTTGCTATCAGAGCAAATATTAGCCTTTATGTCTATTTAGCTGCACGCTACTGCTACTCCCCTTGTTCGTTTCTCTTTCTATCTTCCTTATTAAAGTGTTTCTTTCTTTCTTTCCCTCTTTTTTTTGGCCTGGTGTTCTGAGGTATGCAGCCCAGCCATACCTCAAAATTCAGCCACCTAAGACAGTCATTTCAAAAGAAAGACTCTGCTTATATCATGATCATAACCCTCCTATTCCCTTATCTCCCTCCTAATATCTCAATTACCTTTTTGTTCTTCCCATACTCACCAAATACTAGCAAGGTAGGTGGTGAAGGCAATGTTTTTTATTTGGGCTCAGATGAAGATCCCTTTCTCTTTCTTTCTCCCAAATACCATCCATGAGAACACCAAAGAAAAAAAAAAAAAAAAAAAAAAAAAAAAAACAAGCAAACTTGAAAACCCAGAAAAAAAAAAGCTTATAAAGGAAAGACGAGGGGGTAGGCCGTTACTTTTATTGTCTTCCCTTTATTTTGATTGCTTTTTGTTATTTTCATTACTTTCCCTTGTTTGCCCTGGGTGTTATGTTTTAGTCGCTTGACAGATTGGCAGCCAACTGGTCCTTGCCATTCTACTTCTGCAAGCAAGCGAGCCTGATATATTGATAGATTGGGCTTGCTAGAAGAGCTTTTTCGTTAGTATCTAACATTTATTGCTGGGTACATATCTTTACATAGTTACTATGCTGTAGTTTCTTTGTGCGATGGTCTCCCGATCCTTGTATAGGTTACTACGGAATCATGGTGTTAGTAAACCTCTCGTCAGGATTGTTACGCAAGGGATGTGGGAGACTTCATGTTAGAATATTTTACCGTGCAAACGGGGTTTACGAGCTACGAATATAAATAATGCATTATGGCTTTATATGTGTCTATTTCTTCTGCTTAGTGGCAAGGGAAGTTTGTACTACTGCTACCGGAAGGCAAGACGATGGTATTTATCTAAATCCGAGTACAGGTGAACCGCGCGAACTGTCAGCGGTTCATCATATGAATAACATGGGGGAATTATTATGGCGACATGGAAGAGATATACTCCGAATCAGCATTATCAAAAACTCCAGCAATATCAGATATAAATAACTCAAAGAAACAAAGGACACTTAAAGTACGCTTATATAGTTCCCTATCCTGTCTTTCTGATTCTGTGCAATGCACTCTGCGATCCAAGTAATGTTGCGAATTTCCTATTTCAATACATGATTAGCTTATATGCCTGGCATAACACTGAGTACCTGTAAGAACTGACCTGTTCTCGCAATTTGACCCAGGCGTATATTATAGCCGGAGTGAACTGGCGAGTGAATGCCAGCTTCAACAATTCCATCTCTCTCTGGTAGAAAAGGTCTTCCAAGCTCTTGCCTTCGCTTCCAGCGCCAGACCCGGACTGGTTCAGACCAACAGTGTCAAAGAAGGCTTTGTAATCGGCAACTACTGTCACTGCGAGAGAGACACCCTCGAGGTCATCTGCGCGAGAAAGCATCAAAGAGCCTTCGGGATACAACTTGCCAAACTCTGGGTATAGCTTTTTCCTCTCGGATTTGGAGAGTTCAGTGCCGAACGAGTTGAGAGTGATGTTGATTGCCCGACGATCGGCCTCAAACTCTAGTGCTTCACACATGACTTGGGAGGTAGGAGAGTCTTTAAGCTCGGGGTCAGTGTTGATAAACCGGTAGAAGTCCTCCAGATAATTCTTGTATAGAGTATTTCGGATGATTTCGATGTTTAGTTCATCCAGATCCTGATGGCTCAGGCTGCCCTTGAAGTATGGAGCTAAGGGTGTTTCGATAAGGACAGAGTTATACAATTCTTCGATATTGGTTGCCACGCATAGAACTGGCATTGTCTCAAAGAAGCCAAGTGGGTGGCATCTGTCCAGGAGCTCCCGGGTGTCTCGCTCGTGAAGAGTACCGGTGATGAGAAGTGCGATGTTATCAATCATGTACCCATAGGTAAGGTATTCCATAAACTTGGCCGTCGAGCCACTGGCTTGTGCCTGCAGATAGCGGAATTCAGCAACAAGTTTATCTGTGGCTTTACCAGCTAGAGCAGATGTAGAGGGATTCGGGGGAAGAGCAGCCAGAAAATCGCCGTATGATGGGCCAAGCTGGAGCTTGACGTCTGTATTTACATGGTCAGCCGTAGCACACCGCAAGCTATCATGACGATCACTGTCATCAAGGGATAACACATATATCCATCGGCAGCTATCGCAAGAATAGGTACATACCATCCACGGTATCGCATTGCGTCAAGTTACTGTAGTTCTGCGAGTTTAGAAGGTTATTGCGGTATCCGCGAACAACTCCTTCGACATAGCTGAGCAAACATTAGCCGTCCCATCTCGTTCCAACAAGTACCAGGATGGCTTACCCATTGTCCACATTAAAGAAGAGACCCTCCATGGTTGGCCAAGGGATGCGTGTCTGGTTGTTTCTGGTCCTCCAGCCCGTCGGGTCGTCTTCCTCGTCTTCCTCCTTGATATCACTTCCGAAGGGTCAACACAAGCTTAGACTATTCACGTGATCTATTTATTACATAACATATAGTGTGCTTTTTTTTACGACATCGAAAAAAAAAAAAAGAAAGCAAAAAAATTATTTGGATTTTCGATGAAAAAGCGAAGAAACAGTTGTGCGTCTCTTGTGCTCAACGCTGCAGAAGCTCTCCCCGACGCACTCTGCTCGCGCAATAGCTCCGGTGAAGCTAGGCGAAGGTTTTTTTTTTATCTTATTCAATCTCCCGGGACGCCGTCGCCATGACACTTTTCATCCTTACCGAGACCAGTGCGGGCTATGCCTTGCTTAAGGCAAAGGATAAGAAGCTCCTCAAGCGAGATGATCTCGCTACAGAGACAGAGACGGCCGAAGGAATATCGAATCTGTATGTTTGCAATTGCGCTGTTCTGTTTGAGATGGGCAATATAATCCTTCGATTGCGATTTATACTGGTGCATAGTCGACATTGAATTTTTCCTCCGCCGTTTTGATAGCTTTAAATTGACAGCTTTTCTGGCATCTGCTATTTTAGAGAAATGGACTAATGACAAATTTTCTTGCAGTATGAAATTGAAGAACTTCCAGAAATTTGACAGTGCCACTACTGCTTTGGAAGAAGTTGCGTCAGTTATCGATGGAAAGGTCACACCGCGCCTGGCGAATTTGCTCGAGACAATCAAAGACGAAAAGAAAGTCTCTTTAGCAGTTGCCGACACCAAACTCGGTATGTTTCCTTTCGCCTCCAGCCTGTATAATTGTTTAGACTGCGATTCCCCTGCGCAAATGTGTAATCTTTGCGTCTTGCTGACGGTTGATTCTCCCATAGGCAACGCGATTGGCAAGCTGCCTGGACTCTCCATCCAGCCTATTGCAGATGGAACCACTGCTGAGCTTTACCGTGCCATCAGGGCCCATCTTCCCACTCTTATTCCTGGATTGGTTCCCTCTGATATCTCCACTATGTCCTTGGGTCTATCCCACTCTCTTGCTCGCCACAAGCTCAAATTCTCCGCCGACAAGATTGACACTATGATTGTTCAAGCAATTTCTCTGCTTGATGATCTCGACAAGGAGCTCAACACATATGCCATGCGTGTGAAGGAATGGTACGGCTGGCATTTCCCCGAGCTGGCCAAGATCTTGAACGACAACATGGCCTATGCTAAGGTTGTCCTTAAGATGGGTATCCGTAGTGACTCCGAGACTACAGACCTTTCGGAAATTCTGCCTGAGGAGCTTGAAACCGCCGTTAAAATGGCCGCCAACAAGTCCATGGGAACTGAGATTAGCAATGAGGATCTTGAGAATATTCAATCACTTGCTGAACAGGTTGTTGCGTTCTCCGAATACCGCCAACAGCTTGCGAACTACCTCTCTGCTCGTATGGCTGCCATTGCTCCTAATCTTACTGCCTTGGTTGGCGACCTGGTTGGTGCTCGATTGATTGCGCATGCCGGTAGCTTGATGAATCTCTCTAAGAGTCCTGCAAGTACTATCCAGATCCTTGGTGCTGAGAAGGCCTTGTTCCGTGCTCTTAAGACCAAGCATGACACCCCCAAATACGGTTTGATCTACCACGCTTCCCTCATTGGCCAAGCCACTGGTAAGAACAAGGGTAAAATGGCTCGAGTTCTGGCTGCCAAAGCTGCAATTGGTCTCCGTGTTGACGCGTTGAGTGACTGGACTGCTGATGCTGACGGCAACGAGCCCACCGAAGAAGAAAAGAGTGCCCTCGGTATGGAATCGAGGTACTACCTTGAGAAGAAACTTGCATTCCTCGAAGGAAAGCCACTTAAAGCTAGGGGTGTGGCTATTGCTCCAAACGGAGTTGAATCTGCTGTTCCCAAGAAGTGGGAGGTCAAAGAAACTAAGAAGTACAACACAGACGCTGATGCCCTGGCTGGCAACGAACCCGAGAAGAAGTCCAAAAAAGACAAGAAGGATAAGAAGAGTAAACTGGTGGAGGAAGTTGAAGCTGAGGATGAGGAAATGAAGGAGGCTGATCAAGAAGACGAGGAGGACGAAGGCGACTCAGATGAATCTGAGGAAGAGAAGCCCAAGAAGAAATCTAAGAAGGAGAAGAAGTCAAAGAGAAGTGGTGACGACAACGTTGAAGAACTTGCTGAGAAGGCCGGCCTCAGTGTCAAGCGATATCTCCGAAAGCTTGAAAGAGGCGAGATTTCTTTTGATAAGGACGGCAACCCAACCGCTATTAGCAAGAAGGAGCTGAAGAAAGCCAAGAAGGAAGCCAAAAAGGCTGAGAAAGAGGAAGGCAAGAAGAGAAAGCGCTCAGAAGTTGGCGATGATGCCGAAGAATCCAAGGGTGAAAAGAAGAAGAAGAAGAAGAGCAAGGCCTAATTGATGCGCATAATACCCTCAATGCCGTCTGATCCTTTTTGTTGCTGTATCATATCCAGCTCCTGGTGTCTTGGTTTCTGTCTTCTTTTTGATAGGGTGGCATCACTTATGGCGAGATGTTATTTCTTTGAATCTTTCGACTTTTTCTGATTTTTTTTTTCTTGTCATTTTCCTTCGGGATCTTTTATGGTGGCGCTTGGGGTCCATTGCAATTTGGTTTCTTCAGACACAGTACAAAAGGAAAAGTGTTCAGATACTTCATATTTATCAGCCATTGAAGCTTTTATACCACCTTTTCTTTTTTATAGCCGTGTTGCTATATCAGTAGCTGTACTCTGTAAACTCGGAATCAGCCTTCCGAGACCGCCCTTATATCCGGATGAGGCATCACCATTGCTCCAGGTGAAAGGTAGCCCTGTAGTAGTTGATTGTTTAAGATGTAATTAAGAGGCTGAAGGGACACTGGCCAATCAGAGCCCATTTCCAAGATGACCGGAAATGGAATAGCTATGATCCATGAAAGAAGCTTCCATTCCATATTACATAAGCACTTCTATATCCCGAAAATTGCAGGTTGCGAAGCTTTGAGAGCCGGAGGTTGGACGTGGTGAATTGGATTGATTGCCATTAGATATGAAGGTAAGCCCCTATTAGCCAGCTGTTTTCAAGGAACATATGATCCAACAATATGTAACAGATTCTTGATCCTCAAGCTGCAACGCTTTCAAATGTGGAAGTGTTGGCTTACTTGAAGTCCAATCCTCCGCGCCTATCGGCACAAGCGCCTCTCCCGAATGCAAAGAACTTTGTGCCTAAACCAGACTTGAGAGACTACAACACAGTGGTAAAAGAGGTTAGAACTCGTTTAAATCCATTGTTTGAGGATCTGCATTGCTGATCTTGACCCTAGTACAATGACTATGTCGTTCGGCTCTCCCCCCACCTCCTATCATATCCTAGCTTTACGTCTATATCTCCCGAGAATGCTACAGGGGATAATTCAACAACTGACCTGGACGTTGCACTTCGAACACTGATCTCGAGTTTGAAACCATTCAACCTGACGAAGGCAGAGGTATTGATGATTATCAATTTAGGGGTTGGCCTTGAAGCTAAGCTAGAAGGAGAGGCTGCTGAGGATACGGCCATGCAAGATGGAGACGGCGAAAATGGTGACACAAGTGTTGACTATGGAGCCCTAGCGCTTCTCGATACAATTATAGAAGACCGAGAAGAGCGGCTAGCGGACGAGGACGTTGCGGAAATACTAAGAATCGTTAGGGAGACTCTGGTTAAAAAAGAGCCCGCCAAAGAAGAACCTGAAGAAACAATGGAAGAAAGCTGAGCAGCCTTGCCTCTCAAACTTCTTTCATCTCACGATATCTAAAGCACATCGCGCCGCCTATCCTTGGGGTAGATGGGCTCAAGTATGAAGAACTCTTGATTTGGATAGAGTATGGGTAAGAAAAACTCCGTCCCACCACTTCCCTTCAATGACTGATTTGCTTGGATAGGAACTTTATGGGTATTCTCCCCGCGACTTTATTGGGAGATTTCTACCGAAGGGGTTAACCCCGCAAGTAACAATTCGCGAATTGGTTGCGCTATTGCATATACTTTCCAATGGGATTCCCCCGAAAAAGTACACATTTGCTAGTTGGTTAATATTACCCTAGCAATGGCCAGTGCTTTGTCTAACAATGCAATGATAGCTGCAAGTTCTATAGGGCTTAATTGCCCAGAACTGTGTCAGGGATGCAAATTGACTGAATCTGGTCGAGATAAGGGGACTTGATTGCGCATATATAAAATACGTTTTTTTTTTTTTAGTGACTAATAAAATCCTTCCAATCTCTTGAAATTGTGCTACTATATTCTTGAACAATTAAAATGTGGAAGGGTGGGTAATTAAAGCAGTAATAGTTCGCGTCAAGTATAGGCACAGTTGATCATTTGCAGAACTGTACGTATTATTGAAAACTGGTTAGATCTATTCAAGGTATATCTCATCTCTCAGACGTTGTAAATTGCGCATTAGCCCACTACCAGTACTCTCCGGTTTTTCGCGAGAAGGAAGTTCAGAAGTTCTGCCCTTGGAGGCAGTCCCACCAGCCTTTCGGTTCTCCTTTTCCTCTCTTTCCCTAGCGTGGTTTTCAAGGACCTTCCGCCTGTCTTCAACAATCTTTGCAAGGCTGTCGACAAACTTGAGTCTCGGTTTCTCTTCTACCGTGCCCTTCCATACGCCCGCGAGGAGCCGTAATTCCTCAACTCGACGAGCTGCTGCTTCCAAACCGGCTTCTCCTCCACCGTTGCTGTCCAGCAGCCCGGTGATCTGTGATCTGAATTTCTTAGCAACCTCGCGCCCCTTTTCTTCCAGGCTCCGTGATTCAGGGCCAGCTTCTGGAGCTGAGACAGATATGAAGGAGGAGGTAATCGATACCTCTGAGGGAGGCAACGGCCATTCCATTGCATGTCCAAATACCTGTATGACCTCCTCCAGTCGCGTTCTGACCTGCATCAAAGTCCGCAGACGTGATATATACTCTGGATCTTCTTGTGTGATCTCCGGCTGCGTCTTGGTGCCTGGCTCTTTTTCCTGTTGTCCCTCCCGGTGTACATCCTCCTCCAGGGCGGTGGCGTCGGGCTCAGGCAGGCCCCGGGGTAGGAAGCTGCGAATATCATCCTGTAACGTATCTGTAAGGGTGTCTGAAAGGCCGATTGTCTCTCCACGCAGGACCTCAACCTCATACGCCAGCCGCCCGCTGCTTCGTATTATCTCATCTGTAAGCTGGTTCAGCGTGTTTGATAGCCGGGCGTTTTGTGCGGTGAGCTGGGAGAGCAGCGATTGGGTCCGAGCAGAGAGGTCCGCGATCGAACTGCCGCCCGCTGAGCGCGATTGCGAAGTGCTCAGCGGCGGAAGAGTGTCGTTGAGGAAGTCGACGGGGTCGAACGAAGGGTCTGAGAACTCCGGCAGCAGCGGCTCAGCTGGGGAGGACGAGGTTTTCCGCGCATCCTCGCTCTGCGGCCCAGGTCGTTGAGCCATGTTCCCGTAGCTCTTGGTCCCAGTAGCTACGCCTATCCCACAAGATCTCGACCGGCCACGCCAACGAGCAGCAAGCAGCCAGGCGAACAGGTGGTCGTGTTTTCAAAGCAGAGAAGAAAACTTATAAAATAAAAAAATTAAGAGGCTTGCGGCAACTAACTAGGTTTCGTCAGTTCAAGCTTAAAACGGAGGTGGAGCGTTGACGTCAACTCAAAAAAGCACTGCCGGCAAACGGCCACGAACCAACCACCTTCTTGTGGCCGCAAGGGGACGGTCAATGGCTCCGGAGCAGCCCAGCAGGTCGATGTATCAGAACGCCGGGACCCGTCAACAGGGGCCGTCCGGGATGGAGTGGGCGGAGCGGGCGTCGTGCTGGCCGGCGTCCCGCTGCAGCCTGGGGGAGGCGGGCTTACGTGAGGCTGCTGCTCTCCAGAAGTCGCAAGTCAACTACTGGTTACTGAGTTGAATAAACAACCAAGTCAAACCGAGCTCTCGAGACGAGGAAGCAACGAGGACAAACACCGGGCGATGACGCTCTTCGACCAGCGTCGCCGCGGGCCAACGAGGCCGCAGTCTTTGGTCGAGTGCGCCTGGTGGGATGGGCGGCAAAGCCAGCCAGCCTGCTGCTGCGTCGACGTCAATATCCTCCGAGGGCCACAGTAGCCGACTGCCTGCCTCCCTGTATACCACAGTGCGTACATGCTCTCTTTCATGTGTGTTTATCAAAGAACCGGAAGTTAGCGAGACAGAGTGGGAATTGACATGGTCTCTTGTTGCAGGTCTCCTTGCCTCACTGCTCCTCTGTCCTTCTGCTGATTTCTGGGCTGTCTCCCACCTTTATGCCTGCCCGCTTATATTCACAGTAGCGGCGTGTGCTTGCTTCTTGGACATCATTTTCACTTCCCTTTTCCTCTCATCTCCTGTTCTTCTTCTATTTATCTCTCCTTCTTCTCTCCTTCTCTCCTTCTTATCCTGCTCTGTCGCCTTTCCTGGTGGGGTTTGTGGTTCTATTCTCTCAAGCCACTGGTTATTTATGGACACAAAAAGTGCAGTTACTGGACATAAACTGCATAGATATCCCGTTCAGCCTTGAGAATGCCTAGAAAGGCGTTTCTCCACGACCTCCACGAGGCTTCTACGCCCGGGAGGTTCCCAACTTTGACGAACGTGAAGTCTGGCGAGGACGATGGCACCTTGTCCTGCTCCTTGATTCTCAGTGAAGACCCCGAGCAGTCGGTGGACATCGAGTTCATGGTCACAGGTAAGTCCTTATATATACGGATGCGCCTCAAGAGCTCACTAGCTAATAAATATTGTCTAGACATCTCACTGTACCCGAAAGAACATGAATTTCTTATCTATACTACCTCCGAAGATGTCCCTCAGTACGTTACTGAAGTGCTTGAACAAGCTCAGCAGGCAATTAGCCGCCTAGAAATTCCGGACATGTTATCGCAGCTCAGCTATACATTCCAGAACAAAATGGAACCGGAAGGTGATGGACAATGCGACTTTGCTGCCGACCTTTTTCTAAACGACGATGAGGACTCGGTTTATTCTGGAATAGAAGACGCTATTCCGGATTTAAATGATGACGAATATCACTGGCCTCCTGTTCCACAGCAGACTCAGCTAACTCGCTCGGAAACTATCACAGAAGAGATACAAGACTCTGAGGAGCTGTTATGCAAGCTATCAGAAGACTTGAAAACTGCGAAATTGGCCGGCTTCCGCGTTGGATATCTAGGAAATAAACTATGCCCCATTGTTTCTGTTTCATGCCGCATTTCTAAACTTGGAATATCAGAAGACGCAATGAAGGCATGGCACATCAAGGAGGCACAATATTTGGTTTGTCTTATTCGGTACATTGGGAAATATCAATCTCTGGAAAACCTGCTCCTCGAGGATGAACTATCCGGAAAATCATCGGTCGAGGTACGCGTTGGCATTTGCAACGTGTATAAACCCTCTATAAGCACCGCCCTCCAGATGTTTGACCAAGTTGCCCAAGGCGCAAAGTCCCGCATTGCTATATGCGGGAATACCCCACCCAACAATGACGATATTGTGTACTCTTTTATTAGCGGGCCTCTCAATGCCTTGTTTAATGAAAGATTTATCAAGATACTGCGCTATAGACACAGTTTTGGTCAAACTTGGTCTGGAGCAGAACGGTTTTTCAACGAATGTCAGGGTAAACCCGTCGGCAGCTCAGACCCAATATCTCATATCTACCAAGAGCCGAATATTTCTGAAGAGAAAGCGGCAATGCTCCCAAGTGCCCTCTCAGCAGATCATCTATTGGAAAAGAATGGTTCAGGGGCTTCCTTCCCTCTGATAGCTATGCAGTTCATGCTCCGTCATTTCGTAAGATGCACGGAGTTCTGTCTCGTCTGTCATTGCAAGACAAATGATAATTTCGAGGCTTTAAAGCCTTATGTTTGCTCCAAGAGCTTGTGCCTATTCCAATACATGACCTTAGGATTCGGGCCTAGCTTGGAATGGGAGATCATGACACAGCCCTATGTGGTTGACTTGCTGGTCAGCTTTACTTATTCTAGCGCGATTCGGAACCGCCTCGTCGACCCACCTACAGGACTTGGGATTATGGTTCCAGGTGGCATGCACGATGCAAATTACAAAAATCTCTGCCGTGATGCGGCGGAATCTACAGCCATTTCTCACAGGGAAATACGCTTTGAAGTAAGCTTTGACGAATCAAATATGACTCTGAATTTTGCTGGCAGCATCCCGAGCCATCGAGTATGCACTGGAGACTGGTTAGTCATTATCGACGAAGGGCGTTACCTCCATTGTCGTGTCACCGATACAAGCTTTTGGCCCTCAGTTGACATTTCAAGCCCAATCGAGGTATCAAAGTCTCGAGAGGCCATAGAGGATGAGACAATGCCAATTCCAAAATTGGTCAAGGCTGCTTGGTATGGACAGAACTTCGATGACCTCAGTCCAAGGGCACAGCATCAAATGATAGTATCTCTTCTTGATACCCTTCCAACGGTCGTTGAAATGAAGCAGTACCTGATGGAGAATTCTAGGGGTTCGCAACCCACACTTACACAATGGAAAGATAGGATTTCAAAACCAGCTCTCGATCTGTTACGATGGATAGTTGCATCAAACCGTTCGTGCATCATCCAAGATGACCCCGATCCGACGGAAGACAGTGTTAACGCCGACCAAGCCAACGATGACCGTGTTGGCGGAGTTCCTGGCTATATGCAATTTCGTTTCGCGCAGGGGGCTCCAGACAAGGAGGAACGATTTTTTAAAGCCGTCATGGCTAAGAATAAAAATTCTATTCACCCTCATGCTACCATTTTTGCATGGCATGGTAGCCACCTCTCGAACTGGCACGGCATTCTACGCGAAGGATTGCACTTCAAGGAAATCATGCATGGACGAGCATTTGGTGATGGTGTCTACATGAGCACAAGCTTTGCTACGTCTGCAGCCTACATTAGTTCTAATTTAGGCTGGAGCTTTGGGTCTCCTACTGAAACATGGCCCAACAGCAAGTTAGGAGTTATCGGCGCAATATCGTTAAACGAAGTGGTAAATTCTCCCAGTGAGTTCGTCAACACCTCACCACACCTGGTTGTATCTCAGCTGGATTGGATTCAAACGAGATATCTGTTTGTTCGATGCTCCCTGAACAAGGAAATTGGCCTCAATTCACCATCAAAATCACTTCCCTATTATCATCAAGATCCGAAATACGTTGCCCTGGGCCCAAATTACAAGACAATCACAATTCCTTTGTCTGCATTCAGCCAGAAGCGCCGCCTTGCTTTGGGCATGACAGGTGTCAGCCATCCTCCGGCAAGCACTCCTGCTAATCTCTCTACAAAACAAGATAACGTCGTTGCAAGCTTGTCAACCAAGAGAGCTAATTCAACCTCTAAATCGCCGATACCCCAGAGCCAAGCTGCTCAGGGCCCAGGCTCCACTTCCGGCTCGGCGAACAGCCACGCGGGAGTAACCGCATGTTATTACACTGATAATACCCCTTCCCAGAAGACTGCTGGTTTATTTACATCGGACAAACCCAATCATACAGAAACCGACGGGTACCTCAGTGACGAGACAGATGTTGATGATCTCAATATCTATATAGAGGCCGATAGCATTAGGAGTAAACAAGCTAGAGGCAACAATCCAGAGCAGGCCCCTGAAGGCAGTGCCACCAAGGGCAAAAACAAGGCCCAGAATGAAACAGACTTTATCCCCGGGACCCTGGATTCAGCGTCTCTCCCTATGATAGCTGCTCCGGACAATGCGACTCCCTCAGCAACGGCGTCTCTCCAGCGTGACCTACGAGGAGCGCTTCGTATTCAGGACAACGAGCCGCTGGCTGATCTGGGCTGGTATATTGACCCAAACCTAGTGAGCAATGTCTACCAATGGATTGTGGAGCTACATTCCTTTGACCCTTCGCTCCCCCTGTCCAAGGATATGGCAAAAGCGGGAATCAAGTCTGTTGTTCTAGAAGTTCGATTTCCCCAGCAATACCCGATGTCGCCACCCTTTGTTCGGGTCATTCGCCCTCGATTTTTGGGATTCCAACAAGGTGGAGGTGGCCATGTCACAGCTGGTGGCGCACTTTGCATGGAACTCCTAACAAATTCTGGCTGGTCCGCCGTGTCTAGCATCGAGAGTGTTTTATTGCAGGTTCGCCTGGCAATTTCTAGTACAGACCCTCAACCTGCAAGACTGGTCCCTGGCCAGGATGCACGGAAGGGTAGGGTTTTAGAATACGGTGTTGCGGAGGCTGTGGAAGCATTCGTTAGGGCGTGCAAGGCTCATGGTTGGCAGATCCCAGCGGATTTCCACCGAGAGTCCAGGGCCTCATTGGCTGCGGAGGCATCGTCTTATAAAAATTGATGCTTCCTATATACCATAAATTTCAACGACAACTACGTAAATTATGGTGATGTACGCGGCGTAATTGGTCGTCACACTACCAACTCGGCGATACGAGGCAAATTTAAGTGGTGAAGAATATTGGGATGGAGGGGAAAGGGGAATGAGGAAAGACTTTGAAAGTTCATATGATTTGGATCGAACTGAACTATCGAGTTGAAAATTTCGAGAGATAAAGGGTCTTCTAGTCATAGAGTGCTTTTATCTGGCTCTAGAGTTTCTTCGGAGCGACACAGAAAAAGAGCAGAGATCGGTCTGTGTAGAAACGAAGGGATGGCACCTGTAATGACCTTGGAGAAGAGGAAACGACGAAGCAAATAAGAATGGAACATTGATAATTATGACAAATCTCCTCCCTTCCTGCCTTTCATTGGAGTCGTATAAAGTGCGTAAACCAATGCCACCAGCGACGGACGTCGAGACATGAAATTCCAAATAAAGGGAGAGAACCAACATAGAGACGCGAACAATGCAAAACTAGAACACCAGGAAACTCCACCATTTTTGCTCCGGCCTTTCCCCCCTGGTAATTTTTTCGATGATGGGTGTGAAGAAGTGGAAGGAATTAATGGGGTAAAGATACATATAAAGGGGGGGCAGGGAGTGTAAGAATGATAATGAAAAGGGGAAGGAGAAAGAAAAAGGAGCAATCAAGAATTTTTTTGTCTTCTTGGATTTGCAATTTGTGGCTCATCAAGACCACAGATATAGAATCACCACACCATACCCAAGAAAATTTTGAAAATCAAAAACACCCAACCGGTCAGGTTAACTCGTTGACAACAGTGAAATCATGAAACAAGGAAGATAAGAGGCAGAAGATATGAAGGGAAGTATAAGTGACGATGTAAAGTGGTAGTTCATCGACGAAGTTGCCAGTTTTGTGGCGCTAGAAGATCATTTTGCACTGGTAAGCCGTTCTGCATGCCGTTCTGCATGCTATTCTGCATGCTGCTCTGAATTCCAGATTGGAGTCCATTGGGTATAGGATTTTGCGGGCCGGTTGGTAATCCATTAGGTACACCGCTGGCCATTTGAAGTCCGTTTAAGAGGATCGCGAGCCCTTGGGATTGGCCAACGGGGCAGTCCTTGTGCGCCGAAAGCATCGATTTTAGCATTGCATTTTCTTCTCTAGCTTTCTCTAGAAGGTTTGTTAAAGCTTCGTTGTCGCTAGAGTATGCTTCTGCTTTTCTCATTAGGGTGGCTACCCATTGCTTCTTTCGTTGACGACATTTAAGGGCGGCAACCCTGTGGTAAAAAGTTAGAAGGCTAATTCAAAATATACGAAGTCTAGTGTAACACATGTGTGTTGTGGTTTGGCATACCTGTTACGCTCCTTGAAGTTCTTCTTCTTTTCCTCGTCTGTCATGGCTTTCTTGTTGCCAGTAGAGTTATTTTCGCCTTCGCCATTACTATTACCATTATCGGCACCATCGGCATTATCGAATTCGACCGAGTCATCATCGGTGGGAGGTTGTGCCTTGTCGGCGGCAGCATTTGAAGCCTTTTGCTTTTTATTCGATCCCTTGGGAGCGTCTTCGGCCTTTCTGCGGCCATTTGTAGTTCCTCCTTTGGCAGTGGAACCTTTCTTGCCTTTGCTACGAGTATTGATCTTCGTATCAGGACTATCAGAGACGTTTCCGTTGGATGGTGGAGCTACGCCATTCGACTCATTGGTTTGAGGAGAAACCCCGTTTAATGGTGGGCTATTATTATCGTTATTCTGCAGTGACATTTGCATAGGTTGCGAGGTTGGGCCAGGGAAAGGGTTGCTCGTAGCCTGAGCACCCTTAGCTAGCATGAAGAGGCCATTGGCAGCATCAGTGGCATCAGCATGAGCGAACGGATAGGACTGGGGCTTCTCCATGGAGGCAGCAACTTGCTGGAGAATCGAGTCTGCTTCTCCGGGGTTAGATGTAGGCGCAAGGTAGCCATTTTTCTTTGCTGCGGTGATGGCTGTCCTCTGGAAATCTAGAGTAGTAGGAGTGGTATTTCCGCTGGAGAGTTGCTGAAGTAAACCAGCAGGTCCGGGACTGGGAGCGGGGAACATAGAGCCACCACCGCCAGGAGTTAGGCCAGCATTCAAACCAGTGCGCAACGAGGACTCATTAGGGGTAGGGAACCCGCGAGTTATACCATCGAAATAGTCGCTTGGTCCTGCAGGCCCTGTAAGCATTGCCGGGCTTAGTGGACCAGCACGGAGCGAGTTTGGCCAATTGAACCCACCGCTGGTCGAGGTGCCTGGCATGGCAGGGGAGGTCAAAGAAGCGACAGGTGGGAGAATAGATTTCCCAGGGGTATCACTGCCTGTGTTTCCAAAGGATTGTTCGAACGGGTTGGGCTCAAAGGACAGGTGGCTGGTGTTATGGATGCCCGAGAAGTAATCACCACTTGCATCGTCACCTGCTTTCTGTGGAGCCGGAATGGTAGACGGCGCATCTAAGGATGAAGTAGTGACGATGGTCTCAGGGACATCGATTTGGGTTGTCCCACGATCTAAACGGGATGATGTCAGTGGTGACAGACAGGAGACAGGAGTGTTAACTCTGAAAGTAAGTTGAGCGAACCATCAACACCAGGGACGACAAAGAGAGAGGAGGCACATTAGATCACAGCAAGAGGTCCATCCACTAGCTGAGGATGGTGCATGTAGAGGGTGACGTGACGAGGGTGGTGATGATGGGCAGGAAGAAATTAGCTAGCTGGCTGCTGACCTTCTGACTTGACGCTCTCGTTCGAGTCTTTCGCATCCATTGGTGAATCGGTGCGAGACGCCGGCAAGCCAGCCTGCGGCGACGCGGCCTTGCTGGCTGGGGCGGACATGGTATATACAGGTAAAGAGGGAGGGAGCGTGTGTCTGGAGGGAGCGGTGGTGCTGAAATCGGACGAAAAGGGCAGACGAGACGGGCGTCCAGCGACGATCTCTCCTCGAGTCCTCTGCCGACCGCAAGGAACAAGAGTCGAGGCAGCGGTTCACTCCGCTCGAGACTGGCTGGGTGGATTAAGTGCGAGTAACGGGCGCAAGCTTGTGGATTCACGCCTAAAAGTGTCTGTTGTTGTGGGTTGTGCGCCGTTCATCGAGCGATGACGATGAGATGACGATGGGATGACGATGCAGAGCGACCTTCTTTTTTTCCGCTGGGGAGGAAAGCAAGTAAAAGAAAAAATAGCAGAGAGCGAAGGCGAAAAAACTCTGACGACATTGATGATGTCGTTGGCTTAGTCATCGTGCTTGGCAGAGGCTTGGCACGACGGAAGCTCGCTTAAGCATAAAACGTTAAAAGCATAAAAGAAGGGCGATGGAGACGTCTGATAAGATGAGATTAGATGGACGGCGGCGGCAGCGGGAGGCAGCGGGCGGCATGGGGGGCAGCATGGGGGCCTGCGGTGGGGTGTGCAGGCGCTGGGCGAGCCTCGCTGCCGCATGCAATTGCAGGTCGACTCGGTGAGCACGTCGCTCTTAGCGCTGCATCCTGCTCGCCTAGCTGACTAGCCGCTTAGCCAACTAATTAGTTACCGAAACGATGACGAAAGAACTCCCCGAGTACACCAACTACACGCCTCCCCAGCGCGGTTAACTATTCTTCTCAGCCAGTCATTCAGACTGTTGATAGAACGATAGTGTTAATATCTTCCTAGGTGCCATTTCCCTGCCGCGCTCGACTGGCCCAGCGATGATTGTTATACCATTTCACAGGCCCACCTCCCTGGATAAACAAACACTAATAGACCTCTACTCAATACCAAATACCCAAAGCTCGGACTTGTGCATATTGAATGCGATGCCAGCATGTTTTGTCTGCGGATTATCTTGACAGCGGGACATTGTAAGGCAGCCTTCTCTCCGGTCCATTCTGTTTAACAGCAAGAACCCGGAATGGTCAAGAGTAAGATATTTGACTCCAAGTCGAATGCATTCCCTCTTCCACTTTATTATCATTATTATTTTTGAAAGAAAGAAGGCTGTACAGTTACAGACATTGCGTGAGAATGTTTTAAGGATAATGGTCAGCCATGAGTATACCATTGTTGACACAGTCATAGACCTCAAGCCTATGACATTATGAGAGGATATTTCAGGAAAGACCGTTACCCAAAACCAGCTCTGGTAATATTCCCATCATATTCGGTTCGAAACTACCCGGGTTCTAACAATACCATGGTAAACTCGATAGTGATCGGTGAAAAGGAGGTGGTAATATGAAAGCCGAGGAAAGAGTAAGAGATGCTTATAAACCCAAGTTTGTTTATTCTATTTGCGATCGTTACTTCTAATAAAGGCCGCAATCTCTCCTGGATGTCACCATACCAATGGATTTCGATAGGAAGCTGCGTCTAGGGAAATGGAAACCACTAGCAGGGAGTGGCCTGCAATGTTTACCTAGGTACGTACTTTCTATGATCCGTAGGGCCCTTTAGCTAGGGAGTCAGCATTATTTATGTTTCTACGGCAAAGCGTGATGCATGTATCTTAACGACCAGGCACATATACAGTCCTGTCAATATAAGTCTGCATTTTGTGTTATATCAAGTCCGTGCGGTCAAATGTAGCAGCTTTGGAAGCATTCTATTGGATAAGTACGTCTTTAAACCAGTATCTGGCTGGCAGTCGCTGAATTATGACGTCAGAGCTCCAAGCATTCTCGCATATAACACCCAACTATCACGATCCACGATAGGCGGAATAATTCCACGGTCCGAGTAGCACAGGGACATGATAGTGCCTCCATCCCTCTTCGCCCTCTCTGCCGTCAACTGCGAATCGCACTTCCACCTCTGGCCAGAAACAATCCTCAACACCCTGCTCACGGTACCACTCGTCAATTCCACAGAGCCGAAGGCTCCAGGTTGAGCGTGATGTGTTTGACCCCGCTCGGTTGGGCAGCTGTGCTAAGATAGAAGAAATGGATAAAGAGTTGCTCTCACTAGACCAGTTTTTGACCCGCCCATCCGAATCTGTAGTTGCTGTGAACATTGGCTGTTTGTCGGCTGCGGAGGCAGAAGGATAAGTTGGTTTGACTCCGGAATTGACCAACGTCAGAACACATAGAATTCCTGCTCCTGGGCGGCCAGTATAAGTGTTTAGCACATGGCAAGTAATCGGGTCTTTGTCTGCCATTGTTCTCTCGCGGATTGTATCAAGTTCCTTTTCGCCTTTTTCACCAGGGTTTGTCTCAAATCTCGGGTTATCGGGTTTGAAGTATTGCTGGAGTTGTGAAAGTCTTTTGGAAGCACCTGCGAGAGGAAGGTCATCGATTTCAAGGTGGATTTGGCCTTCCATCAATCACGCCGTGGATTTTTTGATATGTGGCCTGAAGACCTAAGGCATGCTCTCCCCGGTTGTTGCTGCTAATCAAGTTACCGCTCAAGTCACATCCAACAGTTCTAGTTAGTTTTAGTAACTTATAGTATGGACAACCTCGGTAACTATCTATTGGACGGGGGGAAACAAGAGAATCACGTGACACTTATGGGCCGCCCGGGCGCGCCCGCGACCTCATGCCTCTTTAGCTCTTCTTTTCCTGCTTCCCCAGGTCAGCTTTGCCCTTTTACTTCTACGTCTACGTCTACTGCTGCAACCTCTTCTGCTTCTGCTTCTACGTCTTACTCAGATGATCACTATCTAACATCATGAGGTCGAGGCCTCCGTTCAATCCGCTACCCATATGTCCTAAGCCCATCCAGTGGGGCATACCAACACGGATTGCCGACCTTGAGGCCGTCTGTGATGATCCTGAGACATCTAATTAGCAAGAAATCAATATTTAGGTGGCTATCGACGTGCATAGGGAGAAGCAGTGCGCTGTGCCACGGTTCTACATACAAGATGGCAAAATTATCGACCTCCAAAGCCTGAATCCTAGACGTACATATTGGACTGATTGTAATGATTCCCCTCTACAATTAGACGCTCACAATTTATCCCCTGTACTTTGCTTACCCCTGTTCTGTTCTAGGGTTTTGGTTGCCAGTACTCTGTACTCTCAACGCATGCTCTCACACCCCTGAGCCCATAGGTCAACCGCTAACTAGCGCACCAAATGACATACAGTTTCTTCCCTGAAGGAGTAGGGCAGCAGGTGAGTATTTCTAGAGTTCCGGAGAGTATTTGTTTAACCAATCATACGTCTTAATATAGCTGCTTAGATATTTGCCCGACTGAGAGGAACTTCTAGTTTATAGAGATTAGTAGTTCAAACATACGGCCAAGATCTGTCACAAGTTTTCACAAGCCAAACGCATGGCCTCTGCATCAGGACTGACTGGCAACTTGATAACTTAACGTGCCTTGATGAGGGACGATGCACGACGTTCTCGACCTGTTGACTTGCTGGCGCGTTAATATTACATCTGGCTTGTCCTTGCTGCCGAGCGAGGCCGGTGAAATACAAGCATTGACCCTCCCTTGCCTTCCTTGCAGGAGCTAAAGCTTGAACCCCCGGCTTGGTGATACATCAGCCCTCTACTTTCTTGAACACTTGAATGGACCATATCAGGGATAAACGAGATCAAGATCTGATTAATACCAACAAGGACTGCGGCCAGCAGCACGTACACTGCCTGGGCTGTGCTGTCGACCACCAAAGAAGCTCGACTTGCCCATCTCGAAATATGGAACCCATTTTGAGGCTCGAGTTCGTCAGTCTGCCTCCGTATATTATTACCCCATGTTCAACTAAGATTTTCTCTGGCCGTGTATGTCATCTCTCATTGGATGGCCTAGTAATTGCAGGCTCGTGGTAGGCAGGCTGGGTCGTGGACCGTTACAAGTCGAGGATTAAGGTCTAGTTACCATCAACCGGGGTCCCCAACCAGTTTAATCAGTTACACGTGATGACTATCAGCTCTGGCCGCTCCCCTAGGTGTGCAAGGCCGGATCAATAACTACTTAAATCCTTAATCGTTCGTAATTAATAATGACAGCTCTATATATAAATCCAAGGTCTAACTATATACTTCTCACCCTCGCTCCATAGCAGAAATACTACCACAGAAACACATACTTCTGAACAAACATCAAACAATTCAAAAGTCTGCAAGGCAATAAATGACCAAACAATGAATGCAAATGGAGAAATAGTCATCAGCCCTCGCAGATCTGTTAAGGGCTACCAACTGTACGCATCCTCAATGTATCTGATTTGCCGATATCCCTGGAGCATAGCCTTGTGGATTGCCTCTCTTGCTTCGTCTGCTAGACTATCCGGACCGCAGACAAGTACAGCAAGCCGCGAGTTGGCCGCATTTGCGCTTTTTGCCCGCTCCAAAATAATAGACTTAGTATCTGGTCTCCCATATTTCACCTCGTATTTCGGAATTGCAGTGAGAGACTTCAGTCTGGAGTCCTTGGTCAGCTCATCTAGAACATTAGTGTCCAAGGACGACGTTGTGTTCGTGCAGGCTAGGGAAGGAACGGCAGACGCAGCACTCTTGTCACCATTCGTCAAATAGAAGGAAGCAGAAAAGTCACCACGCTCAAGGGCGGGCTGTAGCTCCCTAGAGGCCACATTGTGAACGTAGGAAGCCTGTCTCGCTGACCAAACAAGTGTCATATCCTTTGTACATGTACCTGTTCCGGTCGCAGATGTGCGTCGGATATGATCCTGGATATAAGGCACAGCAGCAGCAATACCTGTACCACCAACGATAAATAGAACCGATTCGTATGCCCACAGAGGAGCAGAGTCACCATATGGGCCTTCTAATAGCAACGTAGTGGAGATAGCAGTGCCACTGGACTTCAAGCATTGGTCACGAAGTTGGCGAGTCCACCCATTATACGGTCGTATCCAAAATACGTAGGTTGTCTCATTGGATGGGCTACCTTCTGGATTTTGGTCCTTGGAAACGTTGGCGACCTGCTGCATTTCATCACTTTTGCTGTTCTCAACTGGAGAAGAAGAGCCAGTCTCTGAAAGTTTCTCAATGGCCACTTTGGAAGTCTCGGCCCATGCCCCGAGGGTGAATGGATGACTCTCATACCCAGTCCATCTGAAGGGCTGGTACAGAAAGTAATACCGTCCAGGCTTTTGAGAAATACCGGTTGCAGCTGGTGTTACCTCCAGCCTGATGATATCTGAAACTTCGTCGTAGTAAGCAACAGAGCTCGTGTGTTGAAGGCCACCTCCAGCGAATCGAACACGAAGGTTACAGTATATGATTCGAATAATGCGCAGAGTCCTCTCAAAGCCCCATATAGCAACAAGTGGCCAAAGGTAAGGGTCGTATTCGCCTCCATAGACTGATACGTGGCTAACATAACAAAATGAGCAGGTGTTGTGAAAGATATTACATTCCGGCTGAAACTTACTAAAACATGGATATAATTGTCACAGTAGATAGTGCAATGTGGATGAGTAAGAACAACTCATATGTTTTCCTTCGGAGCCATAGGCATGAGAATATTACCAGGAAACTCATTACCACAGTTCCCTGTAGATTCATTAGTAAAGCCCCGGTTAATTGTTATTTAGGTATGTGGATCATTTAGGAATGCACTAACCACAACACCCATGCAAAACCATTTTTCTGTAAATCGTTTGATATATATTCCCGAGCCTAAATAACAGAAGGAAATTGGTCAGCCAAGTTTTCTTTGCATCTTCCAAATACGGCTACACTAACCTATTAAGAAGAAGAATATTGTAAATGCGATGGAATGGGCAATGGCAAGTAGGGTTGCGGCTAGAGCAGCCTGTCTATGGAAGATATTGAACATTCGGAAGCTCCAGCCTGTGGCCCAAAGGAATATATTGTTCCTTCCTGCAAACATCCAGGCGAGGGGCAAATTTGCGAAGGAAAGCACGCCAGTACGACCGGCAATATACCGGCATAGTTGTGCATTTGTTTTTGGTATGCTATAGATAAGAATGTAGTCGTTAGCAGGGTTCCCACAAAGCTAAACTGAGGCAAACATACTTTAAATTCCCAGCAAAAAGGTCATAGTTGACACAGCACAGGATCGCAATGATAAGCCAATACGAGAATATCACAATTGCTTCTATTCTGGTTGGCATGTCACACCCGTACAGTGTTCGCAAGTGATAAGATCCAAAAGTGCTCGGGATTGTCAGATGTGTTTGAATCCAGTCGGAGAGATACAAAAACGGCCTGAAAACCCGATGAGGATTTTTGAGCTTAAGATCATAGCTGCCCTCCAAGTCACTCCTCTTCGTCCTCGACTGCCTAAAAAATGCCCACTTGCAGAAGTTGTTGATCATTCCAAGGACTAAAACCGTACCCCAAATGCCATACATAGCAAATCTAGACCAAGGTCAGTGAAAAAGAAGATGGAATAAAAGACACAACCATTAGAATATAAATGTTTACCCATAGTGGTGACGGTGCTTCACTTCAGTATTATTGACGACCTATGCGTTGTCAGCATCTCTTCTATACTTTTTGAGTTAGAGGCTTCCATACAACTGTCTTCAATGAAAGATCGAAAAATTTCTTGGAAATCAGAACCGGTGTGTTGACCTTTTTCTCTGGCGATATTTCTCCGTTTTCGATAACTTTCATTTTAGCAATAGTTTCGTCGGTGAGGTTGGCAGCAAAGTCTGACATCGGTAGCAAAGGCTGAGAGATGCGCCGCTGACAATTCTCCTCAAGAACGCCGACTCCGGAAAGTATTTCTTCGGGTTGGCAGTACACTTTTGCGGATGCGTATATAGATGCTACCTTCAAACGGTTCCGGCAGTACATAACCCATTGTTTTTTGCCAGCAGGACCGGCAAATTTTATAGGTTTATACGCCCTGTAAACGGCAGAAAAGCAGATTTCATTGTTTGCCAGTTCCCTTGATGAAACAATCCTTATAAACAAGGCCCCTAGAAGAAGCTTGAACAAAAACATAGTGTCGACTTCAAATTTTCCCCTGTCCAAGGAAATCGTATCGACGGGATACAATAGGGGAAGGAAAGAAAAGTCAAAAGCCGCATTAACTCGACATAAAGGCTCTTTCTAGTCTACCATAACCAGAGGCTGCCCAGGGTAATATATAAGTTACAGCCCTAGTTATGAATTCGCCTAACTCGGGGCAACCGGAGAACCCTTGGCCCTAGGTCTTGTATTAAGAGCATGCCGTGAGAAGACTCAATAGAACCACTGTTGGTTCTCTTATTTCTCCTCTTTACCGGGAATAGCATGACCCACAGATAAAATATTGAAAAATTCTGCGGTCCCGAACAAAGCAGACTACCTGGGTCCTTTCGACCCCGTCCACGATGGGCTCGCCCGGCCGGTTGTAGTTGAGTAGTTGTCTTTCTCAACTGCGCCGAGATACCGGGACCATTCCACGCATGGGTATGACTGAGATTTCGCATTTGCCACACGAATCAGTCCACATTGTGAGTGGGGTATTTTAGTTGACTACCCTTCGAGGTCATATACTCATGGAGAGAATAGTGTGTTATCCCCCCTCTTTTTTGAGAACCGCTCAAAAAAAAAGACCAAAATAAAGCAAAATATCAATCAATGCCAGATTGATATGGAGCAATTGTACCATGATAGCTGTTTGTATGTCGAATTTTAACCAAGTTGTTGATTGATTCTAACTCCATATGAGTGTACGGAGTTGAGGATGCAGAATTGGTCGTTCTCTTTTTAAGGTTTTCTATCGCCAAGCTTGTTGATAATTAGCGGATCAGATAACTTATTAACCAATTAGCATCCTCCATTACGTATTAATTCACTCATGAGGTAAGCAGTTAACTGAATGGATCTTATCAGATTTCGATATCTACAAAATCTTATCTAATCAATCTTGGTCACTACTGAGTGGACGGTATGGAATATCCTTCCTATAACCCGAGCGACGATACATCGCATAATTACATGGGCGAAAAAAATAACTTTCTTAGAGAAAAGCCAAGTCCGTAACTACAACGCCGCCGCTTTTCAAAATTCCAGCTCCTGATTTTACTCCGAAACAAACACCGAAGTTATTTCTCGTGTCTTCAAGGAGGATGGGTCAAACAGGATTCAGGTTAAGTATAATCTCATTATTGAGGGGTTATAGTTGTATACACAGTCAGTGTTGTGGTTAGAAGCTTAAATTGGAAAGACCATGCATATCCTTGTGGGCTTCAGTGCATAATTAAATTAACTACGCTACCTAAGCCATTTGTGACCGTTACAACCGTCCCCCGTAGAAAAATCGCCCACTACGCAACAGCTGATGAAGATAGCGGGGTCATTTCCTGCATATAGTGGTGGCCTACCGAACACGTGTGATATAGTTTGTTCACCAATATACACACAACGGATACCAAAGGGTATAAAAACCAAGGTCAAGTAAGGTATAATACCCGCCGAAACTCGGGATTAATTGAAACATTGAGGAAGGAGGGATCGGAAGTGCAAGTTCCGCAATGACCTTGTTAGTTCTGGGAACGTATCCGCAGGTGGCTGGCCGTAATTCAAGAGTCAACCGAAGGCCGAGTAGGGCCAGAATAGGCGCTACATATATCTTGCATTAACATACAAGACTTTGACCGCGAGATTCATGATGATGATTGGAGGTTATCCCAGCGTTCTCGAGAGACTTTGCGCAAGAAGTGTACCCAAATCGTATGGATACAGCCAGGGCGCTAATGGCGCTCAAATTTCGGGCCGTAGCTCATGTAACTATGCCTTGTCTTGAACTGTTGAAATCGGATTTCCTCGACATCAGGGTATATTCTCTGTTCCCCTAAGACAGCCGCATGGCCAGAATCCTAGGTCACTTTCTACGTATAACTACCAACTGGATCGGTTTATATAACCTCGCCATAGAAAACCATACTTCGGTCCATGTTTCTGGCCAGGGTAACTAAAGGAATATCTGACCTTGATGTACATGGGCAGTTCGGGGACACTCTAGTTCAAGCTGTTTACGCTATCCAGGATTGGCTTGAATCTCATATATCTGGATGACTGTGGATATAATGATTCGTTCAATCTTGGTAATTAGACCAGGCTTGCCTCGGCTGTATGGAAGTCCCATCCTTATCTGAATTTAGCGGTCTAGTCAAGGAGATAACGGTAAATGTGGGGGTTCGAAATCAGCAGTCCTCAACACAGTCGCTGGAGGATCTAAATGGGGGTAATTTCATAACTTTTTGGTTCTGGTATCGTCAGTTTCACTATCTGTCCTTTGCCTCTTTACTCTCCTATCAGCTGTGCCAGTACACGAAAGTGGGCTACGAACGAAGAATCCGGCAGCAAATTAGTTAACAACAATCCTTGTTGTCTAATGAATGGATCAATAGCCTGGTTAAGAGGATATGGTACGCGAATTGGATCCTGGACTCGAATTGAGCTCCCATGGCATATATCCCATTAAAGGGCTTACCATTATGAGGGTATTTTTGGGTGGTGATAAACCTCTCACTGGAAGAATTGTGCAAATTAAAAGCACGATGTCGAACTCGGTGGCTTCTCATAGAAACGGCCAGCTTGGCGTGTGTGTCATGTGACCACAACGCAGAGCTGGCCCAAGCGTCTTTCAGGTAGCCAAAAATGCAATTGAACACTCAATCACAAGCAAGGATATCAACTATCAACTCGTTTTAACAAACTGATTAACCCTGAAAGCTGGCTTACCTGGCGGCGCAAGTTTATACACTCGCCGGTCAAGCATCCGTTACCGAGATCACACCTACTTTTTAACCAACTTCTCGAATACCCTTCCGTAAACCCCCACCTAGAGCGTTATCGACATGTCGTCAACCGCCGTGGTAGGGGACGACGACGTCTTGGAGCCTACCCTACAATGTCTGTTAGACCATAAGACCCTTCGATGGATATTTGTCGGTGGAAAGGGCGGAGTCGGCAAAACTACAACTTCATGCTCGCTGGCCATACAACTTTCCAAAGTGCGGAAGTCTGTGCTTCTTATATCCACGGATCCTGCTCATAATTTAAGTGATGCTTTCGGCCAGAAATTTGGCAAGGAAGCTAGACTTATTGATGGATATGATAATCTGAGCGCTATGGAGATTGACCCCAATGGAAGCATTCAGGATTTAATGGCTAGTGGGGGCGGTGACGGAAATGACGATGCCATGGGCGGGTTTGGTCTAGGTGGAATGATGCAAGACCTGGCTTTTAGTGTAAGTATCAGCCACAATATCTCTTCGTTGAAAGCTGCTAAAGTTCCGTGTTAGATACCTGGTGTCGATGAAGCCATGTCCTTTGCAGAGGTTTTGAAGCAAGTCAAATCTTTATCATATGAAGTTATTGTCTTTGACACCGCTCCTACCGGCCATACTCTTCGGTTCCTGCAGTTCCCAACCGTGTTAGAAAAGGCCCTTTCCAAACTATCGCAGCTTTCTGGCCAATTTGGCCCCATGCTTAACTCGGTCCTCGGTGCTCGTGGCGGCCTACCAGGCGGGCAAAATCTTGACGATGTGCTATCAAAAATGGAATCACTACGAGAAACTATTGCGGAGGTTAACTCTCAGTTTAAGGATGCTGATATGACCACCTTTGTCTGCGTGTGCATTGCCGAGTTCTTGTCCTTGTATGAGACTGAGCGCATGATACAGGAGCTGACGAGCTATAACATTGATACCCATTGCATTGTTGTCAATCAGCTTTTGTTTCCCGGGAAAGATAATGCGTGCCAACAGTGTGGCGCAAGACGAAAAATGCAAAAAAAGTATTTGAATGAGATTAATGAGCTGTACGAAGATTTTAACGTTGTCAGGATGCCACTGCTCGTTGAAGAGGTCCGTGGGAGAGAAAAGTTGGAAAAGTATGACTACACCACCCTATTTTATATATTCAGAAGTAAACTGACTTGTTCGCCTTGTAGTTTCAGTGACATGCTGATCCACCCTTTCCAGCCAGCCCACGAGGATTAGAGTGACGAAACTATAGAAAAACAGGAAATTTACAGAAAAAGAAAATTATACAGGGCTCGTGGTAATCGAAGAAGGTGGTAAAAACATGAGTGTTTCCCCCATTCTTACATGGTATAGGAGAATATATCTAATTTTTTTTTTTTTTTTTTCTAATAGAAATTACCCAGCCGACCAATAAATGTATTTTCTTCACTGACCAATCAGTACGAAGCGCTTACACCTGACAATCTTTAGTGCTATCTCCGTTGAAAAAAGCGAGAGAACGACGCAATAATTATAAACCGAACCAGGTGAAACGGGTAATGCGCCTTATATTTGCAATGGTTGACTCTTGATGCATTGCTCAAGGGGGCCTGGATGGAGCTGGAGAAACGGATGGAAGCACAGGGTCGCATACATAAATATATCCGCCCTGCTTAGAATAAGCTTGACCCATCCACACACAATGTGAACCCTCAAACTGCGGAGAGGCTGCGACTTGATAATTCCACCAAACTACTCCGTATAATAGCCCTGTCTTCATCTTATCAAGATCCGGCCGGTGGTCATCTGCTAGAAATACCCAAGCCAGGAACTTGCTTGGCTTTCGTCGTGAATATGGACAACGGTTGGCCCACAATGGACGTAGGGTTTTGTCCCTATCTAGTTTCTCTCACAAATCCACTGCAACCGCGCCTTCTAAGCGAACTAGAACTCTCGGGTCCATCCGGAGCCTCCTGAGAGACGGCTCACGAGGCACGCCCTGTGCATGGCGGTCAAGATAGAGCGAGATTTGAGTTATCTACGGGAAATACGAAAAGGAGGACATTACTTGTATTCCTCGGGAGAGGATTTGACCCATGATGTATGGTCGGTTTGGATCGCCATTCGTGGAACACTCCTTGAGTGGAATTACGTTCTGTACTCTGTACTTGTTTTTTCCTTGAGTGCTTATTGACTCGGATGCACAATGCAGCTGATGCTAGTGGAAATAGAGATATGACCTCATTTCACATCTCCCTGTGGGAACAAAGCAGGCAGCAAGAGCTATGAGGAGCAAGGGTTCTTTTCGATACACCTATCCATGCAATCAGATGGATCTATGGAGGAACTACGAAAGAAAAAGTAGCTGAGATCGCCCAGCGCCGTTGATGCACTATCTCGAAAATGATGGCTACTAGTATGTATAAGTTTGCCATCTATGAAAGATGCTTTCGACGGGCACGTCTCTATTGACTATCCTTGCACGCATCTTAGGTAGTTAAGCCTTCCTTTGGAAGCGTGCCATTTATAAGGCTGGGGCAGGGTTATCCAGCATAGGCAGGCCTTCACGCACTCAGGCATCGGGTGGCAAGGCCAGGACACTTCCCCTAGAAAGGGGAATTTAGCTGGAGATGCTGGGGATTCTTTATGCGCCTAACTAGCCAACAGTGAGTCCCACAGGAGCTTTCTACCAATGCGACAATGGGATAGAGACAAGTCAAGGCAAAGCACGCTCGTTCATGGGCTCCAGGGGAAAGGACAATAGGATCCTTTCCCTTCCGGTACGGAGTATCTAGCTGTATCAGTTGCCACTGGCCAGTCCGCTTCACTAAGGAGGCGCCTGTCAGAACAACTTCAGCACTGCCGATGGCTTGTCTTCTCCCCCTTTTCCCACCTTTTTCATTCATACGGATGCCTGCCGACTCGCTGGCGCCAAAGCGTCTTGGGCGAAGACCCGAACTAGGCAGTCTGGTCAACAAAACCTGCACACAAAAGAGGAGCGAAAACTTGCGAATCTGCAAACGCCACGACTGGGACAGGGGGCGTGCAGCGGTAAATGAATATTAGCTGCACGCAGCCCACAACGATCGGAGGCCTGTACGAGCGTGAGTGGATGTGCTGAAGCCTTGTGCTCGCTGGGTGAAGCCTCACTTCGAAGCTGTGGTCGAGAGCTGAGGAAAGGCCGAGCGCGCAGGGATCAGCTGACCTGGGTGGCCCTTGGCTGACGTAAGAGAATAGGGGCGCCTTTTTGCTCCCTGGAAAGTCGGCGGGAAATATATAAGACGGAGAGAGACGCCCGCCGGCGCTGCGTGCTTGCTCTCTGCTCTCCCGTCTCTTTGGCTGGCTACGAGGAAGAAGCACCGCTGTGTACGAAGCTGGCCGTGTGATGGACGACAACTAGTCTGCTGTTTCCCCCGTCTTTTTCTGTCTACCTCCCTTCATCTTTTGCAGAAGATGAACGTCTGAGTGTGTTGAACATCCGTCCTCAATACACGCTGCACTGCACGGCACAACCACCCCCTGCCTGTGACCGAGTCATAGATAGTCTATATCTATACCTTTGTATCCTGCGTCCGCTTTGTACTCTCTTCATCTACTCTCTCTCGTCGTCTTGTCTTTTTTTTTTTTGTCTGCTCTTGTTTTCTTCACGTTTCCCCCCTGTCAACGCTTCTCAAGCTACCCCCTGAAACCACGGCGTCCAGTCAAGAAACAGAACAAAGGACAAGGAAAAATGTCACAGCCCGAGCAGTACTGGCTACCAGGCTATGAGCTATCTCGACAAGTCATTCTCAGCAATATCCACATCTTTCTCGGCCCGACGGCGTCCGCGAGGCCATATACCTACCATGTATGGAACCTCCAACCTTTCACTAGTGGATGTATAACTCTTCCGTTTTCCACGTTTCCTGACACTCTAATTCTAGGGCCGAGATGGATACCTAGTCACTGGAAGCAGACTCACCCAAGTACGTCATGCCCTTCTCTCCCTACTGGTGCGGCCTACTTCCATATCTGTGGACCGATTTGCCTAATGATGTGACCGCAGCAACAAATCGACGACCTGAAGAGTATGTCTAAGAAGTTTGAACTGGACCAGACGATAAAGACAATGCAGTTGTCAAGTAGCCACGAAGAAGCAGGTGACCCAGCCACTCAGACCTCCATCCATAAGCCTGTGCCGGTGTCCATTTCCAGAGGCCGTGAGCGAAATAGAGACCGAGATCGGGGAAGAGAACATCGTTCTTATGATCGTGGGTCACGATCGAGGCGATACCGGTGTTGAATACAACAGGGCACGACATGATCTTGGATATATTCATTATGTCCACGGATCTACTTACTGTACGAAGCATACAGTACACATCTTTGTTTCTTTCTTTCTTTCTTTTTTTCCTGGATATCCCCTTTTGACGCTTCTTTTCCCTCTATGGGTCGCTACGTTATGGTGCTTGGTGGCTTTCTACTTTTGCTTGAATAGACACACTGTTTTGATACAACTGTCGACGAAACTTCCCAATACGTTGTCCCTCCATATAGGTAGACTCGCTCTACTTTGGAGTTTAATATCTTATATAGGTCCATAATGGGTCAATCGAAGTAAAAAACATGTGAACAGTTAAGGCATAAATCTCGTTTACCATTGAAACTAAAATGTTTAAGAAACCTATGCATAGACAAGAGTATGCAGACCGTTAACACACACAACACACGGGATTAACTTGAAAAACGCCCACCCAAAACATGTCAATCCGAGCAGCCGTTCCATATGGCGAAGGGATTGAAGGAAAGAAAACATAGGTTGGAAAGGAAGAAGACTAGAAGAGGAGTGTAAGGGTGTCGGCATCGGGACGAAAAAGAAGATGGGCTTTTGGATCATTCCTCCGTTCATCATAAACATTGACTTGAGTAAAAAATGAGGCAACCAAATCACGTCTAGTGTTGAGAATTAAATTAAATTTATTTGGCAACAGCCGAGCTAGAGATTATATTAGCAACTTCCCAGGAATATAAAAGGGATAATAAGAGCATACCTTAAGACTTGTGTTCGGAAGAAACCTCCCTTTGTCTTTTCGATGACTTGCTGATAGACTGACTGGGGAGGGTGGTTCATGAGAACAGTTCCTTCCTGATAATCGATCTTTGCATCAACACGGGTGTCGCGGATCAAGTTGACTATCCATTTCTCGCCTTCATTCTGACTTAGTCCAAGGCGAGTGGAGAGGTCACTATAGATTGGTTAGTATGCCATACGTAAAATAGCACGAGCTTAGTAAAAGAAAAACATACTTGATGTCAATTCTCTGGTGGATCTTGCAGTAGCTCTCTGATATTAAGTGTCTAGCAGACTCAACAAAGGCATCCGCCGCAGCAACAAGGAAGAAGTCACTCCGTAGAACTTCTTCAGCTTCACCAAGTTTCTTCTGGGCCTCTTCAAAATCGAAATCAATGTAGAGAGCCTTGATAAACTCGGTAATAGGATCCTGGTATTCATATTCTTCCTGTCGAACAACACGGATGAGATCCTTGAGTTGTTTCTGGTACAGGGCAGAGTTCTTGTGAGCGCGGCTTCGGTTGGTGATGACGGCGGCAGTGAGGTAGCGGAGGATCCAGGGGCATGCGGTTTGTATGGTGTTGATGTAGGCGGGGTGGAAAAACATATCTGTGAGCACATCACGGGCAGGCTCGTGGTTGAAGAATGGGAATAGAGACCAGTGGATGAGCCATGAGCGGTGCTGGAGCTGACCGAGCGGGTTGTTAAAGAGACGGGTATCAATCGAATCCTTGACCTTGGTGATTTCTTCCATGGCACCCTCCCAATTGGTAGTCAGGATTTCACAGGCGAGTTTTCCCCACGTAGCGGCAGCAACCTTGTCATTATCAGTGGAGAGGACACGGAACTGGTATAGAAGTTCAGCAGCGTTTCCATAGCTACCACAGCTGTACTGGAATCGCCCAAAATCGTAGAGAGTGTTGACCATCTCAATGGTCGCTCCGTGCTGCTCCTCAAGGAACTTCAAGTTGGCGGCCTTATCACTGCGCAGATTGCCTACTACAGCATCGTCCTGTAGCAACTCTGTGATCTTGCTGCTTGCATCAACGTAATGCTGCAGTTTCTGCACGACCTCTTCTCTCTTAGTAACGAATTCCTCTGGTACAGTATCTGAATCGTTGATTTCCTGCCACAGACTGGCAATATAGTCTGCCATGTTGGTATGCTTGAGGAGCTCATATTTCGACTTTGTGATCTGGTCGATAGCCTCCTCGTCCTCCTCCTGATTTGACGCAAACTCTAGCAGCGGGAAGATGAGCTGACGGTCGAGATATGGGATGAGCTTAGGGAGCAAATCGTGCTTTTTGGCGACCTCGTCGGCGGTGGCTGCAGACTGCGCGGCGGCATCCTTGAGCAGCGTGCTGGCTGATGTCGGGGCGTTGTCTGCCATGGTCACGGTCTCGCTCTTGCAATAGCCAGTCGGGGTATACCTTCGTGAAGCGGTCCGTCGTCTTCAGTCTCTCCGTCGTTCGTCCTGCGTCGTCTATCTTCGTTTATCGTCTTCGTCCCGCCAAAAATTAAATCGAACTTTTTGATGGTTTTTTTTACTTGTGTGGTGGAAGCAGAAGCGCTAGTGCCCGATCGGGTTAAGCGCAGAAAGCATCGGGTGACTTCGACTTTTTATATGAAAAAAGCGAGAAGGAAGAAGAAAAATCGACGTCGAGATAAGAAGAAGAGGACGCAGACAAAAATCGGAAGAGAGAGAGAGCTCTTTTGCCTGACAAAGAGACCTGGATGCTATAGAAGAGAAGCTCGGTCTAGCCAGACAGACGGGAGACACTCGGCTTTTCACCAGCTTCAACAGCTCTCTAGCACGGCCAGCACCAGCTAGCAACTTCACACCTATCAATCAAGATGGCCTCTATACTTCCTGCTCAGCGGTCAACAGTCCAATGCCTCCAGCGCAGTTTTGCCTCTCCAGCCTCGTTTAACAGTCTGCTGCGAACAGCAGTCCCACAGTCGAGAAGTTTGCGTAAGTAGAGACTTGTTCCCTCGTGCCTCCAATTGAGCAATCTATACCATCGCAGCAATACAAACCAAATCAACCGTAACTAGCAATGGCAACATATACTAACATATCAGATATAGTATCACATTCTTTCCCCGCTACTTCTTCCCGCACAATCGTCACGCACATCACTCGACCATTCACTGCTCCCAAATCTACCCGCAGCCAGGCTAGTTTGCAGCCTCAGCAGTCCGCTCCAGCAGGACAAGCTGATTCTCTCCCACTCACTAATCTACCATATTTTATCCGCCGAACCCCTTCGAACCAACTACCCATTTACCTCGTTACCAAGGCCGGCGGAACCAAGCAGGAGACTCGACTCCGTAAGACAGAAGGAGACCTTAATGCTCTTCGAGATGATTTGGTGAAATACCTTGGCCTTGAATCTAAGCCATCGGAGGTATATATCAACCAGACGAACGGACACATTACAATAAAGGTACGCTGTTTTCGCTTTACTCACGACAGTACTGGATCATGTCTAACGGTGTTTGGTCTATAGGGATGGCGAAAGCCAGAAGTTACGCAATTCCTCCTTGATCGACGATTCTGAACGAGAAAAATCTCCTCTCTTTTTCCTGTCCAAAATGTATTATTTCATACCACTTCTTCAAAACGGCGTTTAGCGATATTTGATTTCTGATTCCGCATACTCCGCATAACCTACCTCCCTGGTCTGTTCTGATAATGCTCTCGTCTTTATCTGTTTCACTCCCTATTCCCTTCACGCTTAGCTTAGTCTGGTACGGATTGGTTGGTGATTTATCATTTGGGCATGTCATTACTGTTGGGGGTTTTCTCGTGTTCCTGTCTCTCATTTGAAAAGCTACGGACAGTTGTATAGTATGTATGTGTCTATGGTATTGTTAACTTGCTCTTTATGTACTTATGTGCATACATACTATAGCTGTGTGTGCTATTGAATAGGGTCTACTCCGCTTATCAACGTCAAGTTCAAGAAGAGAAATCAGAAGATGTAGAGGACATGCAAGTTAATGAGTAGATGGATTTCGATTAAGCTGCTCGAAAATGTTGTTTGTTACCCAGGTATGTGATTAGGACCTTCACCTTAACGCCCTGCATAAAATAGGTAGTCGAGATATACATGCAATGAGAAACATATAGACAAAGACAAAAATGGGTAGAAAGCAGTTGTTTGATGATATGGCGCGTTTATATGTTTGCATGCATGCGTACATGCTTGCTTGCTTTCCTCCTTTCAGTGCTTTTAATGTTTCTCAACTCCCCCCATACCATACATAAATACATACATACAATTCCCTCCTAGTCCAAAAGTTCAATCTGAAACATCGTCATTCTTCCCAGCAAGCCGAGCTGGTTCGTGGATATGATTTGGTAAACCAAATTCCCAACGACGAAAGGGGGAATGACGGAGAAAGAAGATAGAGACAAAAAGGTAGACGAAAGAAAAGAAGAAGGGAAATAAAAAAGGTGAAACTGAAAAAGATAATAACGCGAAACGAGAGTCAATAGCGGGGAGGGAAAAGGCGTTTGGTTGGGTGGAAAAGATTCAATGGCAGCCGACCGCCTCCTTTATTTTCACACGCAAGTCCAGATGCAAAGAAAATCTGTGGTTTGTATGCTAGCTACCGTCTGTCTAGCTCTTGATACAATGATGCATAGATCCGGGCCGGTATTTAGTAATTATCTCGATAGCCCTTCGAATTCGCAAAGCAATTTGAGCGTGCTTGGGTCGATGACTCTTGAAACCAATGCACCTAGTATATTCTCCTTCTTAGGCAGGACGTTGAGCCCCAAGTCTATACCGCCCTGCTTGCCTTTATTTGCCTTCCGTACTTTTGAGGCAAGTCTGTTGAGTATACCGAGTGCACGAGAAACAATGGTAGAGTAACCTTGTGCATCATCCTGCCTGGCACCAAGAGCATTGGGATGTTGGGGAATAGACTGACGAGGCCTTTCTGTACTTAATAGTCCAGCAAGGTGAACAAGACTAATGGCAAATCCGTCGTGGGAACATAGCCAAGCACGAGCAAATGAAGCATCGGCGAGAGACGATAGTACCTCCGCAGCTAGAAGACCTTGCATGAGGAACGGCTTGCGAGCTTCCGTTATAGGTAAAACGTTCCCCTTTGAGTACTCCGGTATTATGGAGATGGCAAGTGCGAACGCACGCGTTAGGAGATACGTTGAAATATGCGCGCCAGCCGTTGATGCATTGACAGAGGGGTCGGAGAAGATAGACTTGTAGAGGGTACGATTGGGGTCATCACGGGCTAACAGCTTAGCTAAACTGTCGACTGCTGCTGGCAGATAGCGATGGATGCTTGGCTGGTAACTAGGGAAGATGAGAGGTTCGTCGTCTGATGTTGGTGTGGTAGTTAAGGGTGCAAATGAAAGGAGGAAATTTAGCAGCGCCAGGGCCTCATCCTTTCCTGGTATATGTATGGCGTGGGCAAGGTTGCTGAGGAAGATGAGAACGTCTTTCATGAAGTCTAGGGTATTCTGATGCGTGCGAAGGAAAAGATGCCTAGTGCCCATATATCGAATGGCAAGAGCAAGGAAACGGACAACGCTTGGAGCAGAGAGGAGAGGGAAATTTGATTCCGAGAAGCTGAAGTTGCGCAATATGGTGGTAATACAGATGAGACGGTCGACCGCTCGATCGAGGGAGTGTTCTAAACTGCCAAAGGGTGGAACGTCAAGCAACGACTCGATCTCCTGGCGGCATCCGCGCAGTAGTTCCTCGTACGAAGCCAGCTGTATCTCATCTGATACTTCCGGTGAATGTTCCGCGAGCAATTCAAGGTGGTCTGTTGCTGTATCTAGCATAGTTGGAAGCAGATCATCGCAGTTTTCGAGAGAGAGATGGACCGCTGGTTCAGCGGACAGGGTTGTTAACGTGTCTAGGGCCAGACGAGTTTCAGAGATGAGTCCAGATTTGAGGCTCATCGTTAGAGCATGGATGTCGATTACACCCAACTCATGGAATCGAGGAACGGTGGGCTTCAGACGGAGTAGATCATCACCCAGAGGGAATAGCTCATCGACGATGACAGGACCATGGAAAACAGGCTCAGGGAAGGTTAGAGGTGTATACTCCTCCGGTATTGGTTGCTTGAAAGTGTACGTTGGTGGAGCAAACGCATCTTCTTTCACAGAGGGAGAGGCTATGCTCTGGCCATTGGGAGACATAGACAGAGACTCTGCGTGACTCAACCCAGAGTGTTGCTGTAGCTTAGGCTTGCTAGGTGTTGAGTAGCCGTTCATAACTTGAGGTGGCTGCTGCTGCATTGACGGTTGCATGAACCCCTGTGCTGGCGCTTGTGCTTGGACCTGAGGGTCAAAATGGCTATTCATTGGCTTGACAGGAGACATTATGTCATTCTGAGGCTGCATCGGCATTTGGATCTGCGGCTGCGGTTGTGACTGGTCGCCTGGTTTCTGGTGTGTAGAGAGCCAGGCCTGTTCGTAGGCGGCAAGGTTACGGTAATAGTGATCCCGTATCTCTCGTGCAGCTGTGGGATACTGCATAGCGGGAAAATGCAGCTGTTGAGCGACGACTGGCCATGAATTAGTATTGGTAACCTTTTGGGAACCGCCTAGCTTCATGACAGTCGCGTAGAGCTGCATAAGGACAATGGGTCGTCCGCACACGAGAGGAGAGGGATCAAGCGGTAGTCGTCGAGGAATCATAAATTTCTGCAGCACGCGAAGGAATCCTTCTGGTGTGGTAGGTTTGGCCATAGCCTGTGCTTGAGCCTGGGCCTGGGCCTGAGCCTGAGCCTGAGCCTGAGCTTGAGCTTGAGCTTGAGCTTGTTGTTGAGCTACAACCTGGGCCTGTTGCTGGGCAGCTTGAACGGCTTGCTGCTGTACGGCATGCTGTTGTGCCTGTTGTTGTGCCTGCTGCTGTTGTATGTGGCGCATAGCAGCCATCTGGCTCTGCTGTTGGCTCGACATTTGCTGGCCTGGCATTCCAGGTGGTACCTGTTGTTGTTGTTGCTGCTGTTGTACTTGTTGTTGCTGTTGCTGGCGCACCTGGTTAGCCATGTGCATCTGATACATCTGCTGACGCGCGGCCATCTGTTGAGCATGCGAAGGATATCCAGGCATCATAGGGTTCTGGTTTGGAGTCTGTTGGACTTGACCTGGATAAGGCGGGCCTGGAGGGTAGGAGGTGGGAGCTTGAGGGGTGGCAACACGGCTTCCGTGGTCAGATGAAGGCTGGCCGGGCTGTACCGCAGCACTGGGGAAAGGGGAAGGAGAGGTAGTTTGTACTCTCTGCGCATCAAACTCCTGTGGCACTGGAGACGGGCTAGCTGTCGAAGAGGCTGCCTGCTGAAAACCCGGGTGAAAAGCAGGAGCAGGGCCACCGGGAGCCGCACCAGGTGCGGGAGGAAAATGAGAAGCTCCGTTGGCATTAACAACAGCTGCTCCGCCGCCTACGGGAGTTTGCTGCTGCTGCTGTTGTGGTTGTTGCTGCTGTGGTTGTTGATAGCCTGGATAAGCGCCATGTTGCGGTGTCTGGGAGCGCGAGACGGCAGTTGGGGGAATCCCTCCTGGTACCTGACGAGGAGACGAGACGAGAAAGCCATCATCTGGTCGCGATCGTTTCGACGGGACGACGGAGTTTGGCGGGTGGAATCCAGGAGACATGCGCGATGCCGGCGAGGGAGTTGCGCCATTGAACATGCGCGTGAACTGGGGAGTGTCCGACGGCGCGGGAGATTGAGACTGCGGCTGAGACTGAGGCGGCTGTTGCTGTTGCTGTTGCTGCTGCTGCTGCTGCTGCTGCGATTGAGGCTGCAGAAAGGCCATGGAGGGATCTATGGTGGCCGGCGCGGGTGGAGGAGGATGGGGGGGGTTGGCGAACGCGGTCCCGTTTCCATGGCCATTGACGTTGGGGTTGCCTGCGCCGGGGTCAAGGGGCGATGGAATGGCGGGCGGCGTATCGTGGAGCCAGGCGTTCATGGCGAGTTAGACACCCATCCGATTGTGCCGTTTGGATAGCTGTGGGAAGCTCCCCCGGTCTCTATTTTTTATTTTTATTTTTATTTTTTTATTTTTTGCTGCGTGTGTTGACGATGGGATTTCTGGGGACCCGTAGGAGTGAGAGTTCCAGGGTCAAGGCCGATCGAGCGAGTGAGACAGCAGCAGAGAACGCGTGCACCAGGTCAGACGGCCCTCAGCTCGCTGTCCGGCGACGTGGCTGTGTGGGTGCTGTTGGCAGGGAGTGCAGGCAAAGCGAGAGGTGAGGTCGCGAAATGCCGCGTCTGGCGTTTGCTTCTTTGCGCTTCGATGAAATCTTGTTTCGCCTTTTTTTTCTCTTGTGGATGTTTCTGCAGTTTCCCAAAGGGGGAGGGCGGTGAGAGGGTCACGTGTTCTAGGATGAGTCAGCAAGAGAAGGGCGCAGGCAGCGCAAGCGGCCAGGGGAGGTCGCGGAGGCAGAGGCGGGTAGGGGAGGCTGGCGGAGCAGCTGGAGGGCAGAGTCAGGGAAGCAGAGGCAGCGGGAGGACAGGAGGGATCGCCAGAGCGAGAGGTGAAGCCGGAGGGAAGACAAGCTAAGCGCCAGGCGCGAGTGAAGGGAAGGGCGTCACCGTCACGTCTGGCGGCATATCAGGATCGGGGCGGGTAGGGGAAGAGGCTGAAAAAAGGGGGCCCAGACGTGCTGACTTACGCCTTGACTAACGCTACCTTGACTGCTTGCGACGCTTCCAAGGGCCGGACGAGACAGCAGACCGAGCAGACGGCGAGTAGGAGAAAAGAGCGTCGTGTTAGGGGACGGACGGGACGGGCGGAGCATGCATGGAGTTCCCAGCCTTCACTCTCTGTACGCTGAGATAGGCATACGTCACGTCGGGTGCTTGGAGACGCAAGAGGCGGCGGAATCTATGCTCCCGGGCAGAGAGAGATACGTCTATATGCCTATCACAAGCGACGCTTCTTTCTTCCTCTCGTCTCTTTTCTCTTCGTCGCTTTCGCTGCCTTTTTTGCTTCTTTCTCGCCGCCCATCCCCTTGATTACTAAGATTATATTCACGTGATGCCGTTTCCTTTTGATAGGAGACACTACTGGGTTTTGATCCATCCATTATTAATTAATATTAGAATAAATAAGAGACATCTAGAGAGTTGACCAACTACGTCCACGAAGATAGCGAGAGGTAGGGTACGTAAAGAGTCGCGAGAGAGTCCGGGTGTATCTGTCTGTTCGCCGGCGACCAGTAGTAGTGGGAATCTTTCGTTGGGCTCTCTTCGGTGTGGTGCAAACGTCCTTCTCCCGCTGATCACTCGCACACTGTGAACACAACCCATCAACTCGAACATCCAGGATATTTCGTCGCGCTGATGTCCTGCATAAACGGATTCTGCCGTTCGGGCTTCTTGTATTACAGCACATATGTCGAAGCTTCGCGAATTTATGGCCGCATTTCGCTGAATAAATTTCATACCACCCACACGGGCAGTTGGTTCGCTTGTCAATAACGCCGTGTTCGGCGATGTATGTGCGTATATCTTTTCGGTCGATAGTCCTGGATTCGTCGTCCCCTAATGTGGGCATGTTGATGGGTAGAGAGAGGGAAGTTAGGTGGGAGTCATTATTCCTTGCAACTGAAAGATGGCCCCTGGTGAATATTTATAGACGTCAGCCCGTTGGCTGCTACGCACGGCGGCTACAGGAAACATGTGTATCTGCCTGATCTAATAATATATTCTCTTGGTTCCAGGATATGCATGTTTAGTTACCGGTTAGCTCATCACGCCTAATCGCCCATTTAACTGCCCGGCTCCCGTAACTTTTATTCCTGTTCTCCTTTTATTTTCATCTCCCCACTAGTTATTTATTTAACCAGGTGGTAAGGTACCCAAGTCTGGTATCCCTAATGGAGACGAGGTCACAGCATCGAAGGGCTGAGACGACTTCACAATTAGATTGGCTATTTCGTATGCTGTAAGGCGTAGTTATGTGTTGGTAAAATGCTTGGATAGCTTATAGTTTCCCCTGAAAACGCACATTGGCAATTTCCAGTAAATAGTTTCTATAATATATATATATATATCAAGGCCAGGCTGGCATGGCAAGGGTTCAACGTCGGAAGTAAAAGGACGGGGAAAGAAAGGGCCAACTACCCGGCGTCACGCTCACACATATAACATAGACGTGGAATCTTGACCTCGTCGATAACATTCCGTCGAGCTGGCGATTTGCAAAAAACCTCCAAACATGACTTGGTCATTTTAGCTCCGCAACAATGTCGGTATCGATTGTATTCGTGGGTGCAGATTGCCGAGTGGAAGACGTACCATCCACACGTACATCCCGTCCTTGGGTCAATACGGAATCCCTTGTTTTTCGCGAGATACGGCAATATCTCATTAGGCTGGATGTATTGTAAGGGAGGCTCGGGACTTTCCCTCTCGGGCTCAACGTTTTTGGGTGTCGACGGTGTAGGCACAGGAGGCTGGACGCAGACATTCTCAGAGATGTATGTGCTTGTGTCGTTAAGCGATGCTTGAGTTACTTTCATATCTTTGGATGCGGCCTCTTGACGACGCCGCTCATCTTCACGTTCGATTTTCTTGGATTTGGATTGTCGTTCCTGGAATTGTCTAAACCTTGAAAGTTTGGATTTTGCAGTTTTGTATTTCGTTATCCTGTTGCTTTCTCCCTTGATTTTGGTAATTCGAGGTTTTCCTTTTCTTGTTTCGGCCATGTCCCGTCGTAGAACGAGCGGGAATAAGTACCAGAGAAGTATATACAGTATTTAATTAAATCAATAATGTAGAGTATAGTATATAGCCAGCCAGCAACTTTAATATATGTAGTTAGTTATGCGAACGAAGAGGTTTAGAGAATGCAGCTGAGCAAACGACAACCAGTTAACTAGAGTTTAACCATGCAATGCAGGCCAAGTAACTAACTAATGAGCACGGAGGTAAATGATTAACTATTCATGCATGGAAGTCCAGAGAGTGGCTTGATTCAGTATCTACACCCACGGTAGTGCTGGCTCAATCAGTATAAAATACCTTGGATTGCAATAAAGATGTTTTATCTGTCGCAGTGAGTTATAAGTAGTCGACGAGAGACTAGCCAATGGTCCAATAATAGCCATCAAGTATATATACCAAGGTCCTGAATACAAATGAGCGAATCAGTAGTTATTCGTATATAGAAACCAATAAGCCTCTTTAGATAAGTAGTTAGATGACTATTAACTGGTTAGTCAATGATTAAACAAAGTAGCGAGTGGATAGAAGGAAATAAGAAAATACTAAAGTTTATCTCTACGACCGCTACCAATATTCTAGCTAATACGTTGTACAACAACCCATGGAAATATTACACTTTTAGATCCAAGACCAATTCAATAGCCAGCTTGTGGGATGTTAATTGCATATAGAATTCAATGAGTGATTTAGTATATATTGAGTGGATAAGGAGCCTTATAATATAAAAATCGACGCTGAAGCAGGGGACAATATATAGCAATGTATAACAAGATAAAATAGGGATGGATGGGACTGTGAGCTGGAAAAAAAAAAAAAGAAAAACAAACAAACAGGGGCTTAGGGCAATGATGCAATAAGTACTAAAAGAGGGATGGGGAGGGGGAAGGAGGAAGGAGGAACCTGAGGAATGTAAGAATGGGGTTGCTAAACATAGGGGATTGCCGGCATCAATGAAAATACAGCTGAGTATGTCAAAAATGAGAGGAAGTAGAGGAAATAAGCGGATGAACAATATATGAGATAAGCAACCGCAAATGCTAGCCTAGCGGAAGATTGTCCACGTGGTCTCCAGGAACCTAGTAACTGAACAATTTTATGACATAGACGTTGAGATTGAAGCCATATAAACGTCCGTTGCGAAGAAAGGAAGCCGTTTTCGGAGACACCAGTTGATTGTCAGTGGTTGGCGGTTGAGGGCACTCGTATATTGAGACGGTTTTATATTTTTCCATGTAGAGTGTGATTGGAAGTAAAGGTAAGTGACCGGTATGTTGCGGTAAGAACGGTGGTGGTGAAGCGCCGAATTCGTCTAATGGCAATGTTTGCATGGGACGTTCACGCGAGCGGTCATCAAATACTCTTTCACCGGATACTTGCAGAATATACTGTTATTGGTACTTAGGCTCGCGGATTTTCCACAGTGATGGGCATATCTCTGGACTTCATGGCCACAAACGGACGAGTAGAATACATATCGTCCACATGTACAGCTTTGATTGATAAAACGTGTGTCATACCGAGGATTGTTCTGGGTATAAACAGGAATGTCGGTGGTTGTAATGATCTGTTGCTGATTCATAGTGCAAGATGATGTTGATATTTTCTGGGGGAGCGGACAAGATAGAGAGACACAAAGGGATGAATTGAGTATTTTCAGGAGAGATATATTGAGGATCTGATTGAATGTGGATTAGGGGGCTTAGAAGTGCTTGATGATGATGAGCAAGAGAAAAAACCGTGGGAAAGAAAGCACGCTTTATAGAAGTGTACGTGTAGTAGTAGCAGAGAACAATTCCGGATATGATGGGCCAAAGCAATGCTTCATGGTGATCTGCTGCTGCTGCCTAGAGTATGTCAACCGACTGCCCGAGGAATAGTAAGAGAGAGAAGCTGGTGGAAAGAGAACAGGGAGACTATCCAATGAATGGACCTTTCCAAGCGCCTTCTTCCATCGTGCTGTACATAGCTGCCTGGGGCGGAGCATTACCCCGGCATAAACATGGTATCATGTCGCCCAATCTATCTGAGTCATTTGCAGCATCCCGGGCTGGTTCTCGAGTTCTTTGCGGCGCATCCGCGGGAAGCAAGCAACATAGATCTAGTCGGAGTTGTGTGAGGCAGGAATGACTGGCTAGGAGTTGCCAAATCGCATCGGCCCTAAAGTATAGGTATCTTTGAGGAGGCATGGGTTATAGAGACGGGTATATGTTATGCGCTGTTAGGCACGCAGCTAACTGGACTTCCGGGCCGTCTCACTTGCCGCTGAAGTAGGTATTGATGCGAGACTGCATTAATGTTGGTTTCTCTGGCCAGTAACGTCTTGCATGAAGTTTCATGATCAGCAATTGAGCCATCCTCAAGTAATGAGTTTTTAAGCGCCGTTGTGGGCCTCGTGAGATGACTCGGGGTTCATTCAGCCAGCGGAAAGCCATATTGAGACTTTCCAGGAGATATGTGGTGTATGAGCGAGGTTGTTATGTCAAATGTTACGAGTGCATGGTTTCTATTTTCAGTGAACCTGATATAGTTATTCGTGGCACGAATGGAGGACGCTTTGACAGCAGTGGGGGCCAAAGTTAAATTCCGGCTAAAGTTTAGTTAACTCAGTTAGTTAACGACGAACCGGGGGCTGTCACCAGCGATGAGCCTTATTGGCAGGGCGGAGCTAGGCAGACATCCAATTATTATTGCCAACCTTGCTCCTCTGGACACTGCATTGACAATGGGGGGCCTCGGGTGGGCAAGCACGATGGAGTAATATTCCATTCTGACTAACTTAACGGGTTACTTGTTGGCGGTTAACTAACTAACTAACTAAACTAGTTATATCACCAGAAAGCCCCCGTCCCAGCCAAGTTCACTTGCGATTTATTCATCGTGAGAATCTGGACCTGTCAACCCGAACCATCATTAACCATTTACTGCACTTTGACTCGTGATATAACTAACTGCCTGAATTATCTGTTTTAACCTACACACAATACCTCCGGCTTCTCTCACTTGAGGTGAACCTCCGGCATTTTGAGCCAAATCCCCGCATCCTTCAACCGCCTGCACATTCCCAGAATGATCGATTCAAGAAGGCGGTTTCATTTCAGCAATGGCATGGACGACTTAGTGGATATGAAGTGGACTGTCATCGATTGGGATACTCGTCGATGGCTACAACTCATCGGCCCTTCTGAGCTACTGGGCGGAGATGATATCGAAGCGTATAGGCAAATCGCAGCCCGATTCGCAGACCAGCTTGGCCCAGACCAACACACCATAGTTGTGGATAAGAACGGGGCCCTGGAAAAGTTCACTCGTGAAGATATTACTATGGAAGTGCGATATCCTAAATACACGGGGCCTATGGACAAGAATCAAGTTATACGCAGGTCGGAACTTACTGAACTTGATAGGATCAATATCTGTACGGATTTGGTGGAGTACAACTCCTCTGATGGTGAGACGACTGGTGAACGTCTCGTTTTCAAATATACCATCATCGATGATATTCTCTTGAATCTCTGGCAGAATCTCCATATACTCAAAGGATTGCAGGGCAATGATCTCTTTGTCCCATTCCACCGCATCGTCATCGACGATGTGAATGAGACAATCCTCGGGTTCACCTCTATATATATGTCTGGTGGAACTCTCAAGGATTACCGCGGCACTTTCTACTTCCGCTGGTTAAAGCAGATCACCGATGCAATCGATCAGTTGAATTTACGCTACGGAATCCTGCACCAGGACCTTGCTCCTCGGAATATTCTGATTGACCCCACAACGCACGATTTGAAGGTCTTCGACTTTGATATGTCGGCAAAGATGGACGGGCAGAACGGACTGACTACTTCCATTGACGTTAACTCCGTCATTATCACAGTGTATGAGGCGTTAACAGGAGATGAGCAATTTGTTCGCATACCGCCTTGGGAACGAGATACCAGCAATATTGAAAAGATGGAAGAGTGGAGCTTACAACTTCCTCTTGAAGATGGATTTGATATCTCGGATTACAGGAAATATTTGAGTGAATGGGCAGCTGTACGCAGGACCACAAAGACGATAAAGCACTCTTCTGAAGCAACAGAGCCGTTATCAATACCAGAGTACCCCAAACTTGTACCATATCAACCACGAAACGAATTCAGAAATTTTGATGTGTACACGCGATCGAGAGCTGAGGCAGAGGAGGCCGGGGATTATGTTACACGTTGGGAGAGACCGGCGCAGCATGAGTTGACTACATCTAATTGAGCAGAAGTTGCCTTGCCTACTGCACCTTGGCCATTTCAGATTCCTACTAACGTTATGTGTTGAGAATATAGAGACGTTGTGATGTATTGTAAGGAAATAGCCAGATATTTCTATCAAACCATGGTATCTTTTTTTTCTCGCTATGCAGGTTCTATTTTTTTGTAACCGTGATAATCATACACATGCATTTCGTTGATTTTGTTCCCAACCGTAAACATTCCCAATATCCATTCAAACCAACGGTAGGGGGGAACCAATCCTTCATTCGTTTATCTCATTAAGCAGATGGAGAGTCTCCATCATGCTGCACATCCATCGTCTCCATTTTCTCCTTCATTTCTTGCTCTTCACGCGCAACCTCTTCCTCCCAATCTTCAACTACATCTTCATCAGCATGTGCATCAGCACCGTCCATTCCCAAAGCGCCAAATCGCGAGGCAGTGCCAACGGTTCGTCCTAATCCAATGCCGCTACGCAGTACCAGCTTTCCTTTCGGGTCGCTAGGCGTAGCAGTTCCAAATCCATAAGGAGAAGCTTCACCTGGGCTGCTGCTTGTGCCCGGGCGCTTTCTCGATACAACCTGTGCCCATCCGTCATTGGCACTGGCGGAAGATGCCTCTTTAAGAGCAGCTTCAAGCCTAGCACGTTCAGCGGCCGCCTCGCGTTTGGCGGCTCTTTCTTTCAGTCGTTCTCTGTCACGGAACTTGGCGCAGTCACCTACGCTGATTCCTCGAATACCTATTCCTGGTCCAGCAAGAGAGGGCGGCAACCAACCGCCAGATTTGAAAACGACGACATGTCTATGGGGTTCTGGGTCGAGACTTTCGGATTTGAAACCCCAATCTTCCGCAAGCGAATGGACGAAGGCACGGAAATTGGCGCGAGCGGGTGGGAAGCGAGCTGAGCGGTCTGTCATGCTACGAGCCAGTTCGTAGAGCTTGGATTCGTAAGTTTCCATGGTCGAGAGTGAAGAAGACGAGGCTAGTTCCATGTACATGTCAAGTGTTTCCTTGGAGTAAGGGAGGTTCTCCAGTGTGAGTGGTTCGGACGCTGTCGCAGTGCTGGATGGATCGACCTCGAGTCCAAAAGCAGAAGCAATAGTGCGGTTACGCTGGATTCGACCACATTCTTCATCACAGGGGAGAGATGATGGGGCTTCATGTCCCTGGCGATCCTTATCCTTGGTTGCACCACAGCGTTTTTCCTGTTTAATTCGTCCGCACTGGCAGGTGACTGTAATCTTTGACTGGCATGGCGTCTTCTCTGGACATGGGAACGGTGCATGACATGGTTCAGTGCAGATGTGGGAGCACTGCTTTTTAATCTTCCCACACTGTTGCTGGCAACTAGTTATAGAGTCTTCACAGTCGCCAGGGCGGTGACATTCCTTTTTGCATGTATGCGAACCACACTGGAGTTCCTGGCCGCAAACAAGTCCACATCTAGCATCAACCAGCCAGCAAGGTTGATTCTTGAGCACCTTCTTTCCACATAAACACTTCTTTTCCGTTAAGAATGGGCATTTGGGACAGGATTCGTCGTCTGTATGGCAATTATGTGGTGTCTGGGGGTGACCACATCGTTTGGACCGGCCGCAGTTGAAGTTACAGGCCGGTGGTCCTGTTCCACAGGGTAAGGGAGGGTAGAGTACAGATCTGCCGCAGTTGCATGTAATTTCGTGGAATATGGCTTCTGGACACCTAGCACAGGGACCTCGATGGCACAGCTCCTGGCACTCGTGGGTACCGCATTTGAGGAGTTTCCCGCACACACGCGTGCAGATATGCTCTGCCTCAATGTCATTTTCATCAGTCTGTCGAACGTTCAGGGACTTTAGCTTCTTCTTAGTCGCGAGTCGTTCAATGGCTTTGCGTTCGCCAGTACAGCAATGCTCGCCACAGACGTGTCTCCCGCAGTTGAGCGTGGCCTTGCACACGCGCATACAAGAAGGCGCTTCTGTCTTTCCCTGGTGGCAGAGGGTTTTCGCTGTAGTTCGTCCACACATACAAGAGACATCCATGGTGAGGTAGCATGGTGGACAGGGCCCAGTATGACACGGCTTGGGACAAGGATGGCCACATCTCAGGGGCTTGTCACAGCTCTTCTGGCATTTGGGAATCGGATCCGTACAAGCCTCGCGTGGCTCGACATCCATATCGGCGAGCTTGGTCTTCCCACAGGCGCAGTGTGAGACCATATCGGGGGCTGTAGGGCAGTGAGAAGGGAGTGTGTCCTGAGGATGACAGGATTTTTCACAGTGGTGGATGCCGCAATCAAATAGTCTGCCACAGACATCGGGGCAGGTGAAAGAACCTATCCAAGTTTCTTCCAGATTCCGGGACTCTCTTTCTTCTTCCTTGACATTGCACAATATCTGACTAGTAACTTTGCCGCAGTAACATCTTGCTGGAACGAGCTCTTCACACTCTCCACAAAGGCCTTCATGGCATGAACGTTGACAGATATGTTGTAGACATGGAAGAAGCTCCTCACAGGTATCTTTACAGCTCCAACCAGAGACGTAGTCTGTGTCTACACATTTCTTCTGGATCTCATGTCTTCCGCAGTAGCAGCTTTGTACAGGGCCCATGGCCTGACAGGGAGCACAGGGGCCAGCATGACAGACAGAGTCACAAGGGTGAGGGCATCCCTCCCTTGATCGAGAGCATGACTGGCCACATGAATGGGGTGGGAGGCCAGGGACAGATCTGATATCCATCTCCTTCTCACACCAACAAGTATACCCTGACGGAAGAGTGTCTTGAGGCAGGTTACAGCCGGGACATCTCCACTGGCGAGCAGGCGGAAGCTCGGAGTCATCCCCCTGCTCCTGGTCCCGCGGTCTTGTATGTACGGATCCTTCGTTCGTCGACCATTTCTTGATACAATGAAGATGGAAGACGGTCCAGCACTGTCTGCAGGACCAGACCTTTGACCTGGGGCCAAGTTCAAACGTGCATATGGGACATTCATATAGGTTGTTCGAGATGTCTTCGTGGATGCGCGTGGTGATGTTATCGGCCACCGACTTTGTGAGAGACTTGGTAGGTTTCTTTGGGTGCCGTCGAGGCTGTTTCGAGGGGGAGGAAGACTGTTCAGAAGGAGGATTGATAGCCTTATGGGGCTGTCCAGGGACGAATTCCGAGGCGTCAGGCCGTAGAGAAGAAGAAGACTCGGCTTCGGCACTGTGTTTCTGGTCTTGGGATGCTGCTCCGTTCGTGTGTCTCGAAGATGACGACTCGGCTGGCTGTGTCAACCTGCCACGGAACGCCCTGGTGGTGACTACTTCTGACCGGCCGGCATGAGTGGCGCCTCTTCCTCTCCCCCGGCCCCGTCCTCCTCTCGATCTCCGTTGCTGGTGTTGCTGTTCGTGTGGTTGTTCTTGCGTCGTCCGTTGCTGCTGCGGTGGCTGCGACGTCCCGTTCACAACTGCGTGCGCATCGCCTCTCCCTCCCCTGCCTCGACGATGAGATCCTCTGCCTCTCCCGCTGCCTCTATGATCTCCCTGAGACCTCGACGGGCCCTGAGCTCCCAAAGACGAAGCTGCAGATGTAGACGCGGGGACATCTGTTGAAGATGCCATGCTCGGATAGATAGCAACGTGCGCACCAGACTGAGGACGCGCGCTATCCAGTGTGAATCAAAGAAAGGGGGAAAACAGTTCAGGATAGTGAATACAGAGAAGAAACAGCTTCTTCTTCTTCTCTTTATCTTCTGTGCAAAGCAAGAGCTTGACCTTAACTCCGGCTGATGCTGGGCTGTTTCTATAGACAAGGAAAAAAAAGGGAGCGAAGTTCCGTCAAAAGGAGGCGACGGTGAAGAAACTAGTTAAAGGACAGAAAGAAGAAGAAGAAGAAGAAGAAGAAGAAGAAGAAGCAGAAAAAAGGAGGATAAACAGCAAAGGAGAAGAGCTTTTGCAGGCAGAGACAGCTTTGATATAAAAAGTGTGACGAAATTTAATGTTTGATTTTATTTGCTTTTTCTTGCTTTGGTGGAGAATCGAGTCGAGTCATCTTTGCTTGAGTCACTGTTCAATGATAGAATGAATGTCTATACGAGGCGGCGATGAAGGCGAAGGCAGGATAGAAAAAAGAATATATATATTAATCAAGACGAGATGAAGACGCTCATGCTAGCCAAGGTACAGAGGTCATTAGGTAGGTAAGTAAGATGGGTATGGAAGTGAAGAAAAGAAAAAGACGGGACCAAAATATCAAATCACGGTAGGAAAAGGACCATCTCGCCGTTATCATTCCGCTTGACCCTCAGCGTCCGCCAGAGCTGCTGCTCTTCCTCCTCCTTTCTCTCCTTCTCTTCAGCCCGGCTGCGTCCGCGGCCGCGTCTGCTGCCCCGCGAGCTCTCCTTGCCGTCCTTGTCCTTCGACTCCGGCGAGCCAGAGCGGGACGGGGACTCGAGGCGGTGGTAGCGCTTCAGGATCTTGTGGACAGAGCATCCGCGCTCGCTGTCAGGCCCCTTGTTGACCAGGGACAGGAAGATGCTGGCCTTTTCGAAGCGCAGGTTCTCCTCGAACTCGCTGTCGTGGCCTGCTTGGAGGCCGCCGTTCTTGTACAGGACCATCTGGCTGTTGTCGGTGGTCTTGCTGCGTTTGGCGGCCCCTTCGTCCGAGTCGGTAGAGCGTTTGTACTCGATGGCCTTCATCTTGCGCTGATCCTTCTCGGGCCGTTCCGAGTCGGAGTCTTCAGCCCCATTCCCTGCGCTGGCCTTGCGCCGGCTCTTGCTGGAGCTGCTACCCACCTCGGACAGCTGGCGTGTCTTGGGCCGTTTGGTCTTCTTTGTCTGCACCAGCTCGCGTGACGTCGAGGCTGCAGGAGCTGGCGCAGGCGCAGGAGCAGCGGCTGCATTCGACCCTTCCGAGGTGCGTCTTTTGGTTCGTACAAGTGCCTTTGTGGCCGGGTCGATAGTGGCGCCAGCACCGAGCAGGGAGATGAGCTTTCCTGTCGTGCGACCCTGTCCCTTCATCGATATCCCCAGTCCGTTTTCCCCGGACCCAACGGGCTCCTTGGTGCGTTTGCTACGCTTGATGGGGGAGTTGGGCTCGCCGTGGCCACGGGAGTGGTCGCTGCGGTACTCGTCAGAGTAGTCTGGCGAGACAGAGTAACGCATCATGCGGCTGAGGTTGCCGGTCAGGCCTGAGTGCAGGATGGGAGGCGGGCGATCGTGATAGGAGGTATGACCAGCTGCTGCAGCGGCGTCCATCATGGGGGTATCGGCCTCGTAGTCATAGCCGCCTGGTGTAGTCAAGTTCGCGTCTGAAGGGCCGGCCTGCCCGCGTTTCCGCTTCTTGTCACTCGTGGTGAGACTCATGTTGCTCATATTGCTGTCTGTCCGGTGACGCTCAAGCGAAGGCGGCGGACGGTTCATGTTGAGTCTTGCATTACGGTCGTGGAGCCACTGCTGCCGTTCCCGCTCCCACTTCTGCGCCGGCGTCATGAACTCGGCGGACGCAGTGGACAGGTTGGAATCGTGTCTGTACGGCGGTGCAGGCGGGATAGGGCCCGCTCCGTACGAGAAGCCGTTCTCTTCGTACGCAACATCGTAGCCGGTGTCCTCCTCCTCGTCCCTGTCGCCGTCTATCCGGGCGAGCTGCTTCGGCGAGTCGAAGATCGGGGGAGCATGTTCCACCATGGTCATCGACTCGTTGAGATTCGTCCGTGAGGCGTTGGGCGTGGTCGACTCATCGAGGAAGTCGAACACATCGATCTTCTCAGACCTTGGTTTAGCCACGGTGGTGTCTGTGTTTTTAAACGGCGGAGGACTGGGTGCTGGCGGCGGTGCGCCCTTGTAGTCGTCGTCTGCATCAGGCGCGTCCTCGACGTAAGGGTTGAGCGACTTGACAACTGCGTCCTCAGCTATGGTGACAGCTTTCTTCTTCGTGTTCTTCGCTGGCTTCTCTTTATATAGTGCGCCCTGGTACTTCTGCGCCTCGGTCATGCATGACTGTCCATCCTGTTAGCTGTTTTCCCTCATCTTCTTGTTGTTGTTGGCTGTCTGATGCCCGTCCCTTCGCTCCTGATGCAGGGCGGCCAATGGGGGGGGGGATGGTTTAATGGCAGGGACCGCAGCCTGGAGAAGAGCCACGCCGGCAAGACGTACAGTGTGAGATCGATACTCGGTGCCCTGGAAGTGCACCATGCAGTCCAGGCACGAGAAGGAGGCGCCGCGACAGTGGCCGCGGTGGGAGTCGAGCTTCTTCTTCGTGAGCACATCTCCACAGTTCTAGTAGGTATTTTATCCCAGCGTTAGTCGACTCGGTCGGCGCAAAGGACAGGCAGGGACAAGAAAAGGACAACTCACCTCGCATTGGAACGAAACCATCGCGGCGTTCCCGTCTGCTTAATATTAATTAATACGGGGCGGGTTTTAGGCGCTGGCGTCTGCGCTGTGAGGATGCGCTGTCTGCTTGGGATGCGCTGCGATGCGATGCGATGCGCTGGACCAGCGAGCAAGCAGGAAGGGAGCGAGATAAGGCTGATAAGTCTGCGGCCGCCGGGCTTATAAGGCGAGAGACGAGCCGCCTGCTGTCCGTCTGTCTTCTGGCGCCCTCGCTGCCTGTCCTGTCCTGTCCTTCTTTTGGCTCCTCGTTCTGCGTGTCGTTGCTTTTTCTTCGAGCCTCGCGACAAGAAGAGTTTTTGCAGCCTGCCGGGGGTGGATTCGGATAGGCGAAAGGCAGCCTATATTTAGCACTAGAGAGAGACCGGCCGACGACGAGATGAAGATAGGAGACGAAGACGCAGTCGAGCGTATACTTGTTTTATAGAGGCAGAGAAGAGACGCTGATATGCGATGTGCTCGCTGTGCATGACCTGAAACTGCGCGCGATGTTGCTTGCCGCCGGCCTTGCATACATACATATATATATATATAGATATGGGATATATGGGTGTCTTTCTATCTACAGGGGCATCGACACGGCCAGGAAGGTATTTATATGCCCGAATAGACAGACATAGCTGCCCATGTAGACAGACAGAAGGGATGAGATATAGCGGTAGACAGATATAGGCGCGCAGCGGATCTATACGACTCGCACCCTCCTGACCCCCTATCCCATGATCATCAAAGTCTAATGCGCAACACCAGACACCCTCGTCTGCGCCCTCCTACGCCCCTGTTGCGTCCTGTTGCGTCCTGTTGCGCTCTGCTGCAGTCTACTGCTGACTACGGACAGGCATCTTGTTACCAGATGCGAGGTCTGATGGCCGGGAGGTGGTGCCTGGTTTCAGGAAGCAGCGTCAACAAAAGTCTCCATGGGAGGGAGATATGCTTCCTTCTATATCACAATCCTTAATATACACACAGAAAAGAGGAGGAAGAAGAAGAAGAAATGAGAAGCAGTAATAACGCCGGCTGAGAATCATGGTCACTCGTCACTTGCGCATTTGTCCACGGGATGGCTGTGGCGATGCTGAAGACACGGGATAGTATATGTATATATATATATATATATAAAAGGAGGTAATCACTGGCGCTTAGATCAACCATTCGTGCGTCTGCAGGGTATCACTTGGGGTTAGAGAGATGCTTCCAAAGAGAGAAGAGAGAGAGAAAAAGAGGAAGAGAGTAAGCATGCTTACGGCTCATCCGTTATTTCCACCGGGCCGCCAGGGAACGGCCCGTTTGCGTCTCCCCAAAGCATCTTCTTCGGCTTCCTGGGCTTGGTGCTGTCTTCCTGCGTCTTGACGCCATCGTTTGCGCTGCCTTTGCTCTGGCTCTGTTTCTGGTCACCCGCCTTCTTCTTATCCTTGTCGTCGCCGCAGCCACAGTCGTAAAAGTCGCCTATCTTGGTACAATCGAAGAGATCCTTCCTTAGCCGTCGGTTTACCTCGTTGTGTACCAGACAGCCCCAGCCTGCGGCGGCGTTCCGTGACGAGGTCTGTGGAGGATACTTCTGAAGCAATTTGACGAAGTGTGCTGCGCAGTCACCACTAGAACATTGCATACTCATGTTAGCCATATATAATTAGTTCTCCTCCCGCCCCCTTGCTCCCTCACTCAAGGTTGCCGCGTTACTACTCCGGCACAGCACATACCATGGGTATAGTCTCGCAAAGAGGTACACATATGCACTCAATGCCCTCTGCTCTTCGCCTGTCGGTTTCTCGGGGTACCGTGCCATCACCGTGTGGAACAGATGCCACGACGACCGTCCCAGCTCGGCCCTATCCAGCATAGTGAATCAGTGTCATGGTCCTCTCCCATCCAAGGTCACTGGGTCAGTGCCCCTTCGAGCAGAAATCCACCTACTTGGCCGTGCTATTCTCCAGGGTCGGCATGATGGACTCTCCCTGCAGCAGCGACAGCGGGACATTGCCGTCCTTCGGCATGGGCTGCTGCTGCTGTACGAGGTGGCCAGGCGCCCTTTTCTCAGGGCTTATGGGCGAGACTCGGAAGAAGGAGATGGTGAGGATGAAGAAGACCGCAAGAGCAGTCAGGATGAAGAACCGCGACGCCGGTCGGTGAGCCAACATCATGGCTGCGAGGTATACGCCGTAGCCTGGTACGCCTTGTCGCTATTCGTAGTGTATCAACAACGGTCTGCCGAAGGTGCTGCTGGCATTGAGCGCCGTTCACAGTCACGCTACAGCATACGGTGTGAAGAAGATAAGAGAACAGTGAGTGTCAGAGGGAAGAAAAAGGACAAACTGCCGACGTGTCCTCCTTTGTGCTCCCCTGCCAATAAGCCAGAGCGACGGGTACGAGTAAGCCCAGCCGGTGGTGTCTTTCTTCTTTGCTTCTTCTTTGCTTCTTCTTCGTCTTCTTCGTCTTCTTCTCTTCGTCTTCGTCGTGGCCAGATCCGGGGGGGAAGGGCGGCTGCTTAGTCATGCTCATTGTGTCGTGTTATTCAGCCCCTTTTCCGCTTGGGGCGTTTTTTGCCTTCATCACGAGCATCAGAATAGACAACGACAGCGAGGAAGACGCTGGTGAAACCGATGCAAAACAGCCTCTCGGCTGCTGGTCAGGGATACTAGTTGCTTGTCATCTTTGCCTCGCCCGGTGACAACCTTACCATCAATTGACTCTTGCATGGCAGCTGAGCTAAGTTAAAAGATGCAGATGGCCACCCATTATAGCGTCATCAGCCAACAGCAACAGCCCCAGCTACCAACAACTAACAGAACCACCCTTGCAGCCTCAACGGGACTCCACTCGGCTAGTTAGTTGATGCATATCTTGGGAGTGCTGCCAGGCTGCTCTACCATGAAATCTGTCACCCGATCGGATACCAGATCTACTTATACCCCCTCCTCTCCCATCAAGGCCAGGATGGGCTGGGGTTATATCATGTCTACGGACCCGCAGGCAAACAAATACCGTCATCGGCTCACCCGAGTGCTAACCCTTGGTTCCAGTCTCGAGGGGCAACGGATCAGATAAACAAGAGCCAGTGAGCGGCATGGACGGCACACAAGCTATTCGGCATGCCGTTGATTCTTCGGAATGGCCAACCAAGAGGCAACGCCCGACGTAGCTTGTTTCTCGGTTCATGACGTGCGCTTCTAACTCTTATCTGATCGCACACACAGAAAGAGGGAAAGGGCCACCTCCCATCGACCAAAAATAAAGCATATTCACCCTCTTCTCAAATTATCAGTTTGAAAGAGCCATAACGAGCTTTTTTTACATGAGAGCTCTCGTTCTTTGCTGAAGAGCCCAAGTCTCCTCTTTAGCCTGTCCATAGTAACCTATTTTTAATACCTACCTATTCATCTGCCTTAATTCCTAGCATAGGAAATTACTGCCTAGTCTACTATGCTGGAAAAGAATAGTAGTGCCGTCTCTGACAGCCTTCCTCCAACCGTTCATAATGTAGCTGCAACAGAAGCACTTGTTGATGATGACTCCAGCTCTGATAGTATCCAGTTTGGAGTCAAGCAGGCCGAAGCCGTTGCGGCAGCTTGGTCTCTAAAGTCACTCATCATAGCCTACGTCGGGTACGTGTGCTACGTCTGCTTCCTTCTGCTTTGAGCAGCAGGCTAATCAACTACATTAGGGTGTTCGTGGTCTTTTTCGTCAACTCCCTGCAGCAGCAGATGGCCAACAGTCTTAACCCCTATGTCACCAGCGCCTTTTCGAAACATGCTCTTCTATCCTCCATCTCAGTGGTGTCAAGCCTTGCGGGGGCCATCATGAAGCTTCCTGTCTCTAAGATCATTGATATCTGGGGGCGTACAGAGGGGTATCTGTTAATGGTTGGCTTCTGTGTCATCGGTAGGCCCTTCATCCTGCGCTGGAGGCGGCCATACTAACCAGACTTACACAGGCATGATCATGATGGCTACTAGCAACTCCATCGAGGCATATGCAGCAGCTCAGGTGAATAGCCCGGTACTAAATGTACTTGCGCCTCAACTGACAATTTGACAGGTCTTCTACTGGATTGGTAATAATGGCATTGCCTATGTCCTCGACGTGTTTCTGGCAGACACCTCTAGCCTTAAAAACCGAGGATGGCTTCTTGCATTCTCTACCAGCCCTTTCATAGCCACTACTTTTGCCGGCCCTGCATTAGCACAGGCATTCCTCAAGACCTATGGCTGGCGGTGGGCGTTTGGCACTTTTGCCATCCTCATCCCGGTTGCTTCGTTGCCAATGGTAGCCATCTTTCTCCATAGCAGCTTCAAGGCTGTGAAGATGGGATACTTAAGATCAGGCAGGTCCGGCCGTTCTTTCTGGCAAAATGTCGTTCATTACACGATTGAGTTTGATGGTATGGTGGCCGCCTTGGCCAATGTTTATGCATAGACTATACAGCTAACCCTTTTCACAGTTGCCGGGATGATTCTTCTTGTTGCAGGGCTTACTCTCTTGCTTCTCCCGATAAACTTGGCTACTTACCAGGCTGAGAAGTGGAGGTCGCCAGCCATGATCTCTATGATTGTTATCGGCGGTTGCTCTTTGTCTGCCTTTGCCATATGGGAGATTCGATTTGCCAAGGTCCGCTTTGCACCCTTCCATCTATTAACTGACAGAACTGTGCTTGGAGGTTGTCTCCTGAGCGCAACTCTATTCCTTAGCTTCTAGTAAGGTTTCCTCCTGTGTTAATGTCCAGCTATCTATCATTGCTAATTGTAGCTTATAGCTGCTGGGACTTGTACTTCCTATCATACTTGCAAGTTGTCCACAACCAAAGTGTCCGCAATGCAGGCTACATTGCAAACATCTTCAACATCGGAGGGTGCATTTGGGCCCTTGTAATTGGGGCGTAAGTCTTCAAGTCCCCATCCTTTTAATGGTTTTCCCTTTGTTTTGGCCTTTACCTCTCGACTCCATAATATATACTAACAGAATGTCCAGCATCATCCGCGTAACTGGGCGCTTTAAACCATTTGCCCTCGCGGCCGTTCCCCTCCAGGCACTCGGAATCGGTCTCATGATCATATTTCGCCAGCCAGGCTCTCACATCTCCTTAGTGATTGTCTGTCAATGCATCATTGCCATCTCTGCCGGCACACTGCAGATCTGCGAACAGATAGCAGTCATGGCAGCAGCAAGCCACAGCGAAGTAGCCATTGTTCTGGCTTTGCTGGGCCTGTTCAGCAACATCGGTGGAGCGATTGGCCAGACCGTCGCGGGGGCTATCTGGAGCCACACTATTCCGGAGCAGCTTGGGATTTTGCTTCCAGCCAATGCAAAGGATCAAGCTGCTGCGATCTATGCATCCCTAACCACTCAGCTTAGCCACCCCGTGGGGTCACCCATCCGCAACGCCATCATCGCCGCCTACGGTGAGGGCCAACGCTGGATGTTGGTTGTAGGAGTCGGCGTCCTTGCTCTCGCCATGTCGTCAGTCATTTTGTGGAGAAACATCCAGCTCAAGAATGTTCACCAGGTCCAGGGCACCATCGTCTAATAATATAATAATCTAATCGTTGCAGTTGTTGGAATTTAGGTTTATGCTTTCTCGTCGTCGGTCCAAAATTACTGGTTTTCTCCCGTTCATCATTAAAAGTTGTGCATTATCTTGCATCAATATACAATACTCCGTATACTCCGTATATCTTTATGAATCCCTTATCACCTATCTTCATAACTCCTTCGGCGCCTTCTTCTTGTTCCTTCTTTCGGCTATGCGGCACATTCAAGGAGGTTGACGTCGGGAGAGCCTCCGGATTAATGTTACTCCCCCCGTCCTGCTGACTCATCAGCCCGTAATGGATCCTGCCAACTCTCGTGTTGACCTCGTAACTAACTTTACCCCAACGCCTGACAAAAGACGAATGTCGAGACGCCAGTCCTGGAGGATACTCGGGTGTTGAAATACTGCGGCATGATATGACAGCATTGCACCACGCCGGAGACATGGGATGATGGAGGACAGTGGGCATAGGACCTTGCAGATCACCACGTTGTGGACAGCACTACCATCTGGGCAGCGCGCTGAGTAACTACAAAGAAACTAACTAACACGAGCTCCTGGGTCTGAAGCTTGTGCTATGCCGACTTATGTGCATAAAATACGCTTTGTGCACGTTATGAGGAGACTCGTTTCCGTGCGTAGGTTCCGACTGACGTTCCCGTCCTGCCACCATCTCCACGCTTGCGCTACGGACACAAGGAAAGGGAGAAAAAAAGAAGGAAATAGGGGGTGGTAGAGCAGACGCTGGAGCTATTCATAGCAACTGTTTTTGCCGATCCACCATGATGAATTTGAACCACGAGGCATGTGTTCAATGCGCTTGTTTTCGTCAAAGCGGAAAAGAAAAAAGGGGGTTTTCTCGTGAAGAAAACAATGCTTTGTTCGGCCATTTCTTTCGATGATGGCTATGCCTTGCCATGGGCATAATTAAATAATAATTTTTATGTACCTTGATCCGGGATATCCATGTGCAGGCCAAGGCCCTTGCTGGGTTTCATAATAATGGCCCTTCCCTGGGTGTTTCTGTACGTGCGGACATAGCACATCCATGCTTCTTCGGCAACTTTCTAGGCCGATGACTACTTATCCCACAAGTTTCACCACCGCTCCTATCAGACTGGCCTATGGGGCTGCACAAACGACCCGCAGAGGCAAAAAGGTCCATATACCGCTCTCTTTTTGTCCATCTGAGCTCTGCTGTGAATGCATAACTCAATGCACGGCGCTGACAAAATCCATCTGGCCTAGCTCCCATCAGGTCATCTCGCGATGGACTTCGAAGTCCGCTGCTTGACCCCCAGGTGTGGGACCCGGATATATTTAAACAGTCTCCCGTCTCTGTTTACTTCTCCATTTACCTCTGCTCGTCTAGATGACCATCGATAGACTTTTTATCCTCCTTCTTCTCTTCTTGTACATACATACTCCGTACAACTATTCTGAGTGCCGGCCTCACTTTTCCAAAAACCATTCTCCGCTCCAAGCTCAAGATACCCCCTTACTTCCCCTACATACATAATCTCCACCGGTTATTGCCGTTAACCCCGTCACAGTCTTCCCGTCGTCCTTCTATATATAAGACGCTTCCAATCGTTGCTGGCCAACAGAGTGGCACAGGGAATTTATCTGGATAGACACATACATACTTCTCCTTTAAGCACCGGGCCAGAAAGCTGCCCGCAGGAGAAGTTCCGCGATGTCTTCTCCCCCCCAAACATCAAAGATGGAAGAGAGCGATAGTATGTAGTCCCGATACATGCATGAAGTAGGATCGTGGCTCCTTAATTCAATTGTCCTCCTGACGTTGTATCTTCGTTTATAGAGGCCTCGACTATCGTTCCGCCAGTCTCTGACGACAATGGCAATACCAGATCCTCAGAGAAGGGCTCGATTCCTAGTTCATCATCAGAGAACCTACCGTCTGACCGGACTATCGCGGAGGAAATGAACACATCTACGGTCATAACTGCGAATGGCAGTGCAGATGTTGAAAAGGCAATTCCAGAAGCTCCTGTGGCGACAAAAAGGGTCCCGGTAGGGTATAAGGAGTATGATGACCCAAATATCGTTTACTGGGATGGCCCAGATGACCCTGCACACCCAGAGAACTGGTCATCGATCAAAAAGGTCGTCATAGTTAGCTGCGTCGGCCTCATTACACTACTAACGTATGAAATTATATGCCTTTCAAGTTTTGTCCTCTAAAGATACAGGCTAGCTAATGTGTCATCTTTAGTCCTCTTGGGTCTTCTATGTTTGCACCCGGAGTCGGTGAAGTGATGAAGGAATTCAACAGTACAAACCCCGAGCTTGCATCTTTCGTCGTATCGGTTTACCTCCTAGGGTTCTCCTTTGGACCTTTGATCATTGCACCCCTTTCGGAAATGTACGGTCGTGCCCCATTATACACCATCTGCAACGTTCTCTTCGTCGTGTTCAACATTGCTTGCGCCCTTGCCAACTCCCTCGAATCACTAATTGTATTCCGTTTCTTTGCGGGCACTGCGGGCAGTGCTCCCTTGACTATCGGTGCTGGCACCATCTCCGATATGATTCGGCAAGAGAAACGAGGCGGTGCTCTTGCTGCATGGGCTCTTGGCCCATTGCTTGGCCCAGTTATTGGCCCAGTTGCTGGTGCTTTCCTAACTCAAGCGTTGGGGTGGAGATGGACTTTCTGGGTTCTATCCATTGCGGTAAGCATGGCTCTTTTTTACGGGTGGCTGAAAGCTTCCAGCTAATATATACATCCGAATAGTCTGGTGCTGTTGCTCTCAACACATTCATCTGGCTCAATGAGTCCTACCATCCAGCCATCCTGGCCCGCAAGACTAAACGGCTTATCAAGGAAACTGGAAACACCAACCTTAGATCTGCTCTAGACTCCGGACAGAAGCCAAAGGACCTCTTCTTTCAATCCATTGTCCGCCCAACGAAGATGTTATTCCTTTCGCCTATTGTTTTCCTTCTATCTCTCTATGCCGCCGTTGTGTATGGGTATCTCTATCTGTTATTCACAACCATCTCCGGAGTCTTCATCGGAAAATACCATTTCTCTCAGGGTGAGTCCTGCTCCTTTATTCTATCATACTGCTCAGTTTGGAAAAAAAAACATGAATACTAACCAACCTTTTTCTGTCTAGGTACCGTTGGCCTTTCATTTCTCGGCATTGGAATTGGTTGTCTCCTCGGTTTGGGTGTCCTAGGCACGACATCCGATCGTCTGCTCAAGTCCCTAGCTGCTCGGAACGGCGGTGTCATGAAACCTGAATATCGTCTCCCACCACTTATCCCAGGCAGTCTCTTTCTCCCTGTAGGCCTCTTCTGGTACGGGTGGCCTTCAGAGAAGGGTGTTCATTATGTCGTTCCTATCATCGGAACGGCATTCGTCGGCATTGGCATGATATTTACTTTTGTAAGCTTAGTATCATTCGACATTATTCAATTCGCGGTTATGCTAACACGTTATCTCTAGATGACTATATCCACCTACCTGGTCGACGCGTATACCCGCCATTCTGCAAGTGCATTGGCTGCCAACTCCGTACTACGCTCAATATTCGGTGCTGTCCTACCCCTCTGTGGCCAAAGGATGTATAAAGCCCTCGGCCTAGGATGGGGTAATTCCCTCCTTGCGTTTATCGCCCTGGCCCTGGCGCCACTTCCGATCGTATTCTACGTATATGGAGAACGTATACGCACCAGCAAGCGCTTTACTGTTATTCTCTAGAGCCCTTATATCTCTTGTTTCGATAAAAATGGGCCCCTTTTTTCTGTTTATTGTTGGCAGCCTGATATCCTTGATCTTAAGAAAATAGTCTAGCATTATGCATATATATAGATTCCCTTTATTTTCTCTAATCACATAATTTATATTCCTTGAATAAACAGCCTTGCGTCTTTTGCAGTTGAGTAAATATATTGCTTGGGTTCGGCTCGTATTTCTGATGGCTATTTGTCAACCTTTCATGAATAAAGATAAACAGAGGCGTTACCAAAATAGAGTCATGGTTGTGGTTTTGATTTTTATGTGACTCAGTAACACAATACGAGGTGTAAATGTATTAGCCTCCCCAACCCGTCCTTAATATAACAGGCACAACAAACCTGTGAGGACGGTGTCACAACGACTTGACATAAGATTATTCTTATAAAACCCTACAAATCAATCGAGAGGGAGCTTACTATCTATTTAGCCATGACGGACTTCCCATCGGAAGCCCTCAACCTACATGGCGGGTGCCTGTGCAAAGCAGTCCAGTATACCATAAAGGTGCCCAAAGCAAGTGATCGCGGAGCCGTCAAATTCAAGGTTCAGGCTCTGCGAGCAAATTCACGACCTGACGGCAGTGAAAACAAGGAAGAAACAGAGAATATCATCAATATCGATCTTCCAATCATCTCCATCGATCACTGCAGCGACTGCCGCCACGCCGCCGGGGCTCCAGTGCAAGCATGGTTCATCTGCCCGCAAGAATGGGTAGAGTGGGATGTAGCTGTTCTCTCACCGGCAAATGGTCGTGAAGAACGTGTGAAACAGACAACACTGGAGGCCTGCTCGAAAGATGGCCAAGGTTTTTACGAAGATGAGCCAAATCCATATCCAGTGCCGACTTATTTGTCCAAATATTCGTCGTCGGAATATGTCACTCGGACCTTCTGCGCAAGCTGCGGTACCAACTTCACCTATTTCACTAAAAGGCCGCGGTCTAGTCCTACTGGCTTGGTGGTAGACATCACAATCGGCAGCATGAGCGATGAGAGCAGTGCCATTGCCTGTCCCACCCGGCATGCATGGTACGACTCTGGGATACCATGGCTCAAGACGCTGATGAGGGGAGCAAATGCAGCGATGCCTAGAGCAAGGAAGGGCATATCCTTAGGGTTGATGAGAGAAGATGAAGAATAAAAAGATATAAGATATCGCAAGTGGGAGCTATCAAAATGTTTCCAGCTCATCACGTCTTGTCCTTCGTAGCTATCTATTTTTTGCATCTTCCTATCAAACCTTATTCATCTCAACTAAAGAGGCTAAAAATAAAATATAAAATGTCTGTGATGACTAAGCACGGACATAGTGAAATGAAAAAAAAGAAGACGTCCCCGCACAGGATCGAACTGTGAACCTCCAGATGACTCAGCAGATTGCTGCTAACAGTCTGACGCGCTAACCAGTTGTGCCACGGAGACTTGTCTATGCATAGGCCGTCTAACTTGTCACCCTATGAGGGCACCCACCAGCCTCGTGTACTGCATAACACTGCCAATCGCCAGCGATTTCCCCTGTGGCCACCCTTTATTGACGCCCAACAGCGTCATGGCGGCACGGCAGATACCCAGCTTGATAAGTTATATATAAACCTTTTACATTTACTTTTTATTATTTTTTCCATAATTATTAACTGTACGGATACCCTCGAAGAATATCGAAGACGTATCATGTTATATCACCCTTGAAGTACATGTTCAGCTTGGAATATGAGTACACACTCGGACGTTCCAGGCCTTATACTTGAGCAGGCACAGGAGTCAGATGCCCAGCGCATTGTTGACATTCATTTCAAGGCATTTAGCTCTAATCGCATGCTTCTAGCCCAGTTTCCAACGGCAACTGCTCAGGATGGACTGAAAACGTTCCTGATTGACCTGATAATACAGGAGATCCGGGACCCGGGCTATGCTGTATTCGTCGTCCGGGATGTTCAGGGCTGTCTTGTCAGTTTTGCACGGTGGTGTCTTCCAAGGTATACCCCTGGCCCGCACAGAGAGGCACCGTTGCAATTACCAGAGGGCACAGATATGGAGGTTCTGAATGCATGGAGCGCGAGGGTCCTGGATGTGACACGGAAAGCTATCGGAGATACGCCGCATTATCGTAGGTTAATTAACTATAGGCTCCCCGTCCCTGTTCTTATGTTAATTACCATCAAGATATGACCTTCATTGCTACCGACCCGAAGTACGAACGTCGTGGTGCGGCGACTTTACTCGTGAGACAGGCTCTTGCGCAATGCACTAAGGAAAGGGTACCTCTAATCCTCGAGGGTACATTGAATGCTATCCCATTTTATATGAGGCTCGGGCTTGTTGACGAAGGGAGTATATCAATGGATCTAGAAGGTATTGAATCTAAACATGGGTCAAGCTTGTACGAGGAGCGACTCTTTGTCTTCAGGTCATACCCTGTGGTGAATTAAGGCGCTGGTAAACGGGCTGGTTGTCGTGGCTATTATAGCATATTAAATTCGCATATGTGCTTTGAATTGTTGTGTGAAGCGGTCAGCACCAACAGTATCTTTCAATTGCAGCCCATTCCACAGCCCCCCTCTCGTCTTCCCCCTTTCTCAACCAGTTGAAACAACATATTTCATTATCAACCCTTGTTTTCTTCTGATACGGAATTCCAGTTCGCTGTATCAAGGCTTGAATTTGGGGGGAGGGATCCCATGTCTCGACCGAATTTAATTTCCATTCCGCGGCTTCATTCTGGGCTGCCTGTATTGCGTCTCTAGCATAACGAACAAGCAGCTCTTCCTCCTCGTTAAGCGATGTTTGCCGCGTGGACTCAGTAGAAATATTCTGAAGAACAGCTTGATTCTCCACCACAAATCTCAGGATATATAGTGTGTTTGCTGCACTTTGATCTCCTGGAGCTCCAACGAATCTGTGGTTCCAAAGTATCCATACTCTATTTCCGGGATCTCCCACAATAGCCCCCTTCCTCTCTGGCACTTCTCCAAAGAGTTTCTCACATACAAACTTCTCCCTACATCCATGCCATAATATATGATCAAGGTCAGGTATAACCATATGCTGCAATATCCCTAGGCTTGTAGCAGCCATTGATTTCTGTATAATATTAACATCAAGCTTGCAAAGTGGGCCCAAGTCCTTGATCAGTATCGGCTTAGCGGTGGATATTGGCATACACGCTGGTTCAAAGTTGATATGATGGCTGGGGAACGGCTTCCATCCGCGCTTTCCATAGAAATCTCCCCCAATATCAGAAAACAGAATGCTGGCAACGCATTCTCTCCCATCAGCTTGCCAGGTTGGGAGCAGCCGGGACAATTCGTCCATTAATCGCGAGGGATAGCCTCGTCCTCGGAATTGTGGCTCGCAGTATACACTTGCAACTCCATGAGTGATTGTGTCTTTGACGCTCCCATCTAGTTCCCGGGTGAGAGACGCTTTTCGAAAAGTTTCACATGAGGCGAGAATTATTCGTTGATCAGCCGGGAGAGTTTTATCAACTAAAACCCACTGAGTCATGCATCCATCCCTTGCTAGGGGAACGGTCATGAGGTACTGATATTCCTTCATGTATTCCGAAACAGTCAGGGCTCCCTTCCATTCTGCTGATGTATCCTTCCATATCGAAAGATTCTCGTTCTGCGTTGGATGAACAAGGTGTAGATTTGGAGACTGTGCGTCTGGTAAACAGTCCATCTCGAGCGATTATTTGGGCAAACACGCACTCTCCAGTCCACCTTAGGTTCATAAAGATACCAATGGAGAGTACCTATCTCTTTTGATATTCCTTGGGTATAAAAGTCGCTCCGATGCGATAATTATACGAAGAATTTTAGAAATTAGCACATATCGGCTGCATACGTGTGCTTTAGCTAGTAAGTATATAATCATTTAAGAAAATGATATGAATCTTTTGGTTAGTGAATTCTGAAGGAAGAACTCGCAAAAGGCGCCCATTATAACCGATCGGTTAAATGAATTGGGTAGGTCCGCGTTATCGTTACTTTCAATTGGATGAATATTAGTTAGTAGCCAATGAAAATGGGCGAAAACTAGAAACAGGGCGCTTGGCGTCTGATTATCGGTAATTTTGCCGTTATGCAAGGGGAACACGTAGCCAACCACGAAACGGTTCTGATGGGGGAATGGTTAAGTATGCCGAACTTGTGTCTGGCGGTTGCTCAACAGTTGCAAACTGCGGAACAATATACAACCGCTTCCGAAACCTAAAAGTTTAAATAAGGTCGCCTGCCGTTCCAATGTCCAATGAAACGCGAAGCCGCTTCAACTTCTACAAAATATTTGTTGACACCCTTAACAAGCAACTATTGAGTATTGTTTATGGTATACCTACGGCGTATGTTATGTTAGTCTTTCGTTATATATCACTTTATACTATTAAGGGCAGGCGCTACTTCCAATATGATAACTAATGCGCTGATTAGCTCCTCCTATTTCTTACCAAACAGGGCGCTAACCGTCGAAAAGAGGGACCATAATGATACCCGACGGAATAATGAACCATGGCATTGAGGATGCGACCATACTCCTAAGAAGAGTGGGAATTCATTTTGGTGAACGTCAACTTTCAGATAGCTCCACCGCTGGTCTAAGGAGTGAGAAGAAAACTTTCTCGGTGTGGTTAAATTGGCCAATTTGATTGTCGGGAGAGCGCTCATTGATTATAACTGCTTAAACCAGACCTACGGAAAGCATCAGATTTCCTACGAAACGCTGGTGCAGAGTACTTACTTGACCGAAGTATAATGAATAGTACCCCCACCGAAATCTCTTTGGGAGCCTGAAGAAAATCAAGCACAACGCTGTTTCGCTGCCTTATGTGAAGAGGTCCATATAGTCTTCAAGATATGGCTTCGTACTCTCATTTTATTTGTCGGACGACCAGAAATTTGGGTATTTAAAACTATCTACCGAAAAGCTAGTGCCGTCATGTTTACATTTTGAAATTCTTATTATACTTAATACCAAGGGTTCATCGGCCAGTCCGAACCATCAGATAATACAGGGACACGATATTTAGCAGGGATATCTGTTGAGTTGTCAATGCAAGACGGTTCGCAGGCGCGGCAATGTTCCTTTATGCACAATGACGCTTATATGACTGAGCTATGTGGGTAACATACTTGATCAAAGTGGAAGAGAAGCGTTCCACCACGCGACTAATTGAGCAAAAGTCTATGGGGTGCTAAAAATGCATTTTCAACGGCAGCTAAGTAAGGCAAGCGGGTTCAATGAAAGCTGAAACAGGATGCTGGCTAAACACAACACACGCTCAGAATTCGACCTTAACACGCCCCTATAAACTAAACACAATACTGTTGCTCGACTCAGCCTTCTGTTACTCCTGAAAGAATAAGTCCGGTGGCTAGAGTCTGGATTAGACAAGGATGAGCCCCTAGGTATCCCCTCCATGCAACCCCACGCAAAGACTTGTTTCGCAATATGAACAAACTCCGTGTGGCCAACAGAAAATCCACTCCACGGAGCTCGGTTCAATATGCAGCGAGGGCGTTCTCGGCAGATGTGCAGGAAGGCTCGGGGCATCTCCCGGCCGGAACTTAACGCCCAGCCAATGAAAGAAGACCAAATCACGTGATTGGATGTCTTCCATTAGTAGTATATAAAATGTGGAAGAGGGACTCCATGAAGCTCCACCCGAAGAGAAACAAGATATCACAGACAGGGACAAGGCACGGTCGACAGTACCCTCTGTGGCGCGATGGAACGAGATACCCTGCCGTCGATCACCTGTCTAAATTCAAGAGGCGCCATTTTTTGTTTAGTGACATTGCGAGAGAGACGGAGACTCTTCTGTATTTTGGCCCCAGCCATGTTCCTGGCTTATTGGCTTTTACAAGTCATAGTATATCCCGTGCCTCAACTGCCTGGCATGGGATTAATCTCCGGAACTAACTAGAAAGGCCCTCCTGGACTATATGCATTCTAAGCACGTGTATCTTGTTGAACGTCGGTCGTGGACAAGCTTTCTCGAAAAGGCTTGGGCTGTCTACCCAAAGCTCTGCTATGGATGGAAAAAAATATATACCAAAGGCTCCTCCCTAATGGGCCACGGAACATCTCTCCGATCATTTTATTCCATCAGGCCCAGTGATGTGCAAACAGAGCGGGAACAACTGTTTCTATCTCACACAAGACCCGCTACTCATGGTTCATGATTCAATTCGCAATGATCCATCCTCCATTAAGATACCAGTAGTAGGACTTCAGAAAGCAGACCACAATTCCTAACTAGGCATCTTTGGTGTTAATCTTCGGACTGGACTCAAGAGTCATGGAGCCATCGGCGTGCTCTGTCCGTCATTTTCATTCCACTGCCTGGGACGGATACCAACCACGGACAACGGGTAATGCTGCGGAAACACACGGCTGCTGTATGGCAGGAGAGAAGTTAGGCTTTCATTGATGGTAAATCATACTAGCCTCCGAGAATGAAGAACTATGGGATATAAATTCCAGAGAATTTCCCACCTCTGTTGTCTTTTTTTCCTTCATTCATCAAGAACAACACAACAAAAAGCTGAATCTTCTCTTTTACCTACCACAGAGGAAACACAAAGCAGTGTTAAATATGCGTTTTACACAGATTGTGGCAGCCGCTCTCTGCTTGGGTGCCACCGAGGCAGCAGTAGCTCCTATCGACAGAGCCCGCAAAGTGCTAGGAAATCAGCATGCGTTTGACAAACGTGATGCTTCTGGTGATACCGCAAAGGCCCCCAAACACTTGACTAGCAAGAACAAGAGTAAAATCTTTCCTTTCTATATACGTCTTCTTCAGTTGGTCTAACGTTAGTTTCTTGGATAGAGTTCTATGTTGACCCAAACAGCATCCCGGGTGTCCCTTTTGATATTGGAGAGTCGTATGCTGGAAATCTTGCCAACACTCCAGCTGGAAACTCTAGTTTGTTTTTCTGGTACTTCCCATCAGAGAACCCAGAAGCCAAAAACGAAATCACCATATGGCTCAACGGTGGCCCCGGATGTAGCTCCATGATTGGTCTTCTTCAAGAGAATGGACCGTTCTTGTGGCAGCCGGGCACTGATGGCCCAGTCAAGAACCCCTATGCTTGGTCCAAACTCACTAATATGGTCTGGGTTGATCAACCAGCGGGAACTGGCTTCTCCCCTGGCCCACCCACTGTGAAGGATGAGATCGATGTTGCAAACCAGTTCAGCGACTTCTGGAAGAATTTCATGGACACCTTTGACCTCCATCACAGTGATGTCTACCTTGCTGGAGAGAGTTACGCTGGTCAATATATCCCCTACATTGCCAGTGGGATGCTAGACAGGAAGGATTCTGAATACTTTAATGTCCAGGGTATTACAATCATTGACCCATCCATTGGTGCTACCGAAGTGATCATTGATGGTAAGTCAGGTATCATCTTATTCAAAAGTTAGAATTAATGCTAATATGCTCCCCTAGCCCCATCTGTTCCTGCATTGCACCGCTTCAACAACATTATTGACCTGAATGAGACCTTCGTTAACGACATCACCAAAAAATGGGAGAGTTGTGGATACAAGAAGTTCATGGATGATGCTTTGAAGTTCCCTCCAGCTGGCCCCATGACTGTCCCTGGAAAGTCTGCTGGATGTGATGTTTGGGACGAGATTATCGCTGCTGTCAAGGAAGTCAACCCATGCTTCAACATCTATCACCTCAGGGACAACTGCCCAAGCCCATCCAACGTCATGAATGGACCAAAGAACTTCTTCAACAACAAGCAAATCCAGGAAGCCATCCACGCCCACCCAACTGATTACCGCCTTTGTGGTGAATCCCAGATCTTCGGTCCTCACCGCAATGACCGCTCTGTCCCCAGCTCATATGGCCCACTTGCCAGTGTCATTGAGAGAACAAACAACACCATTATTGCACACGGTGACCTTGATTTCCTCCTCTTCACCGAAGGCAGCTTGGCCTCCATCCAAAACATGACTTGGGGCGGTCTCCAGGGCTTCCAGAAGGAACCATCTGACAAGTTCTATGTTCCATATAAGGATGGATCTGAAGTCGGCGGAGCTGGATTTGTTGGCAAGACCCATCGTGAGCGTGGCCTCACTTGGGTTACTGTTGACCTTGCTGGACACGGTAAGTTGGAATATTTCAATCTGGTGCCTGGAAGGTCGCTAACACATATACCTAGAAATCCCACAGTATGCTCCTACTGCTGCATACCGTATGCTCGAGTACATGCTTGGAAGAGTCCAGAGCCTGACTGAAACCCACTAAGATGCTTATCCAAATTTCCTGTTGTATATAGTTTAGATTGGGGGACGGGAATCCCTGGTTAATGTATAGACGTATTGGTAGTCATTCGTTTAAAATATAAAAGTTGGTTTATTTAAGAAACTCTTCGAAAATTTCATATCTCAAGTGACACTACGCACGAGGTTTTGCTAATATGAACAGTCTAAATTGAAATTGAAGAGTCAAATCTGTGGCCAAATAGGGGGAGCTGTAAAGATCAAACAATCTTAATACAATTAAAGTCGTAAGTAATGGCTGAAAGCAGCAATGTACATAGTACACCCCTGAAGGCTAGCTTAAGTTAAAAATTTGGTAGCTTGCAAAATCGAATAGGAAAGCACAATAAGAATGCTATCTGTATAACATGCCATTCAGATAGACGCCTTTTGCTGCAGAGGGTTAAAATCGAGGGATAAGCAATGTCCTGAATCATCAGGCAAAGCTGGGAGAAAGAAAATTTCCTCATAGTGTCACTTCTTCCATTTCTGCTTCTTCAGAATTGGCTCCTTTAGTGGCTTTTCCACCTCCTGATTCTTTAATGACCTCTGCTTCCGGGTCTGGTGACTGATGTTCAGTATCGTCTTCCGCATCATCTGATTTAGAGTGGGATGTTGGGGCCTTCTCATCTCGTTGCCCATTGGCTAGTATTTTATCATCCTCATCATTTGTTGCAGCGTCATTGTCAGGTGCGGTGTGACTATCCTCCCCCGTTTCCTGATCGTTTCCATTGTCCTCCTTTTCATTTTCATTCTTAGGTACTGGGGGGCTAGGGAGGTCTTTTGAGGATCCATTATCATCCTTTGGCGGGGGAAGAGGTGGTGAGCCTCCTTCAGGTCTTAAGCCATTAGGAACTTCACTCCTTGGACCGCCAGGGAATGGTGTAACGGGAGGGACTTGGTTATTCTCAGGCGACGATCGAGAGGTAGCCGTACTGTTTTGTCGTCCGTGTGTTGGTAAGCTCAAAATTGAGTTTTTCTTATTCTGCTGTGCGCCGACTCCAGGGCCAATCTGCCGTAATTTCGGATCGGCATTCAGATAGTAACCTCGCACGCTTACTATAGTCCCTTCACGCTCACACCCTTCTACCCATTCTGGCCGGACGACAGGTATATTCATCTCAACAGCCTTTTCCCAGGCAGGACCTCTACCCTCCGTACAGACGAAGTGTGTCGTATCAATACGAACCGTATCAATAAGCTTCCCTCCAATTCTATCCACTGCATTCGCCAGCGACTCTCTTAAATTGTCAGGGAGAATTCCAGCAGTAACCGTAATTCCGGATAAATCTGTCATTTTGTGGGTTCGACAAACTAGTTTTTCAGAACTAAACATACCGGCGGAGGTACGAAGGATAAGTTGGAAAGTATATTCTGTATCAATAGCAAGACCGCTTATTTTCGTGCTGAGCATATCGAGCGGTCGTGGAATCGACCCTGCTTTCGAGCCATTGCGATATAGAGATAAGGATTTAAGCGAGGCGGTGGCTAGCTGTATTGGATCCCATTCCAAAACCAAGGAGGTCTGTGTTGCATTCTTCAGTCGTAAAACAGGGGGAGAGGGTGTATTGATTCCATAGGTATTAAGGATCTTGTCCTGTAGAGCTTTGGATGCAGCTTGATCCGCAGCCTCGGCCGCTTCGTTTGGGGAGACAGTGATATCGACTATACTTCCAGATGTGATATTTCTCGGCAGAAGGACGGACGGGAACTCAATCTGAGCGAAAATCAAAATTTAGCGACTTAGTGAGAAATGGCTGTGGATGGGTACGGACTCATTGACGACACAGTGCGGGGGATTGTATTGCAAGCCTACCAGTCGATTATCTTCCGTGAGAAGGACTGCAACGCCGGCATCGACCTTCCCAACGGTTAGGGAGACCAACATCGTCTACCACCTCCTCGATCTTTCGACCGAGCAGTAGAACGGAGAATGGTGTCAATACGTCACAAGCGACCAGATCACACAATATGACGTATACCTGGGGTATCTCTCTGGTGCCTCTGCAGCAAACAAGAGCAGCGACAGCATTTGTGTTCTGATTCCCTGAGATGAGCTTCATCATCGCCTGGTATCAGCGCCCATTACATAATCTGATGCGACGAGACCAAACGTGGCGATGCTCGTTGCCGTTTTAGCACACATCAATTGCTGCTTTAGTGACTAGTGCCGTCACCATTACATAATCCTAGAGCGTCGAAGCTTCTTGAGCCGCATTTTGATAACTTCATGCAACACCTCGACGATCAAGGGACTGCCTCACAGACATAGCGGTAGATAGGGGCCTAGCACAGCACTTTCACGTTTCAATTACCTCCACCTTCTTTAGCCGCCTTGTGCAATTATTCACTTTACCAGCTAACTAGTGGATCACGTGTTTTCCTGTCACTTTCGTGTCCGCCTCATCGAGTAGACATCAACGGTTCTCGTATGATGTCGTCTGGACTGCCGGCTTCGCTAATCAAGCTGTCTCTACCTCTGGTATGGGTCCAAACCGAGATTATGAAAGATATATTTCATTACCTGACCTATATTGTAGCAATATCAACAAAATTTGTTAAATGAATTGCGATCTGAAGACGAACTGGTGATCTTAGCCCAGGGTCTAGGTCTTCTCAAAATAATAACCAACTTGCTTCACACTTATGATGCGGCTGGGAATAATCTGGTCATATTAGTTGGGGCAACTGACCGTGAGAATGAATGGATTGGTGAAGGTTGGTTTGATTTTAGGAACTGGTATAGCAAGTCTATCTTTGTTACGTCGATGCTAACTAGAGATAGCACTGGCGGAACATTATGCTGTCAGTAAATCACCTTTGGCCAGGGGGCTCAAGGTCATTAACACTGATCGAGCTACTGTTTCCACGAGGTATTGCATATTTTTATCAAACTTATACTGGCTTCTTTAAACTAATACACTGCAGGCATAAAATGTACTCAGAGGGAGGCGTCATCAGCGTGACCTCTCGGATTCTGGTTGTGGATTTACTTTCCCGTACGTTTATGTGCCATGTCTCCTTATGCCTACTAGGCCCTCTCTTAACAGTGGCGCTATAGGACTCCTTGACCCAAAACTCATCACTGGCATGATCATTCTTCATGCTGAAAAGTAAGCATGATACCTAGAAACGTGAGCGTTCTATCTTTGCTAAAAGCTACTGGATAGAGTGGTAGCCACTTCTCTCGAAGCATTTATCATCCGAATATATAGGCAGTACAACAAGGATGGAATGCTCAAAGCGTTCTCAGACACCCCAGAGCCTTTCACCACTGGATTTGCACCATTATCAAATATGCTGCGGAACCTATTTCTCCAAAAGACATCCCTGTGGCCAAGGTTCCAGGTTACTGTTGCAGAGTCCCTGGAAGGCCATAGGAAAGCTGAGGTGATTGAACTCGAGGTTCCAATGACTGATAAAATGAAAGAAATACAAAACGCAGTATTAGAATGTGTCGAAGTGAATATAAGAGAACTCAAAAGATCCAATACAGGCCTCGATGTTGGGGACGATTGGACAGTGGATAGCGCACTTCATAAGAATTTTGATGTTGCCATTCGCCGACAGCTGGATCCGGTATGGCACCGTGTCTCTTTTAGAACACGACAGATTGCCAGCGACCTAACAGTTCTTCGGTCTATTCTCCAGTAAGATTACTCGCAATAACCTCCCAAGCTATCTCGATAATTCAATCTAACAAGTAGGCTAAGTTCTCTATTGACATTCGACGCCGTTTCGTTGAATAAATATCTTGACACTGTCATAAGTGCCCATTCGGCTCCTGCAGGGTCTACAAAACAAAATTACTCGCCTTGGCTATTCCTTGGGGCAGCACATGTACTTTTTGATACTGCTAAGTCACGAGTATACAAAAAGAAGGCCTCAGAGAAGACCACATCATCTTCTCCCGACATCTTCAATGGTATTGAACCCGTCTTGGAAGAGCAACCTAAGTGGGCTGTTCTTGCGGAAGTGTTGCAAGAAATTGAGCAGGACACATACTTAAATCCTGCAGCTCCGGGTTCCTCCAACAATGCCATCCTTGTCATGTGTAGTGACCAACAAACCTGCCGACAAGTTCGTGAATATCTTTCCACCATGCATCAAAGGGAGAAATCTTTTGATAAAAATGAAGATGATGAGACCGAGATTATACCCCACGAAGATGAACGTCAACCATCTGCGGATACTATGATGCGAAGGAAACTCCGAGAATATCTTTACTGGAAAAGAAATCTCTCGAATGTGAACAACCATTTATATGATGTAAAGCCAAAAACGAAAGGCATTGCTGAGGTACCGGGTTTTACGTCTATCAGCAGCGTCGCTCCTCAAGGTCATTTTGGGAGAGCGCCCCCGAATAAAAGACGACGAGTGCGTGGCGGTAGTTCCACTGCTAGCACTTCTGGAGCTGGAAGACCAGCTCATGGGAGCGTTCAGGTAGACACTGAGGATTTTCCTGAGGTACCAAATCTTTCAGAGGAGGTTATACAACAAGCAATATTAGAAGAAGTTCAACACATCACCCTGGAAGATGATCTTCAAGATATGGATAACTACTATGAGCTTTATGACGTGAACGACTTGCTAGTTGTTCACCACTACGATGGAGATATGGATGAACATGTCCTCGAGGAACTACGGCCCAGATACATCATAATGTACGAGCCTGATGCAGCATTCATTAGGCGGGTGGAGGTATATCGCAGTTCCCATCAAGAGAGAAATGTACGGGTATATTTCATGTATTATGGTGAGTCAGTGGAAGAGCAGCGATATTTGAGTGCCGTTCGCCGTGAGAAGGATGCTTTTACAAAACTGATTCATGAAAGGGGGGTAAGTACAGACTATAAACATCATTGCTTCCATGTTCTTCGCTAACGATTTGTGTACCGTAGACGATGGCCATGCAGTTAGTCCACGATAAGAGCCATGAAGATCCCCAAGAGCAATTCTTACGGACTGTGAACACCCGAATTGCTGGTGGTGGCCGACTTGCGGGCACGGCGGCGCCTCCAACTGTGGTTGTAGATGTCCGAGAATTTCGAAGTGCTCTTCCATCACTACTCCATGGCCGTAGCATGGTTGTGGTCCCATGTCAACTAACCGTGGGTGACTACATTATCACTCCGGACATCTGTGTCGAGCGCAAGTCTGTACGGGATTTGATCAGTTCCCTAAAAAACGGACGGTTGTACACACAAGCGGAAACAATGCTTCAGCACTACTCCCAGCCGATGCTCCTAATCGAGTTTGACCAAAACAAGGCGTTCACTTTCGATGCATTTACCTCTTCTGCTACTCCAACGTCCTACGTAGCCGACAATGCCACTAGCTTTGGCTCCGGCAACATGATTAACCCAGCAAACCCTAAATCAGCACAACATCTACTAGTATTACTTACTCTAGCATTTCCTCGGTTGAAGATAATTTGGTCGTCCTCACCCTACCAGACGGCGGAAATATTTGCAGAGTTGAAGAAGAATAACTCAGAGCCTGATCCCATAAAGGCGGTTCAAGTCGGACTCAATTTCAATATATCTGGCTTAGATACGTCCGATGGCCAACCTGCGGATATGATGCCTGCGTCCGGGATAGAGCATCGAGTGTTCTCCCTTCTACCCCAAGACATGATCCGAGCCGTTCCAGGGGTAGAACCAAAGGTTCTCGAGCGTCTTATTCTAGAGACGAAGAACATCCATGAGGTAGCCAACATGGAAATTGAGCAACTTGAACCGCTGGTGGGAAAAGAAGCAGCAAGAAAGATATACAAATTCTTTACTCGGAGCGTATTCGATTCCGAGACGGTGTATGAATCATGAAAGAGAAAAATAATTATATTAAACCCAATTTTATTGGCTAATTCAACCTCAACTAATCACTTTCATCATTCTATGCGTTCAGTTTCCATCGCGAAGCATGACCGAATGGCAAGATCCAAATGAAAAACGGGAAGGTAGCAAAGTCAACGAAAAGCGAGGTGATGCTGAAAATAAAAAGAGCACAAAATAAGAAAAGGGCCATAACCATTTGACAACACTCTTCAGCATTCCAGAGGAGATGGTATAACAAGAAGCGAGATGCACCATGGCTAAGGAAGACGTAAAAATAAGGAAAAGGAAAATCGTTGCTGAAAACCGTCGGGTCAAGTTACGTGAGCACGCGTCGGTCGACTGTTTTAACGTGATTGCGGCCCTTTTCCGTACGAACGAACCATGAATGTGGCTAATAGCAACACTCGTTAGCCTCCAGATAGCGTGTGTATACCAGGGGGCTATGCATCGTCGGCGAGGTAAGTTCGGTCAGGTAATTGATATCCTTTCTCGATGTGAAAACACTTCTAGGATCAAATGAGAGCCTTCATCAATCCAGTCTAGTTATATTGACAAGCCGCTGGAAAGAAAACCAAACGTCCTTAAGTTTCTTAATAGACAGTGGCGATCGGATAGATGCTGTTGGTTGAACAGTAGAAGTAATCCATCGAGCCGGGACGTGCCGCTTTTGGAAGGATGATGGGTTCAGATCTCGTCGACGTCGATGTCCTTTTCATCACTGCTATCACGATCCTCGTCGAACTCGACGTTGTCTTCAATACCCTCATGACCATAGCTAAAGTAATGTTAGAAATATCCTCATGAACAACCAGTAACGGGAAACATACGTATCAGTCTCGTTGATCTTGGCACTCTCTGGGAGCTCGCCATAGGCCTTCAAACTTCTGGCCTCGTCGGCGTTGTACTTGAGAATGACATCTCCCTTTTCGTCTTGGTAATCGCGGAGCGAGAGAAGGATGATGTCTCCCTGGTTGATCCAGACCTTCTTGCGAAGCTTTCCACGGATATGAGCCAGGCGTTTCTCCCCGTCGAAGCAGAGAGCCTCTAATCGACCGTTACCCAACATCTTGACTACCTGGGCGTATTCTTGTCCCTCCTCCTTGAAAGTCAGCTCGCGCTTCTCATTGTCGTTCTCGTTCTTTCCACGACGTCTGTTTTTACCACCCTATTTAGTAGTTAGCATCAACATATCGAAAGTGAAAAGCACCGTATCGAGATAGATCATAGCTATATCTTTTCAGGCCGCCATCCGCCTGGACATGGATAGGCCTCGTGCTTATCGTGGGCGGGTTCTGCGGGGTTAAAGAGCCACGATAAAGAGTAAGTCATACCTTTCCCTTATTCTTCGGCATTCTGACAGAGTCTCACTAGCTGTAAAGTACGGGTATAGGAATTTGATAGGCACTTTTTAGCAAGACAAAAATGAGTCCGCTCTGAACAGGGGCGTCACAAGCGTCTGGATGAGGTTGGGTTGAGGGAGATGAATCGGTTTGATGGCTTTTTTTCTGACTTTTTTTAGTGGGGGAGGACGAGTTCGCCACGTGAGTTCGCCCCTGCTGACTCAGCTTAGGCATGGCATACAAAGTTTTTATTGAACGAATAAAAAGACGGCGAGGCGGAAGAAGAAGAGGCAGAAGACGAGGCAGAAGAAGCAAGAAGAAGGAGTGGGAAAAGAAAGCACAGTGGAAGGCAGTGAATAGTCGAGATATGCGACTCGGGAAAGCCAGGCCGGAAATGCGCCTTGTCCGCCGAGTGTCCAACGCGTCCTACAAGGCGCCCTACAGTGAAACCGTTACTGAACACACCTGGAGACTGCCTGTCAATGAACTACATCGTTCCTCATAAGTAAGCACTCGATCTCAATATTGCAACAACAGTGAAATTAAGCCAGACAGACATTGATAGGTAGTGCTAGCATGACGGAGAAACATTAATCCATTTTGATGTTTAGGTTGAGAGTTGGAATGAAATTTCATCCCCGAGTTCACGTCTTAAACCTATCAACTGGCGATTGCGAAGCGGTCCAACTTCTCCGGCAACATGAACAAGGCAAGGAACCTCAAGCCTTTCGAGTGGAACCTGGGCTTGAAGAAGCTAAACATCAAAGCCCGCTGTTTCGCAGTCAAATACGCAGCCGGCAACATTGAGTCCCCGTTCACCAAGAGATGCAGGTTGACAAAGCCTATTCTCAGCCCAATGTTCGACTATAAGCTCAAACAGAGAGAGAAAGACATTATATGGAAGTCCGTCTCCCTTGGTAGCCCGGCTGACACCCCAGCAGTTGGCCGTTCCTTGTACGCTCGAATGTTTCGGTCTGCCTACTATGAAGCCCTGCAGAAGCATGGATACGACGAGGACGGCAGAAAGCTCGTCCTCGACGCAGAAGGGAATGTTGTAGGGAAACGGAAACCGGGCCTGTCATGTACGATTCAAGTGATTTTGAATACACCGATAAAAACCGTCAAACAAGAGGATCTCGTCATAGAGGCAGAGCGGCTGGTCCAGGAGCTCGAGAGACTGCAAGGGAGGCCATGTACAGCTGGAAACGCAAACAACAGACAAAAGTCCCGGAAGGCACAGAAGTCGGCGGGATAGTTTGCAGTTTCTTTGCGGGAGAATATGCCGAACTTCCCCTGCATCGGATTGATTAATGGGAATAAGGTGCTTCTCACGCTGGATGCTACAGACCAACATTACGAGAGCCTTTCCGTCCACATAATTGATAGGTCCGGCCTGGAAGTTCCCATTTGGAGGCGTTTCACTGAATAGATAAGGCCATGGAAAGGCAGTGTCTTAACTATTCGGCTTTGGGGCCCCGATACTCTGCGCCAACTGGCTCCCACCGCGGCCAAAGTACTACGCCAACCTAAACAAACCAGCACCGTCGACAACGATGATCGATCTGCGTGGGTGCGGTGAATCTACCCTGTCATGCTGAGAATGCTGAAGGGGCTATTATATACTTACGGGCGTTTATGCACATGTCTGCTATCTATGTACTTTTGTGCCTAATTCCTGCGCATATGCTGGGTGAGTACTTACTACCTCCAAAAGACAAGATATCGAAGTAGACAACTGTGCCAATGATATCTCCTGCCAACCGCCTCAAGTAGAAAAAAACACTGTGGCCCCCGCTGCTCCGCCATTAAAAGACGTAAATAAATAGCCCAGTCATAGATATAGATCAGTAACGCGCGGTGCAGTCACTGCGTAATCGCCCAACGTCGGCGGAGGCTTGGCGTCTCTAAGCCTCTTGTTGAAGGCAAACACCAACAACTCCTCGAGGATGGACACTTTCAGCCCGAACAACCGACGGACAGCAACAACTACAGGCCCTGACGCTGCGCAGTCCACGAGCCTGTTTGGGGGAATACTTATTATCCACGCTTGAGGATGAGACTGGATACCTGAGCCGTCCTCACCGTTGCCAGCATCCTTCGCACACACGACCACATTAATACCGATAACTCCCTTGGGCTCCTGGGCAGTCCACCATGCCATCCATACTCTCTGATGCCGATAAAGAGACAGTCAGACGAACTGTCCCGAAGCCGTCCAGCAAGATTCTCGCTGTTGCAGTTGCCAGACTCTACGTTGCGCTGCCAAATACTCATAAGTGGATATACACTGGCCTGCAGGGCGCCGCAGTTCTCGCAAATGACCTCGTTGGGCATACATTCTGGATAAAACTGGTAGACGTCTCGGTATGGACGGATTTTTATTTTATTTGCCCTGGCTATATCGTCTGTGATACTGTGATTGCTAATTCGACCTCGTTTTCGTTGTCTATATAGCCTGCAGGCAGAGGGATTCTATGGGACCAGGAAATCTACGACGGGTTCGCATACAACCAGGACAGGACGTTCTTCCACACCTTCGAGCTCGAAGACTGCCTTGCTGGTCTCTCCTTTGCAGACGAAAAGGAGGCAAAGACGTTCCTCAAGAAAGTGACAGAACGAGAAAAGAGTGCTAGCAAGGAGACCAAGGCCACACCGTTTTCGGCGGCTCGCGGGCAGACACCAACGCCGGTATCGAATGGCAAAAGCCATAGCCGTTTTGGCAGAGTAGGAAGCCTTCTACATGGCCATAGGTCCTCGTCGGCGCCAAATCCTGCGGAGTCTATCATCCCCCCGAGACAACCACCTGCCAATACCGCTCCTTCAGCACCGGCGGCCCCTGTAAACAATGAGAAGGCATCCTCTCCGCTTGATACAGTGGACCCATCATGGAGAGGCCTCCTTGATGAGCTAAAGGCCATGGGGATTACCGAGGAGCAGATAGCGGAGAATTCGGACTTTATCAAGGCATACATTGAGCAAAAACAGCAAGCTAACGAGCTTGACGGCTCTAGCACAGAAGCGGCCTCCCAAGATACCACAAAGAGGCCCAAGGTGCCTCCGCCTCCGCCACCTTCGGTTCCTCCACCGCATGCATCGAAATCCCAACCTATCAGCCCGCAAAATACTGGTAAACGAGGAGCACCTCCACCTCCTCCTCCTGCCAGACGAGGCCGGCCAGATGCGCCTCCATCTCCTCCCCCTCCGCGGGAGCAGTCTCCAGCCCAATCTCCCAAACGGGAGCCATCACCTCCACGACCAAGATTCCGGGCCCCCCCTCCAATTGCCGATGCCGGGAAATATGCCCATATTCCCGGTCCTAGTCTACCATCACGGAGCCGTGCGGCATCCGGCTCTAATTTAGCCAACCCAGGACCACCTCCTCCTCCGCGACCGCCTAAAACACCAGAAGACAACCGTGCTTCGGTCCAAACCAATCGCAAAGTATCAGCTCCTGTTCCTCCTCCGAGTCGGATGCCTGCCCCCCTTCCGCCTAGGAACGAGGCTAGCTCTATATCTCCGCCACCATTACCTCCAAAGACACCACAAAATGCCCATATGCTACCACCACCGCCACCACCTCCTCCTCCTCAACGAAGCCCAGCTCCTCCCTCTCCACCACCACGACAGTCTCCCCCAGTATCTGCACCACCTCACCCTCCACCTCCACCACTTCCTACTAACAATGCACCACCACCTCCTCCGCCACCGCCGCTCCCTGCTTCAAATGCGCCAGCTCCTCCACCTCCACCGCCGCCGCTTCCACCTACATCTACCTCTTCTGCTCCAGCAGCGCCTCCTCCCCCTCCACCGCCTCCCCCTCCTCCAGCATCAGGAGGTCCACCAGCACCTCCGCCCCCTCCAGCACCTCCTGGCGGTGCAGCACCTTCCCTACCAAAAGCACCTCCAGGCAAGGATGATCTAATGGCCTCGATCCGAGCTTCCAGTGGGCGTGGTCTACGAAAAGTCAGCGAAGCAGAGAAGCGTGATCGAAGCGCGGCCATGGTCCCCGGAAGTGCAACCGATTCATCTGCTGCTTCACCCGCTCCCGCCGGTGGCATGATGGGAGCCATCCAGGATGCTCTGGCTAAGCGAAAAAAGAAGGTCAGCGCAAGTGGTAAGTTACCTCTTCGACAATTTTACCTCTGTTTAATTGTTAGATAAAAGGCTGACTAGCTATAGATGACGAGAAATCCGACGATGAATGGTGATACTACCCGCAATCAAAATTTTGGGGGAAAAGGGGGCCCGGAGGCCGCGCTTTGCATCCAACCTTTGTACATATCAGTCAACACCTATCCATAAAAAACTTAGTGCTCGCTACTACCATAAACTCTTCTGGCAAATGAAACCTTTATATCCAATCAAACGTTTTATCTCTTCCTGTGAATCGCTCTCTACGAATGATATGAGATGAAGACCCTGCAGCCGCTGATATGGACGTTGTGTCTAGGTAGGTACCTATTTAAGGTTAGGGAGGCCCCCGGTTCCATGCCGGATATCGGTAAAACATTAATCCGGTATATCGTCACGGCCAGTCTGCGAAAATTGAATCTTGTACAAAACTTCAAGAAGAGCGACGATGTTCGCGATCAAGAGCAGCACATTATATCTTGCGCTTGAGCCTGCGGAACCCGGGTGATCAGGCTGAGAGATGCTTTCCTCGCCTCCTGTGAAGACAGTAGCTCCGTCCTCGAATCTTCTTCGCTATCTTCGCTGCCAATTTGACTATTCGCGTTGCCGGTCAAAGGTTTCAACTGCCTGCCGATGGAGTTCGAGTCAGGCTTGCGCGAGCGGTTTACGGTCTTCGCTACATTTGAACTCGCCTAAACTAGCATATGGCTACTCATCGTACGGAACAAAGTGTGGTACCTCTCTGATTAAGCCGCCCATTGTAACAGGCACTTTGATATCACGCAGACGCTCTCTTTCTGCCAGCCGATACCAGCTCTTGAGCACAGATGGCATCCGATCCTTCAGCACTACAACTGTGAGATGCCGACACTTCCTGCGGCGGCTTTTAGGCTTTTCACGGCCACCCACCAACCCGCAGTTGAAACCGGATGATCTCCCTCAAAACATTCCAAATTTCGATGACGGGAATGAGAGTAATCCTTTCAATGTAGGACGCAACTTGGCGTTGAAGGTCTCAAATGAACCTCGACTTCGATGTACAGAGTTTGATGGGGCTGGAAACGTTACTCTTGTAAACGGGGAATTCAAGAAGAGCGAATTGATTGCCAAGGTAAGCTCTCCTAAACATCGGTTCAATGAGAAGCATAATCTAATCCCTCTTTCCTACATTTCAGTATGGCCTTCTACCTCGAGACCTGAGAAAGATCGATTCCTCCGTCCTGCCACATATTCTCATTCGTCACAGCGCAATTCTTATCAGTCTTTTACATTTAAGGGTTCTTATCAAGTCAGATCGAGTCTTGGTGTTTGATGCGTATGGTTCCACAGACACTTATACCCAGTCCCTATTTATGTATGACCTTGAGGGAAAATTACGACAGAAAGAACCAGTTTCACGAGCTGCTTGGGCCTCTGGCGCTTTACCATATGAATTTAGGGCACTTGAAGCAGTGCTCGTAAGCATCACTAGCGGCCTTGAGGCAGAATTTGAGGGCGTTAGAGAACCGGTTTCTAGGGTTCTACGAGCGCTTGAAGAGGATATCGACCGAGATAAACTCAGACACCTCCTAGTCTATTCTAAACGTCTCGGAACATTCGAACAGAAGGCCAGACTTGTTCGTGATGCGATTGATGACTTGCTAGAGGCAGACGATGACCTGACGGCGATGTACCTCTCCGAGAGGTCAAAAGGAATACACAGAGCCGAACACGATCACCAAGAAGTCGAGATGTTACTGGAATCTTATCATAAAGTTTGTGATGAGATCGTCCAGGCCAGCGGCAATTTGGTAACTAACATCAGAAACACAGAGGAGATGTAAGTTCTCTCATGAAACAACTACCTGCTAGGATTACATATACTAAGTATATATAAATAGTGTGAAAGCAATTCTGGACGCCAACCGCAACTCCCTTATGCTTCTAGAGCTCAAGTTTAGCATCGGGACTCTGGGAATGGCAGCAGGAACTCTATTTTCAGCTCTCTATGGTATGAACTTGAAAAACTTCCTCGAAGAGTCCGATTTAGGCTTTGGCGCTGTTTCTGCTGCTTGCTTTGCCCTAACAGCATTTGTATGTGTGTATGGGCTTATAAAGCTGAGAAAGGTCCAACGTGTCCGGATGTGGGGAGAAAACGGTATACAGGAATCCTATAGGGGAGGTTTAGCTGTACGTGGTTGTCCTCCGCCTGCTCCCCAGAGTAACTGGAGATCGGATTCTATTAGTCCTTTTTTTCCTGGCGAAGAACGTATGCAACGACTACGTCGGCTGCGAGGAGCGTCAAGCCCTGCAGTGCCGCCTACCGTATCCCCGGCTGCTGTAGCTGCGAATAAACTGAGGTCCTCAAAGCATAAGAAGAGGCCAGACCGAAATACCAAGGCTGAGGCCCAAGAGCCTATCCAAGAAGAAACTATTCAGGAAACTGAACCCCTGAGCTCAGCAGCCCGCTAGGCTAACATACCCATACTTATCATTGTTGTATTTACTGATTTTCTTTCTTTCGTTTTTTTACTAACCTATATCTTGTTGTTAGCGTTCACAGGTTTAACCTCTCCCCTTACGGAACCTAATATGCTCGCATCCTTAGTATTATTTTAGATCTCTCTCCTTTTTCCTCGGTATGGCCATGTTGGGTGGGCGAGTTTGGTGGCGCTTTGGGAATTGGGTTTCAGGTTATATTTGACGATATAGAAGGATATAATAACACAGTAAGACTTACAACAATGTTACGATAAATACTATGGAGCGAACGAGAAAGCAAGAAAGCAAGGCAACTGGCCACGAGAAATAATATTGTTCAGTAGATAAAGGTCATTCAATCATTCAATCATCTAAATTGTATAAAGCGAGTTTTTGAAGGGTCCCGACAAGGAGTATAAAGGAAATAGTGGTGTCACTAGTGGAAATGTAGACAGCGATGGAGAAGTGGGAGTAAGTCCCGACACAAGTTAAAAAGAGGGTAGCATCTGTTATAGCAGCAGTAGTGAAAGTGGTAGTAGGAGGTATCTTAGGAAATGTGGTAAAGATTGTAAAAGTTATCTCAAGGCAATAGCCTCTCCGATGCGGTTATGCGGCTCAATCAGTCGCTGATGAGCTCTCTCCTTGGCTGTGCTAGGAGAAGTAGACGGGCGTGCTAGAATTCTTCCTTGTACCGACAGTCTAGAAGTAGTGGTAGACGAGCAGGATATCTCAGTTTCTCCGATATTAGGAGGAATAGCTGAGCGTCGAGTTCCTCTTCTTGTGGCGAAAGCAGAAGACGTAGCAACCCCGCATCCACCATCATAAGAGCTGCGATATAGGTTGAGCATGTCTATAATATCATCACGGAAGTTGATAGCATTTGAGCTGCGGGGGCTGCACTTCTGGTCTCGCTGAGCATCACATTTGGCGCCGACTTCAAGTGCAGAGAGCAATGCAGATTGAAGCATCTTATTTTGGCGTTCAAGGTAGAAGACACGATCTTGTAGAAACTTTTGTTGGTGAGATTGAGTAGCTATGGAAGAGTCTGAAGTTGGCGGGTATTTGAAGTGAGTGGGAGTGAATGGAGATAAAAGAGAATCAGGATCGTCGGGACGAATGGCGTTAGCGCTGGGTGGAGTGAGTGGTAGTGGTTCATCATGGATGTATTTTTGGGATTTAGTATTGTCGATGGTTAAGGTCGAGCTTTTGCGGTTTCTGCGGGGGGTTGATCGTGTAGACCGCCTTGACCTGCCACTATGCGCTCTGGTTCCCATGCCTTCATCGTCCGATGAAGGTAGGGATGGTGAAACCGGACGGGATACAGTTTCCAAAGCACGTAGTCCGGCAACACTCTTTGGGCTCATTAGCGATGGCCTGTGAGGCACAGGGGTAGGAATGAATGACTGTGAGTTTCTGGGGCTAGTTGGTAAAGATCCTCCGGCTAGCAGAGAGAAGGCGTTATGCTTATGTCTGAATGACCGTTCTTGTGTAGCTCGATCAGTGAATACTGAGCCATCAGGCATAATTGTTCTCATTGGAGATCCATTGGTGGAAGACTTGGTATTAGAATCGGCTGTAACCTTTGACATGGCAGATTTGACTGTTGGTCGAGTGGAGTTAGTGGCTGACGGTAATGACTCCTCACTGGTCCTTGAGCTTCCCTTGGTTGTAGAAGAGTAATTCAGGATGGCCGGCGAGCTAGCTTGTCTGCCCCTAACATTATCAGTGTTTTCGAGGGTGGCTGAGTCTTTGTTCGAAGCTTTAAGTGCAGCCCTAGCGGCGGCAACATCTTTCATTCTCAAGGCGTGGATGTTGTCTAATCTGCTAGACTTTCTGACAGGTACCGCAGGGAAGTGATCCGGGAGGATTTTGGATGCAGTATCCGCGCTTCCTTTTATTTCTGGAACGTTTGTCGTTGGGAGTTTGGGAAACGATTCAACATTAGGTTGGTTGTCCAATGCATCATGCGATACCGTGAGGGCGGGTGTGGATGATATGGATTTTGAGGCGTCGTTGTCATCTCCCTTTTGAGAAGGGTTGTGCCAGGTAAGGGGAGAGGTTAAAGTACTACTGCTTGCAGAACCAGACAAGGCGGATATCGAGAAAATATTCGATGATGGGGTAAGTGACGGCTCCGAGGACACGGAATACTTTCTGGAGCTATCAATTGGAGCAGGGATCAAGGTTCGAGATTTTGATTTGGACTGGGTCGCAGTATCTAGGTTTTCGTTGGCATCGGCTGGATCCAATATGGACACAGGCTTTTCAGTACTCTCAAGACTTTCAGCGTAATTGAAACCGTGCTCTTCCGACATGGGGCAAGATAATCGACAACAAAGGCTGCTGAAGTCAGTTCGACCCGCCCTTCGTTCTTTTCGGCTGGAAGTCCGTTCGGGGAGACACTGTACGTCGATGAAGGTTGACTCGCAGGTAGTTGATATAGAGTGTCGTTTGCCGAACCCGGAACTGGTGGTGGTTGACCTTGTAACCCGGATAGAGTCTCTTTTATAAATTTGAATTTGCTGTCTTTGTTGCTGGCAGTGAATTTCGGGAGTATCGGGAAGCGGCTTGTCTTGAGGCCAATATGTCGAGCCCTTGGCACAGTTATGTGGCACCGCAGGTTTGGGTGGAGGTTGAGGTACGTTGTCACCGTTGTGGTTCGACGGACTGTTAAGGTGTACGGGCATTGGTTGGATCGGCATCCCGGAGTCAGTATCAATACCAGATAGGATCTCGCGGCCAACTGAAGTGTCTGTCCATTCCATCTTTTCATTCGTATACATATCTCCGGTCAGGGTTGCCGAAGACAAATCATACAGCTGGCCCATGGTAGCCAAGGATGGGAAAGGTTCCGAGACTCCAATATCGTTTGATGGAGGTTCCTTGGAGGATGGTAAGACTGAAATGCCTGGGTAAGCACATTCGCCGTCAACCTCTGTCTTAGGAGTAGCAATGGGTCGATCAATGTTGCTATCATGGGAACCTCGGGGGCTTCTGGTGCCGGGGGAGTACTGCATGCTTTCCATGCTGATAGCAGGGTTCAAGCGGTCGTTTTTCTGCTTGTTCTTCCGGGCTGGAGTACGGCTCCATAGGTCAGGAGCAAATAGCTTGACGGGCGATTTCTTCCTCTGAGGGGCCGAGTCTTCCTGTAGCCCCAGATCATCTTGACGGTGCTTCAGTTGTCGTAGCTGCCCATTGAGTTCAAGACTGTCTAGATCAAAATTGTATGGGTCTGAGATGGGGAGTTCACAGGTCTTGAAGAATTTGATAAGCTCGGTAACGTGCTCTGATCTCTGAGGTCGACGTGCTGAGCCAGCAGACCGAGGGCTATAGTGAGCAGCGTTCTTATTTCTTTTGGTGGCTTTCTTTCCTGTCTGGGTTCGACTCGAAGCTGGTCGGGGATAGTTATCCCTTCCAATAGATTCAGCTACCGACAGCCTCGGAGTTTCCCAGGCAGAGAAGCAGAAGCTCTCCTCCGAGGATCTCGAGGGAGTACTTGGACGCAGCATTTTCCCGTTCTTAGGCATGCAGCCGTTTTTGTTCTCCGAACCTGCGATGATATATAATGATAGTTATAGTATATAGTAGCAGGTACTTTGTCACGGAAGAGGCGCTACCTGAGCACCTCCCAACCGGATATGAAACAAGGAACCACCACGGCTATCTGCCAGGCATTGCACAGAGGCTCGAGCTCAATGTGGTTCAAGATGAAGACATCCCCAAGGGATCAAAGGCTGAATCGAACGATCTATGAGCAAGGGGGTTGAGTCACATAAGATGTCAAGATACTAGATGGCCACGTCCGAATTCTGGGGAGAAGACAGGCTGAGGGTGGTCGTTTAATAGAAAGTTCATTAAACTAGAACGGCCAGTAGATAGGTGACAGGAGGTGAGAACATCCCACAGCTGTGATCTTGAGGGACCGGGTGAAAAGAAAAAGGGCAGCACAGCATCAAAAAGGACGAGCAACAGCGGCAAGCTGCATTTTGGGCGTCGAGGGAGACAGGAGACCAAAAAGTCGAAAGCTTCACGTTGAATCTTTATACGAAGACGTGAACCTCTCACTTGGGAAGAAGAGCCAAAAAAAGCAAGGAAACAGAAAAACAAAGAGCCAGGAAGAAGAGAAGTGATAGCAAAAGCAAAGAAATAGAGCCTTCAAATGTGGACTTGAAGGAATTGAAGACAAGAAGAGAGAGAGAAAGAGAGCATGCAGTCGAAAAAGGAAATATGAGCCAGACTATGGGATGCAGTCTGAATCCCTTAGGGCCATTTTCCCACACTGATTCACAGAGCTAGCTCCATGAACCCTGTATAAGCTGAAGGGCCTCGACAAATCAAGGCGGAGGAAGGAGGAAAAAGCAAGCCTGCGATTTCGACTGTTAGTTACATGGCACAAGCAGGTGAATTGGATCTATCAACGCCTTCCGGCAAGAGAATCCATTCCACTGGAGTAACCCTTGAACGCAACGCATACACGGCGGGTTTAAGAGTCCACTCCTGTACATACGGGGTAACGGGAGGCCGTCCAGGGTCAGGGGAACAGGAAAGGTACATAGGCACCTCTCTCTCAACATCCAGAGCCAAGTCACAGGGCTGGTCATTCGAGAGAATCTCTTGCTAGCCTGCCTGGCTGCCAGTCCGCTACCAGCTTTCCGGGGAGGTCAAGCCTCAAGTCGAGGATCCATCCTCCACCGCTCGCCTCCCCCCCCTTTCGACCCCCTCGACCCCCCCAAGCGAGACCAGGCACCACCACCGTATATCACAAAGAACCCGGGCGGCGGGATTTTCAGTCGTGCTGTTCCCCCATCAGGACAATCCCCCTGTTTTATGATGGGACGGATAAATAGAATAATAGCTCGCTGGTCTCCAGTCCGCGGCCGCGCTGTTGTGCTGCTGGAGACGAAGGTTGGCCGAGTTGGAGCATTTTTCGATGGTGGAAAGTAAAAGTTGCCGCTTTGGGCGTCGCAGGGCTGAGTCAGCCACGACGACGCTGCTCGAGTTCTATCAATTTTGCCTGCGGATGGGAAGACAGATCACATCTCGCTTCCTGTCGAACACGATCGTGCAAGGAAGACGAGCAGAAGCAGGCGGGCGACCAAGAGAGATCGGACGCTGGCCTGTCCATGGGACCTGCGATGCTGCTGAGCCAGGCCTTGATTGGCCTCTCTGGCCTCTTTTTTTTGTACACTGAGAGAGGGGGGCCTGGGAGTGAAGAGTCGACGTGAAGAAGACGACGACGAACGCTCAGATCTACGCATATGCTCTGCGTTACCCAATGGGATGGATACCATGGCAGGTTAAAATGGCCGTATGCACACATATTTTATTTTTATTTTTTTTTTTATCTGTTAACTACCCCCTTTTCTTTGCTTTTCCTTCTCGTCCCTTGTCTTCCTTTTGCGTGTTGTTGTTGTTGTTGACACACGCAGCGTCGTGTCGTACATTCCGACACGATCCAGAGGGTACGAACCAATATTCAGATACCCGTGCAACGCCTCAAAACGGTGCGGCCAGGGGTGAAAGCGCCGGTGGGAGACGGGCAGCAGCAAAGTAGAAGCTGTGAAAAAAGCAAATCAGGAGAGAGAGAGAGAGATAAAGAGAGAGAGAGAGAGGAAAAGCAAAGGCTGAGGGAGAGGGAGAGAGAAGCAACGCTGAGAAAAGACCACAGAGTATGGCTCCTAGCACGTTGGCTGTCTTTTAGCATTGACGACTAGTTACAGAGTCGCTTGCCAGACAATAGGGCCTGGGTAGACGAGACGAGTCGAGATGGGGTGAGATTGTTAGTTTGCTGGTACGCGCCAGTCATCTGGATGAGCGCCCATCCCCTGGCTATCAGTGTCCAATTTCCCGCTTCCTGGTTAGTTGAGGTAGACGAGGGAAATAGTGAAAAAAGGTTCTAGATTATTGAATCTCGCCTGGTTGATGATGGGAGCTGTTGAATCTGAATGTCGATGATATCTGCTTGGACTGCAAGCAGAGTTCGAGGCACAGAAGAAAACATTATACGCTGCATGACCAAGCTTCGTGCAGATTAATTTAAATTGATATTATAATATTACTATTATCATAATATGATTATGCTATGCTCATCTTATAACAGAGCGAGAAACACATGTAAGTTAGTTACTTGACGAAAAAAATAAAAATAAAAATAAAAATAAAAATAAAATAAGGATATTCGAGTCAATAATGCGACTCGACCATTCAGGGAACAGGTATTTTCTTCCAATTCTTTGCTCCATTCCTGTTTGCCTTCTCGATGTCGTCTACCATGACAAACATTCGTCTCTGGCCACAGAAGCCTCCAGGGCCTGCTATCCGCTGGATCGTTTGAAGCGAACCCCCCGGCTGACCGTCTGCGTTACTCTGCCACACTCTCTCCCTCACCTTCTGTCCTGGAAGGTGAGTTCGCCGAGGGTTATGCTCTGGATAAGCCAGCCGGCTGACAAGATACTGCAGGTTTGCAAAGACGCGTTCAAACCGTCTGAAGAACCCCAGCCACTTCCAAGTATTCTGTGAGTAGGCCACTCGAACGTACGGGTTCAAGAAAACACCAGTCTGATTTGCAACATCTGGCCGGCCAAACCGATCTTCCCAATCTGCAAAGATCAAGCAGCACTCGGAAGATTCCCAAAAGGGCTCTGAGTCGTGCCGGAAGCGAGTGACAATGTGGCTTGTCGAATCAGCCGTTGAAAAGTGCTGGAATACTGATGCCTGGAAGGCCGCCATTCCTCCCCAGCAGCTGCGCACCTCGACTGCGTCGGCGCCCTGGAGGACCTGGTTCCTGCTCCTGGCCCGTCCGACGGGAGCGAACCAGGGGAAGTACATCAGGCCGGTGCCATAGCCCTCGGCATCCCTGACCACGAAGGTGTCGTAGAACATGGCCTTGGAGATAAAGTCGACGGCACAGGCTGCCCGATACTGAGCGTGACCGGCCTGGTCTACATTGGTCGAGAACAGGAGCTGAGCAGCCTCAATGGCCGAGAAGTAGACGTCGTTCAAGAACAGGACCCGGTCGAACTGCATGTTCGCATGACTGAACCCGAACCCGTCCGCTGCTACATGATCGCCAGAGGGCTGGTACGCCGAGTTCAGCGGTTCCAGCGCCCGGTTGCGGATTCTGGCCAGGTACGCTATGCGCTTTACTCGCTCGCCCCCTGATGGCAGAGTGGTCGTAGGGAGGCCCTCAAGGGGCACATGCTCCCCTGCAACGACTGATGAGTTACCTGTAGCCAGAAATTACCTTAGCCCGTAGCCATTTAGATGTTATATGTTGTTATTTAGAAGCAGGAAACGAGATGGAACAGATATACAGAGCGCACACGGGGGAGCAACGGACATGGTAGCTGTGCAGCAAGCTCTCTGAGGGCGTCTCCTGTCCCCGGCCCGCTGTCGTTCTCGTAGATACTGACAAACACGTTATCCTCTCCCAGGATGTCGACCAGCTCGAGCAGCGAGCGGCCCCAGGGCCCGCGAATCATCTCCTCCTGCACGATATTACTTGCTATGAACACCTTCTGGCCCTCTGGGTTCCCTCGCCCGGGCTGCGTGGAACCGAGGATCCGCTCACGCAGGCCAGCATAGTGCTCTGGCGGCGTCTGATATGGCGGCCACAGCAGCGACTCGGCCACCGATACGACCACGAACAGCCAGGCCAGAAGCCCGACAAGCCGTAACAGGCGGTGGGTTCTCGACAGCCTGGTTCCAGCTCGCCGCGTTGGACAGCAGCCTATGGCAGCGAGCAGATGGTGGCCCGTCTTCTCAGCTCGCCGCAGAGGAAGCGAGTTCAGGCTGCTGGGTGACCGGCCGTGGATGGCTTGCAGAAGCCCGCCTCGGCCGTGACTTGGCTGCTGCTGCTGCTGCTGCGGCTTCTGCTGGCCATGATATGAAAGAAGGCCGGCAGCCTCAGCTTCGGCGTCGCAGCGAGCTGGCGATGATGGCCGGAGGAGGTCGACAGGTCCCATTATTAGTTTATTGCGCGGCGTTGACGAGTTAGCGGACGTAGCTATCTATAGCTAACCATAGATATCACCAATTCAGTTAATTCACCGTCCGGCGATGGAGGAAAGGCAGCCATCGAACGTCCAACTACAAGCAATGATATCAATAACAACGAGATATAGCAGACAAACGGCGACTAGACGGGCCTGAGCCTGGTGGCTTGGACGTTTCTGAATGCACAAATAAAAGCAATCCAGCCCGTGAAGCTGACGTCAAGTTGATCGAATCCTCCAGGGGCAGCCAATGGCGCAGCACCAGGCGTCGTTACATGTTCATCTGGCCGGCGCAGATCGACCGGGAGGGTGAGAAGTCCCCTTCTTGGCCTGACCGACTCTCACGAGCATCTCGCTCGTATTTTCAGGCCCGTCTGTTGCCCGCCGTTGCTATCAATTGGTTGCTTGTAGACAAGGGGGTGGGATTCTGTACCGGCGGTATAGCGGGGAGAGCGGCCGGCTATTGATGCGAGCCAACAGCAACAACACTCAACGGGCAGACGCTGCGGATGGAGTACGGAGTATGTATGCAAAGCAGCAATTTAGTAATGCTACGGAGGATACTAACCGTTATTTTTCTCCATAGCAGGGCGTTAGCGCATGCGGCGGAGTTTCTCTCTGTCCAGTAACGATATACAGGGGGGGTCTTCGCCCTAACTATACGAAGGGCCCCAGCAGCCAACATGCTCTCCATACAAAAAGACATTGTGGTCAGCTTCAAGGCTGATCGTTGGCTACGGAGTAAGTACTACGGCAGAGACTGGGGCCCGTCTCTTTCAGGATTCAACATTATCTATCCCAGGACGGAACTGGTCAGGGAGCAGAGCAGCAAGTTCCTGGGAAATCCGAATTTGAACAGAGACCGCATCCCCGGACCTGCATCCATAGGCATGCACGGTTTTATGCGCTGAACTGCGGAGTATCATGTATTCATGTATACAACCTGAGAACTATACCCAGAAACGCGAATTCCTGCAGGCTCACGTCAGCGTCTTGCATATGAATCGCACATTTCCAGGCTCCGTGATTATCATCAATCACCGTCTTCACCCTCGATTCTGGTTTGTGTGGGAAGAGATGGCCGAGCCAACCAGGCCGGATAACTACTTACGACATCTATAAGATGAGCGTTATAAGGATCTGCAGAGCACAGGATGGTAGCTAAATTGGGACAGTGTGACATTTTAGCTGCATGTTGGGGCCTATATGTCTCTTGTATTAAGCACATTCAACTTGTTCCACTCGTTTGACGGAGAGCTCCATAGCCGCAAAGCCCGCATCTCCGCGTCTACGGAGTACTACTACTCCCAGGCAAACAGCCGACAACAGCTTCGGACCAGGACCCTGTCCTATATCTGCTCGAGGTACCAGGTGCTGAGGTTTGCTCTGGCTCTCGCGCATGCAGGGTGCTCGCTGGAGTTGCACAGTGAGTCGCATCCTGTCCGACTCTGACGCCCGTTTCCGTTGCACCATGCCAGAGATGGGCCATCCCAAGAGGCGACGGGCGGCAAAAAGAGGCTGGTAGGAGGCTATTCCGACCAACGGCTTTGAAGAACGTCTCCTCTACGGAAATTGTGTGGCTGTCGATGCGCTCCCAAACCAGGCAGACGTCTATCATCTATCCAAGAGATCTAGAGACCGACGTCACAGGGCAGAAACCTGTCTCGCGGATCGCCCAGATCTAGATACCCAGGCACTTCCGTGCATTTGCCTTCTCACAGATGTGCGCGTGCCTCTCCGATCAATATGCAAGATGGAAGCACTCTAGACGCGTATAGCCGTGGGCGCGTACCAAGCAGACCGTACGTGATGAGTGTAACGACTGCCCGTCACGGCGGATATCTCAAGTTATTCCTCCTATAGAACAGGATATGCCATACTACCATCCTCTCGGATATGATCAAAGCTGCAAAAAAAAAAAAAAAAAAAAAAAAAAAAGGCGACACAGGATCCTCTTGTTTTAAGCATTCTTGCTTTCGCGCCAGCAGTCTATATAGAGGTTGCACCTGGCCCCGGCTCAATAGAGCGCAGAGGCCAGGGACGGTCTCGATCTGGATGGTCGGAGAGCCGGTTGAGCACGAGAGAGGGTGTACACGGACTGGGTGAGGGTACACTGTTCGTCCCCTGCGGCCGGCTGACTGCAGAATCTCGTGCAGGAGAAGAGATTTTCCTTCCAGCACCCTTCCACCATTCACACATCTTGCATACAATGCGTCATTGGTTATGCACCTAGCTATCCTTGCAAGAGGCAAGAGCTCCAAGGAAGAATCATGCAGCAGCAAAAGGCAAAAGGCTCGGTGGAGGCTTCATGCAGCTCGGCTGCATTGCCTGGGTAAGAGGGATGAGCGAAAAGGCCTGTACCTGCGCATTATGCCGGCATTCTTCCTCCGCAGGATATGTTTGACGAATAAAGGGTTAAGAGACTTGGAAGCTGGATCAGTATCAGGATCACATCACGGTTCAATCTTTATGGGTGCGTTTGTTTAATTGCCATACACACCAACTCCCCATTTCATCTCCTACGTGTTTTGATAAGGAATCTACTATACGCCGAAAGGCATGGCCTGTCAGCCATCTACAGTCCAGAAGAGCGCTTACACACGCACACCCCTACACCCCGAACACTTGCGCACAGTGCTTCCCTTGCGTATTCTGTGGGACATGAAGCAGCGACCTATCACTGTGGGAGCTCACAGCTCCTCCTGCGGTTTCCCTATTTGGATAGTAGACCTTCAAGAGTTGTTCGTCCATAGACAGCTAGAGGCAGGGAATCAGAATGAGACGCAAAGTAAAGGGGTTGCGAACCGGACGGTGCACGGCTGGCTGTATACACAGGCCACACAGGCCACAGGCCCTTCAGGCAGTGTTCAGGAACAGGTCTCGCGCCGAGCACCAACAAGACGGCTGAACGGCGGTTGATTGGTAGAAGGATCTAGAATTTCAATACCATCATCGGCCTGAAAATGTGAAAGAGACAAAGCTCTGTCCCTCAATGCGACAAAAAGCGAAGAGGCTTATGCTCGTCATGTAAGGGCGGGTAACCTGAAGAATCTCCACTGTACCCGGAAAAACCCAACCACTGTGTCTTCGGGTCAGGCACAGAGAAAGCTGCGTCACTGCTGTGAATGTGCGCGCCGTCAATAATATCACAGTATAAGGCGGCGGATGCAAGGATAACTAGCTAGCGAGAAGAGAAAAGAGTTCTAGGAATACAATGCAAGAATGGGAAAGATAAGGGAGATATTGCACGAGGAAAAATAAAGTCATCCTCGATACTTCAGCGGTTTCGTGAGTTATTTCTTCTTTCACACTATGTGCATGTCTGTCTTGTTATTCTTTTTTTTCTTTTTACCTGCGTTTTGGACGAATAAAGACGTCTGCAGGCTTCTTTTTGCGCATTGGAGGAGGAGGTCGTCTGTCGCCTTTTGGCCTCATGGGAGGACCGCTGGTAGAGTCACCAACCTACGATGGATGTATTAGATTGTCTGTTCCCCCTTATTTTTATGAATGTAAAAAACGGGTTCTTCTAAGTCCCCGTTTGATAGAGCGGTGTAGAACTATATGTAGTAGACGTTGAGTGACTTACCTTATTGGCCGCCGGAGGAGGCTGTTCGGTAGAAATTGGGCGACTCTCGCGGCTATCTCGCGATGGTATTACAAGGTCCTAGGAGGAGAAGGTGATGTCAGTAGCTGTCAGTTAGTTATCGGAATCTTGCAGATGGGTCACTTAGCATACACTTGGGGGCGGCGCAACGCTGTGAGGATCCGCTTTTCGTCCTCTCGGGCCTTTTGGCAGGTTTACAGCTGGTGTCTGTGCTGCGGCAGAGGTGCTGCCGTCTTGTTTCTTTCCTTTGGAATCCTTCGGAGGAGTCGAAGATGCAGTGCTCTGGTCAAGTCGCATTACCTTTGGGTCACTTGAAGCCTGGGGGTCAGATCGTTTCCTCTTCCCAGGGCCACTATTATGTGGAGGGGCTGTGTTCTCAGCTGAAGGTTTCTTTCCAGGAACCTGTATTAGTGGTATTTTCGGGTCGTGAGCCGCAATGGCCTTCTGTTTCTGTCTTTCTATTCTCGCTTGCTGCATGCTCTTGTGATGGGCTTCTTCTTTGATGATTTTATTCTTTTCCCATTTGGGTAGCACCGTTGTGGACTTGCAGTCATTTGCAAGATGGCCGGTTTCTCCACATTGAACGCAGCGTTCAGCTTTGCAATCCCGAATCGAATGCGTCTCATCTCCGCATCTTCGACAAGTGCCCTGACAGGCTATCTTGGCATCGATGTTGTCACAATTATGTGTCATATGCTGATGGCTTCCGCAATATCCGCACATGGCCAAGTCATTTAGCCCAGACTTACCCCCAGAAGGGCCATCCGGAAGGCATGGGACGGGCGTGCCCACTGCACTACCTGAGGGCAGTTCGCTGGGCAATGATTCGGCGGTGGACTGGGGATTTGACAGTCTGGAAGGCGGCCTAGAGTTACTGCTTCCAGCCATGGATGAACCTGGCCTTGATGAAGGAGTTGGGATATTACCAACTTCTGCAGGAGCGTCTACCATTTCGACGTTATTTAATTCCATGTCTAGGCTGATTTGAGGTTTCTGCAGGATTCGCAGGATGTCTCCCTCAGTATAAAGCTGGCGTTCTCGAGCATCATAGATCAACGCCCTCCAAAATTCACCTCGGACAAGAGATTGAGAATTTCCAAGCACCCAAAGCGATGACTTGGCTCGTGTCAATCCAACATTCATTCGACGAATATCGGACAAAAACCCTATTCCTCGGTCAGATGCTCGGACACAAGAGAATATGATAACCTCGCACTCCCTTCCTTGGAATGCATCTGTGGTATTAAACTCAACAGCGGTGAATATTGAACTGCCATATTTAGCAGCAAACCGACTCTTGAGCTCCCTCAGCTGGCCTTTGTAAGGCGTGATTATGCCAATCTTCCCCGCAAAATCATAATTTCTATAGTCAGCCAGGAGCCGTTCGTAGAGGCGCATTGCTACTGTAAGTTCTGCAATGTTAACCAAAGAATGGCCCTTGGCAGCACTGGAGTGCATGCCCTGGACATCGAAAAACCGATATGGCCCAAGAAGCTCACTTCCGTGCCATGGCTTTTTCCGTAATGGCGCCATTCCAGGTCCATCTTGTAGCTTCCCATCATAGAACGCTTGGCTTGGGAATTTGCTTATCTCTGGATGCATTCGGTATTGAGTGTCGAGAAGATGGACATCATTTGGATGGTTTGCTTGCATTCGAACGAACAAACTTTGTTCATATTGGAATCGAGATGCTTCCTTCGATAACACTGTTGGAGGTAGCTGTTTGGGATCTCCAACTAGAACACACTTGGAGCAGCCATATTTGAGAGGAATGAGAGCGCTCAATTCAATAGACTGGGCAGCCTCGTCGATGATAACTGTCTCAAATTCGATACTTAGACTTTGGAACATTTCATGTCCACTGCCGCTAAGGGTGGAGCAGATAACATGGGCTCCGTCAATGATTTCTTGTTGTATTCGTCGTCGAGTCAACTCAGCATTTCGTGCTGCGGCATGGTTCTTGTCTCTAGCATTATCAATGGCCTGACTTAGTTGAGCCTTCTTTCGTTTTAGAAGATCGAATTCTCGTTCGAGCTCGTTAGAGACGGGCTCTGCTCTCGCCCTGCATTGATCAATTCTCTGCCGTATCTCAATGAATTTGGCAGAGGTTTCCTTGTGCTCGTTGAAATAGCTCTGTAAATCACGCTCTTCTCCATTTTTCTTTTGATCACTCTGGTTCAACTTGGCATTGACAAGCTCGTCTAGCGTAACGTCCAGCACATTGGCATTGATCGCATCGCTTCGACCTAACCGAATGACAGAGATTGGCTGTGTTTTACCGTTGAGTGTCTTCACCCCTTCCTTAAACCTCATCACTAGCTCGTCGACAGCTGCATTGCTAGGCGCGCAAACTAGCAGTTTCTTTGATGGGGTTGACTTGCTCGCCTGTGCTGAGTCGCTGGCTATTTTTGGTTGTGGAACCTTTCGTTCCGCCAGGATGGGTGTTAGAAGCGCTCCAACAATCGCAACTATGGTTTTGGTTTTGCCTGAACCAGGAGGTCTATAATTGAAATATTAGTTGGTATCTGACAATAAAAAAAAATCCTAAACCCTCAATCTTACCCTTGGATTAGCGTGAACGCATCGTTATCCACAGCCGATTTAATAGCCTTGGCTTGCGCCGGATTGAGGTCATATGTGGCCAGTATGGTTTTCAAGCTCTCTGGGCCATAGTTCAGTATTGGAGATGGCTTTGCTCTTATAATCTCCTCACTCAGGTCATAATATTGGAGAGCCATGAGTGCTCCATATTCGCGTTCAAGGGGTGTAAGAGAGGTGATCTTTACACCAAACAGCCCACCTCCAGATCCAATTCCGCTAGCCATTGGGCCACTGGGATTAATGCGATAGGATACCTCTACTGTCCCTTTCTTCTTCTTGATTCCGGATATCCTACCGAGACAATGAGGTGCACTCGAATCAGTGGCAGGCTTGTTTGAGCGGGATAGCAGAACTAAATCAGCTTCCCCTAGCCCTAGGTCTTTGACCTGTTGAGGCTCCATAATTGTGCTAACTTCCACAAATGAGTCAACTGAAAGACGGTTTGCAACTTTGATTTCGAATTCTTTAAATGTTGCATCCTCTCTAGCAGTTTGGAAGCCTTGCCAGGCTTCTAGTATCAGTAATGGCTCGAAAGTCTTTTGATATTCCAGTGCATTTGCGAAAACGTTGGAAACCAATGTGTAGTCAGTTCGGCCACAGTTGGGAGGAAGAACGGTCGTTGAAAAGAAATCCCAACTTAATAATGTCTTATGGAGAGACGATAAGTCTGGGGCAAGCCGCGCTCGCATGTCCTTGGCAGAGCGGATGATCTTTGCCTTCTTAACGGGCACTCGTTGTAGGAGTTTCTTTCGACTTTCTTCATAAGCTCTCACAGCATCTGGTTTTGAAGATACCCGCTTCCCAACCATATCTTCGTCTCCATTATCGTCACTGTCTGAGTCTGAATCCGAGTCGGAAGACACCATCATACTGTCCGCAGGTTTATGCTCAACGACTCCTATATTAAGGCCGCTAAGGCCGGAGCCTTGTGATGCTGTCTGCTCACTCATGCCACGTAAAGGCAAGTTCTTCTTTACTTTGGCGAGCTCTATCATATCACGTTTCTTCTTGGCCTCCTTTTCCCTCTCGCGCTTTTCACGGAATGAAAGGACATTGTGAGCCGGTTTTGCTAATGGTGCCACGGGTGGAAGTGGTTTATAAGGTGCGATAGGGCGGGGAATAGGTTTCTTCTGAGAGGCTATTCTAGCCTTGTGAAGATCAATTGAACCTGATAGTTCTATTAAAACATCATCTGGAATGTCAATCTCACTCTCATGTCCCTCCTCTTTAATCGGTTTAGATTCGGATTTAACAATCGTGTTGGGATCCACGGGTTTAGCAAAAGCAGTAATCGAACTTTGTTTCTTTTTGGGAGTTGGAGCAGGAATAGGAGTGATCAGGGGTTTCTTATAATAGGCCTCCATAGACCTTACTAGTTCTGCCTTTTCACTATCCGTCAAGATAGTCTTGATTTTGGCAGTCAGAGCAACATCTTTGATGACGTCCAAGGCCTCCTCCTGAACTGTTGCATTTAGATCCCCAAGACGGCGAAGCACTTTTGAAACGATCCCAACCAGTGTAGTCGCAAGGTACTCATCCTTTAGCCGTAACCATTTTACCATGGCATTCATTGTGGTAGTTGGGTATCGAAGGAGATTACTCTTTGCCGAGTTAGCTTGTGCTGGGTCGGCTTCTCCAACGGCCGTGGCAAATATTGGAAATTGGTCGAACAGAAGCTCAGCAAACTGGATACTGTCTCGACAGAATTCCAGCATGATTGACCTGTCAACGCCCATTCTATGCCATTTTTCGGTATGACTGAATATTGTAGAAAGTGCCAACCACTGGTACTCCCAAAGCCTCTGCAAGAAGTATACTTCTTTTGGATCATTAAGTTTTCGAGTCCTCAGTATTCCAGTTTGCGAATCACAGAGGACCTCGATGATATCCGTGCCAGTTTTAAGCATTCTAGGAGCAGAGGCGAATGTTTTCATGTTGGAAATACGCCGAAAAGACCAGCTGAACCCAAACATCGTGGAGGCACAGAACGACTGTAATAAGTGAGAAATTGCTTCCTTGCGCCCCAGTTGGCCACTGACGGCTTTTATCAGATCGACAGCGGCCTGATACGTATTTAAGTCGGCAGAGAATAATGCAGAGGTCAAAGAACCATTGGTCTCTTGAGCTTTGAATAATTCGTCCAGATGTTCAGGTCTGAAATCAGACAATCTCTCAAGGATCTGGCATGCGAGATGAGTAAGGTGGCCGTAAATGACATTAAAATGCGTCTTTTCTTTCGTGTTTTCTCCCCTCGTCTGGAATTTCTCAAGTCCTACGAGAGGCAAGATACCTCTCAGGGCTGCAGAAGAGAGGGCTAAATTCTTTTCATCAAGATGTTGGACTACAGCATCCCATATAGGCGCTGTATATGTGCTAACGCCATGTTGTAGAGTATTATCCCTGAGGATGGTTTCATAGTCTGATTTTAGAGACTGGCATTCCAGTGCCAGTGTGTTTCGGACCACATCCATACAGAGAACAGAAATCTCCGACTCACTCCCATCAACTTCGAACCGTGGAGGGTTAAGGAAATGCTTGATATTATCACTTATAACTTCCATCATTTCGGATAGAACGATGGTAGCCACAGAACCTCTCGAGTCTTCATTATCCGTGAAGCTACGCAAGGTACGATAAAGAACCATAAGACCACTTCGAAAGCAATGGTACTTGACAATGGTAGGAAATCGAGGCTCCTGAAGGCGGTTGAGAAGCTGGTGAACTAGGAACCGACATGCTTGCGGCTGATGGGTATTCTTGAGGGACGTGATAAAGGGGTCTATCCATGACAACATGTCCCTCAGGGGAGATTCAGTCAAGGAGTCATTATTATCAGTAGCCGTTAAAAACACTTCATACTGGGGATTGTAAAAAATCTGCTCAATAATGGCTTGTGGTGAAATAGTTTGCATGGCATCCCAAAAGTCGTTTGGAGATTTCTTCAAGAGAGCATGTATCGTGTTGATAACTGAACGTAAAGCTGGAGCTTGAATGGCTAGGTGGTCAACAGATAATCGGCAGGGATCAAGTTCAAGTCCTCGAAGGTTGTGGGTGATTTGGTCCTTGTTCAGTCCCTTAATTATGATAGTGACTCCACGCCATAGCGAATCAACAAAGTCAGGATCAAATGGAGGAGTGGATGCCCGGCGTAAAGCCGCAAGTAAAGGCTCCTTGATTGCACAGTCGAATTCCGTAGTTGTCGGTGGTCTGGCTAGCTTTGACCAAGTAAACACAGCCCAATCGTTTCTATGCTTGTTTTTGTCGAAAAGAAACTGCGTGGCGGCAGGTACATATTCTGTGATCTTTAGAGCGCGCGAGCTTTGTACCATCGTAAACGGTTGGTCAAAATGCTCACAAAGGAACGTCTCGTTCCCTAGCACCGGGGTAGAGCTTAACGCCTCAAAAATGGAGAGCATAGAGGCTCGATCAAGGGCGCTTATCTTACGCTGCCCAGGGGAGATACTTGCGAGCATACTGGCAGCTTTATCCAAATTTTTCCCGACTCGGGCTATATCCCAATCATCCAGCATTTTACTGAATTTTTCCACTTCAGATTCATCGTAGCTTTCACCCAAAGTCTCAATCAGCCATATTTTCCCTCTGTAGTACTCCTTGATGCAAATATCACATCTTTCTAATGTCTCCTTGAGGCGCCTCCATATCCATTGCTGCTGTGCTTCAACCTCTTCGCCACTAAAAGCCAGTAGCTGTATGCAGGAGAGGAATTTCTCTCGACGGACCGCAGCCTCTGATATTCTCTCAAGTATATCAGGGTTCGTCTGAGCACCGGCTTCACTAGATTTATTTTCGCTCTCGGTGTATTTGTTGTACTGCTCCATATCATTGTCATTTTTACGAGGGCACAGAAGGTGAAGCTCTTCAGGCAGGCTCTTCAGCTCCCTAATCCGAAATAAGAGGTCAAACGTTAGCCAATACATGTCACTTGACAGTATATATATCATATATAACTGAAAAATCAAAAGCAAATGAGACCAACTCGAGCGTATTCATTAACTCGGCCATGTTTTCACCCCGGTCGACCTGCCGGCCGTCATGGGCACCCGGAAGCGCTGAAAACCTCCCCTAAACGCGTCGAGTTCGGGATAGATCCGATTCTTCCTATACTGCCTCAGTTATCTCCCTTCGTTCTCTCACTCCTTCACGTTTCTTGCCGTTGGATCTTCGTTGTGGGTTTGAAGGCCAAAGTCGGACTTGAGGTAAAGAGCAGAAGAGCAGGATGACCGTCCTTCCTCTGGGAGTAAGAGCAGGACACTTCTCACACTAAATAACCATGTGAGGTATAAATGAACAATCCAAAAGGAATATAAAATAAGAATAACAAAGATAAAGATAGGAAGAAGAGGCCAGTCTATAAAATCATGGCTGGTGGTTTGGAAATTGCAGCGTGCGTTTGGCGTGTCACGCCGATAAGGCCGATAACTAAGTTAACAAACTCTTTTTATATTGGCGCTTAACTAACTACGTAGACTATTTGAACTACAACTTTGACCAACCTTGCGACTACCAAGGGGCAAACAGGCCCCCTTTATTGGTCATCACTACGGGGTACTTTGATTATTGACACCTACGGTCAATATATGCATCCGTTGTGCCGCTGCGGGGGGATTACTAATTTCTGGAAGCTGTGTGGTTGAGCGGTTATAGTAGTCAGAATATATACTATTTTCTATGTCATGCACAGCTGCCCTCGAAAGGACGTGAGCACCGTTATAATCAGGATGGGAATATGTAGGAGCAAACTGCAAAACAAGCCAAGGTAGGAAAACAGGTGTCTTCTCCGTAAGATACGCGGGAAGGGCCTCGTCTCAAAAGCGCCAGTTCTCCCTCAAGGCAAGTAAAGGGGTATTCTCTCGATCGAATATATCTTTATACAAACAGGCAACCTAAAGCCCAAAAGGGGGGGATAGATGTAGCGCAAAAAATAGAAAGAGGAATTATTTGCTTTTCGCGCTCAAGGGAATAAAATTACAACACGAGGAAAGAAAAATGAAGAGAAGCAAGTGATATCATGCGAGCAAGTATGGAAAAAAAAAAAAAAAAAAAAAAAAAAAAAAAAAAAAAAAAAAAAAAAAAAAAGAAAAGAAAAAAAGAAAGCATAGCCAAAGACCGAATTGCAAAACGCCTAGCGGAACGGAGGAAGCTGGATGAGACGATGAAGTTGAAAATGCAACATGGAAGTCAATAAGGTAGCGCAGAGGACGGCAGGGCGGGAAATGGTATCTGAGATGGCTGATATTTCGAATTATTGGGAGAGAAAAGAAAACCGTACGAAAGAGAAAAAGTATGGAAAGTCGTGATACGTGCGCGCATTGAACGAGGGGCCGTGGGGAATTAAAGGAGGAGGTTTGGTGCTGGTGCATATATGCCAGCCGATATGGACGTGAATCGTATATATACACTTAATGTTCCTGGATCGCAGGATGGTTGTTGGGGTCGCCCCTAACATGACTAGATTCAATTCGGGCTAACATTGCCGCCGAAGTGAAGTCACTGCTGGCTTCGAAACTTGACCTGACCCGATCCACTGAGGATCTGCAGCGATCTATCGATGGCCTTACACGATCTCGTGGTGGGTTGCGCTCTTGCTCTAGTGACTGATGCGCTGGAGGTCGGAGGTCCAGACTTGCTGTGTAGGCAGTTGTGTCACTGCCATTTTGGCTGCGTGGGTTATGGGTTGTTGCGGTTGGTGCAACAGATGGGGGGTATATGGGGCGTTCTTCTTCGGGTTGATTTGGATCTCGCTTTGCAGCAGGTTTGCTGTTTTGCATGATCCCCGAGGATTGGGCAGCGAATGCGTGTGATGGGGGAACGTAAGCCTCGTATTTTTCAAGGTACTTGTATTTTCCGAGTGTAACCTGCTCACGAACAATGTCGACATCCCGAGGGAAGTATATCTTCTGGACAGACTTGATGGTGAATCTCGGCCCAAGGCACATGACAACAGTGACGAATGTGAGAGCCCAGAACGACAGACTTCCATATACTTCAGATGCCGCTTTGTAGAATGTACCCGCCGATGTGGTAGCAGAGTAGACACCCGTCCAGAACCAAAGAAGAAGCGAGCTCACAGCGTTAATTAGGACAGTCAACCAATCCCAACGATAGGTATTGAGCAGGACGTAGGTATTGCTGCATACAATCGCGCATGAGGCAACGTAGATACCCATTCGTGTACGGTCACTGAGGTCCAGGCCATTTTCACTGACGTTCTGTCCTGGACGGAACAGGAGATACGTCATGAAGAAACAAATCACAGACTGATACAATCCATCCAACATGTAAAGCCTGTATATACACGGTTAGAAGTCTTCGAAACTAAAAGAAGGTGGGAAAATAAAAGATTGACATACCAGAACTTGGTGCGAGTCCATTCCTTCTGCTCGATACCAGTTTTGTAAAGCTGTGGGACGGCAAGAGACACTTTATCATCAACGTCCTGGTCAAGAATGCCCATCAAAATAACAGGTAACGAGGTAAACGCAAGGTTTACCAGAATGATGTAAGTACCCTCGAAAAGGTACGAACTATCAAAGTTGTTATATATGGAATACCAAAACAGAGCGCATGTCCAGACAAGGTTCTATACTATAGTTAGAGAACGATACATTGATGGTGGAAAGAATAAAAGCGAACACATACCTTGTAGAAGAAGTTTGCAAGAGTCTCTGCAAGGCGACGATACGACCATCGACCATGCACCAGAATCAAACGCTGCAAGAACCTGAACTGTCCAATGGCATAGTCCGAAGACATGACTGCTTGTCGTCCTTCTTCACCAGCAATACCAACACCAACATCAGCTTCCTGAATCATAGAAACGTCATTGGCGCCATCGCCGACAGAGAGAGCCATCACTTTCAGCCCTTCCTTGACCATTTTAACAACTTGAGCCTTCTGCGCAGGACTGACTCGGCAGCAAATGACAGACTTGCATTGTTTGCATAACAAAAGGAACTTTTGCTTCAGTTTATCGCTGAGCATTAACTTGAGAGTCTCTCCGTCAATAACAAGAGCGTGAGTGGCAGCCGGAGGCTCGTGATTCTTTTGAGCTGCAAGAAGTTCTGCGTCAGATCCTGTGAGGTTGAAATTCGCAAGGTTGTTGTCTATCTCTGTGGTGGCAGCATCCATATCGTCCGGGTCAATATTGAAGACGATTAGCTCCATGTCGCTGGTCAGCAGGTTGCAAGAGAAACCAATATTGATAGCGGTCTCGACCTTGTCGCCTGTCAAAACCCACAATTTGATACCAGCAGCTCCAAGCAAGGAAATGGTGTCTGGAACACCATCTTGCAATCTATCTTCAATGGCGGTTCCTCCGAGTAAAGTAAGCTCACGTTCAATGGAGCTTGCTGCCTCCTCAAGCTTCTCGTCACGGTCGGTAATGGCCTGAGCAGCATCCTCATAAGCCTTACTCCACTCCTGGTATTCCTCTTCTGAAAGGATGCGTTGTCCTACACAGAGCGTTCGGAGACCTTCCCTGGCGAAAACTTCGAGTTGGGCCGCAGTATTCTTCCTGAGTTCAGCTTGCTTACCGCGAGAAAGGCGGGAATATATTATGCTATCGGCACCCTTGCAGAAGAGTATGATTCTTCCATCAGGCATTCTGATGATGGCACTCATGCGCTTTCTGGTAGAGTTGAACTCTAGAGTGTTAAGAACGGTGTATCGTCGTTCCTCGCCCATGACATTCAGTCGGATATCATCGCCGGATCGGCCGAGTACGGTGAATCCGCAGTCTCGCGCTGTAGATACGAGAGCGGCTTCATCTGGAGATTGAGCCTTGAAATCAATTCTGGGGGGGTCACCCGGTGTACGTTCTGTGATGACAGTATGACATAAAGCGAGAGCAATCATGAAGTTCGTAACAGCGTCCCTCTGTTCCTCGCCCGACGAGCCGGTGAGATCAGAGACAAAGTTCGAAGACACAAAGGTGAGTTCATCATCATGGAGATACGGGTTGTCGTGAATAGCTCTGAGCTGCTTCAACATCGAAGCTCTAGACTGCGCTATTTCTTCTTTGGCCTTTCTGGAGACTTCTTCCACATTGATTCCTTGTCTGCGCTGCATTCCAGCCTGTGCTTCGGTGTAGGCCTCGCCATAAGAAACACCATTGATAGTGCATTTCTTGAACTCCATGATATTCTGGGTCAAGGTACCGGTCTTGTCGGAGAAGATATATTCAATCTGGCCAAGATCATCTGAGATATTCCAAGATTTGGGGGTGCAGGGGTATTCTAGTTTTTCATAGTACATGAAGGTATCACTGTGAATGAAGACGGCCTGGAGAGTACGAACGATCTCAAGAGAGACAAAAAGAGAGATCGGGACAAGGTTCTGGAACAGGATAAGGGATGCCCAGAATGTGATGATTCCATCGACACTGGGTTTGCCGCCATATGACCCATACTCGAACCAGTCCAAAGAATTGTCACCTTGGCCCCACGTAGCTCCCTGCACGATACCAGAAGTAAGACACATGGCAAAGAGTATGATAAAATTGTAGACGACATTCCAATTGAGATCCTTGGCCAGCCGCGCGGTTTTGCGTGGGCTGATGCCAGTATTGAGCATAATCTTCGTTTGCAGGCCGGTGAATATGACGACTGCAAGGACCCATTCAGTGTTCCTCAAGTTGCAGCCACGAAGCAAGACGTTGTTGATGGTGATTGCTTCCGCCATCTCCTTTTCAGGGGAGTCCGGGTAATCAGGGTTAGCCTGCGACCACTTGATAGCACCGCTGTACTGGTAAAGATTGGGATGTGGTTGCTCGCTCTCAATGACGAATTGGGCTGCTTCACAATCTCTCGCGTGTTTGACGGCACGTCCGCAGTGGAGTGCCTGTCGCACTTTCAAGTTTGTTTCTCCATCGAGGTTCTTGGTTTCAACGTAGCAGCCACCGTCCGGGTCAGAGGTAGACAGGACCACCACATCAGCTGGAATTTGCTCTCCATTGTAGATTCGGATAAAGTCACCCACTTCTACGTTCTTCCAGTAGTCACGTTTAAATCTGGCAGACCCAGACGGTTGCCATGACTTGTTCAGAATACTGCCGTAGAACTTGCTCGGGTGTGTCATTGGGGTCTCATTGAAAGGAGGAGGAGCGCGTGGTTCGGCTTTACCATTTCCATTGACGCCTGGGGATGGGAGGGGTGTCATTTGGATGTCTTCGCTGTCGTTTCCAGGACGGTCGGCCTGGTAGGACGGTCGGTAGGAATAGGTTGAATTGCGGAACTCGGGCCGTTGAGTAGCTATCGACATTCGCGGCGTATCCTCCACGACTGGTTTGGGCTCGGGCTTTTCGCCCTTTCTCACACGCTTGAACCACTTCCAGGCCCGTCGGATCCCCCTCGTCGTCGCCTTCTTGATCCGACGCCATAGTGATACATTATCCTCGGTAGAATTGACGTTGTTCCAGCCTACAAGGCGGTGAATGGGCGAATTATTCAAATCGTTATCCAGCACTGTCCTTCGCCAATCTTCAACACCATCTTTCAGCGCGGTAACCGTCAGAATGGAGATAAGTGGCACTGCTCCCAGGCCAGGGTTGGTGGCACCGAAAAAGGAGAAAATCTGCACCAGTGCAACAGATCACAAATTGTCAATCTTGTATACAAGAAAAAAAAAAAAAAAAAGGAAAAAGAAAAAAATTGTGATGGCAAATGAAAGGGGAAACACTCACACTGAGGATGATGATGAACAGGAAGTAAACATTGGCCATATTGTGAAATTGGTAGTACAGGTTCTTTGGGACGAAGCTGAGAGGAGTGTACTTTGCTGTCCGGACCTTGTTTCGTCCAAAAGTTATGGTCGACTTGCCGTTCTCGTCTCTCTGGTGAGGCGGCGGCGGTACGTTGACATAGATCCGCCGTCTGTCGGCCTCATCAGAGGCATCTGAGGGCTCGCTGCCATTGGGGAGGCTGCTGGTATTAGACCTCCGCTTCTCGTCCTTTGAACCTGCTCGCTGGTGCAGCTTGTCCATGATCGAGGTTCGCTTTCTCGAGCCTTGCCTGCCGGGACGGCGCTGGGTGGCCCATCGCATCCGCTTCGACGGTTTCGATACGTTCGACTCATCTTCGCTTCCAAACTGAACCACGGCCATGGCGTCCTAGCTTCTTAGATATTGCATAGAGTATGGCCGTCCAACTGGTCCTTTCTCTCTCTCTTTTTTTTTTTTTCTTCTTCTTTTCGTATCGTATCCTTTTTTGTTTGTTGGTTCAAGTAGTCGAGCCTGCGCCGGAGTGGTAGACGTAAGAGAGAAAAAGAGGTGGTGATGTAAATAAAAAAGCAGCCGAAGGGGGTATAGAGACAGCACCGGAAGAGTAGGGAACGACCACGACGGCCAGGAGGAGAGCAGCAGACAGCAAGGCAGCCTGACAGGGCTCCCGCGAGGCCTTTGAGAATTGATCCGGCACTTGTACGCAGGGAGCGTGTGGACCAGAGGAAAAAAGGGAAAGGGACACTGGTTCAGGAGAGCAGAGGCTGCGAGACCGACGGGTCCATAGGGCGAATAGGGCGAGTTTGCAGCGTCCGGGTGCCGACCAGAGCCAGCTGCAGGGCCGACTGACTGAGTGAGAGAGCGAGAAGAGCGAGGTCTTTGGCGAGAGCAGCGTCTGGAGGGAGCGCGAGGCCGGTGGTAGGCAGGCGGCGGCGGTGGTTAGTGGTTGTGGTTGTGGTGATGATGATGCGTGGTGGCCACAGAAACCTTCGGAGACGAGAGAGACTGAGAAGAGACACCAAGCAAGACCGCCAGCGCAGGAGAGACGCCCAAACCAACCACAGGCACAGCGGCACGGGAAAAACAATAATCAGCAGCTTCTTCCGATGTCTCCGTCGCGGCGGAGGAAAAAAAAACGAGGGCGGCCGGTGCAGACGATGGAGGACGAGGCTGAAGACGAAGAAGAGCGAGACGAAGACGAAGAATTACGGAGACGACCCAGAGTTGGAGCTCAGCTGGCGGTGGGCTCTGCTTGGCCAGTTACAGCGAGTGACCCTCGCGCTGGCTGTTGGCTACTTGTCCACTTCTCCAGCGGCTTAGCAGCGAGCTCCAGGCACCGGCTGGGCGCAAGGGGCGGGCGGGCCGGGCTCGTCCTCGCTGGGCTGTCGGTGTGCCTGCGGAAGGCTGGCCTGGTACGATGATGTCTAGATGTACGGAGTACATATGTCTGCTTGCTACGGGAGTACTGTTACTGCTACCTGCTCGTAAGTTGCTGCTGCGTCGGTGTTGTGATGCTGCTGGCTAACCACTGTGACGCCGACAGCCGCCCTGTGATCCATCCGAGACTGCGCTGTTCAACCTCGGCCACGGCGTGGATGGCCCATGGCCTGTCTGCCTGTCTGTCTGTCCGTCCGTCTGGCTGGCTGCGGGCTGGCGGAGTTTTCAATATCCGTCGTGGCCATGGCCGGTGGCAGAGTATGGGGAAAAACAAGCAAAACACCATCCGCGAACTCGCATCAGGGGTGATGCCGCGCCAGGGATCATGCATCCATCCGTTACTCGCCCCCCTGTTCCTTACACATGCCTCGCATTGTTATCTCAGAGCCCGCAGCCAGGTAGGCAGACAAGCCAGACAGCCAGACAGACAGACAGCCAACCGACACATCACCAACGCCAACTTTGCTGTCGGCCTTCCTAGAAGAACACCTTAACGGAACGACCGGCTCAGCCGCCAGTTGTGGAGGCTTCGTCCGTCTCGCTCGGCCTTCCACCTCAGCGGCTTGATTATTAACTAGCGAAGAGATCCTCCTGGCAAACATTAAATATTGGATAATTCCATGCAGAAATCAACTAGCGCGAACATCAAGGAATGCGAGAGAATGCGAAGAAGAACTGCTTCGGCACAGCCTCCGTATCAGTGCCCTTCGCCTATCGCTGCTAGGGGTCTTGCGGTACAGTGAACTCCGTAGTTGGCCCTGGTTAAATTGCTTCGTGTTTCCTCCGCTTGGGCTGCAGCATATCTCGTGCTTCTTACGCGGTTTGAGGCTGCCATCAACTTGAAACGACGATCCGAATTGCGCGTTCAACCAAGACGCAGTGCGTGTGTGTGGACCAGTGTCGTGCTGTGCCTCGTATCTCATGTACGGATCGCCAGCCTGCTTCTCGCCATTTCTTAAAGCCGCTCTGTCCGACCCTGGGGCCAATGCTTGTGACGGTTGAGGCGGCTCGGGTTTTTTCCTACCCGTTAACCACTTGGCTATGACGTTTGTCTTGCCGACATTTATGGAGCAGTTATATATTACTTCAAGATGGTCACCATCTTTGGTGTGATATTTTATACTCCGTATGGCGAGTGTCCAATCTAAGGGCTGGAGAAGGGGTTCAGTGTGTCTCCAGTTCTTTCACAGCCTTCTCCTCCTTCAAGGAATCATCCTCTCGGAAACATCCCTTAAGCTTGCGGTGTTAATCTAACGCGGCTTGGGCTCCTTCAGTCGATCTTTGATTGATATATGCTCCCTTAGCCATGTGGCTTTTACTTACAATTTGCAGATAGTCTTCATTGTCTATCAATCTAAGATGCTGGGTTAATATCTTAGCAGCGAAGAGTCGTACACACATCCGCCTGACAAGCAGCCATCGAGTTAGGCGTACTTGATACCTTTGTTTGCTGTTCAAAAGGGGATGTGGTGTTTTGTACGCTTCATAGCAATAATGACATCACAACTTACAGACAACTCACGCTTCAGCTTGCTAGCTATCATATACAAGGCAGCAGCTGCGCGTGGAAGAGCAACGGAGTCTGGCGAGAAAACAAAAAAAGAGATTACAGTCCAGAGCGCTCGAAAAGTAGCTGATGCAGAAGGTTATATTATTGGCTTGCCCTTGCATACCCCTCGAGATCTACCAACTTGACAAGCGTTACCTATATAGTAGTTATAAATATAATATTACTTAGCCGTTATATTATTCTCGGAAAATAGTAGGCCAACAGTAGTTATCCATGGATGGATTAATTAATATCACGTGATATCTCAAATTAGAAGTAGGTTCTCGCAAAGCGCGTCTCGAGCGTCCAAAAGAAGAGCCAAAAGAGCCAACTATAAAAGCAAAGAAATTCTATATAATGAAAGAAAATCACAAGATATCCTTCTATTTCAAGCCCGCAGAGTCTTCTCCAGAGCCACAACCTGTAGCGGGCGTGAAACGGCCCAGCAGCAAAGATGGGCCTTGCTCTTCGTCACCACCACTGACTTCTTGCCCGCCAGACCTCTCATCCCCCGTCCAGCTTACCTCTTCTCTCTCAGAGCCCAGGCAGGAGCAGGTTATACTGCAAGACCGCTCAAGAAATGATAGCTCTGGCGCTGCCGAGACAAGCCATCACCAGCACACTCCCATGGATGAGCCAGCTGTCTCGTCGTTCACAACTGTTCCCGGCTCCCAGCGGGTGTTCAAGGACGGGCAGATTGTGATCACAGCATCTGACGACGACGATGATGACTACTCTATTAATTCCATTGCCATCTCTACGGATGAGCTGCTGGCTAAGTTCTTGGGCACCTCGGGCCAGAATGAAGGCTCAGATACAGACATGTCCGGCTCAAAGGGCCGGAAGAGCTCGAGGGGCAAACCTAAGCCCAAGTCCAAGGAAACACAGACAGCCACGGCCAGAACAACACATAAGTTCTCCCTAGATGACCTCGTAGCAGATGCCATGCATGACAAGGAGAGAGAGGCCCAGGTGTCGGCTGCAAAAGTGCTCATCCAGGAATCCATGGGCAAATACAAAACCAAGGGCAAGAACCCCACTGATAAAGATGATGTATATGCCTCTTTAGTTTCAGATACCTCAGATCCAGTTGCTGCTCGGCGACTGAAGGATGCAGTGCTGCGGACAGAGGCCCTTCGACAAGGTATAAACTGGTCCTTCTTTCGTGATGATCCACCAACAGTCGATGTTGAGCCTTTCCCAATCCTGTCAGTAGATCCTGAGTCTTGGGAGGGTGTCCTCAGAGGTGAGATGTCGTCTACTACCGGTCGTATATTATCTTTTCTATCATACTAAATCCCGCAATAGAACCTTCTTCTCGTGATAGAGCGTTTCTATCAGGTGTGGTTGGGGAAGTGCTGAAATACATCCCCTTACAGAATGATGTTTTACTCTGGATTCTACAGTCAGGTGTGAACTCCTATACCAAAAAATGAAGTGTTGATTATGTGCATTGCTAACAGGCAACTAGTGGCCACGGAACCACGAGATGAACTTCGGTTTGCATATATCAGTACTCTTCAGGTTCGTTAGCCTAAGTCTACCTCCATACATAGGTTAAACCCTAGTTAATAATACGCTTAGGTTTCTCCTGAATATCTAATGGCTTCTCTCGTCCAACCTTCGCATATTGATCGCTTGTTTGCAACGCTGGGGGCGAGAAGTAGCGCACTAGATGCTGCAGAGCCTCTAGTGCCTGATACTCGTAATGTTGATGAAGAAGGTGAGTACCCCCTTACACTAAAATTAAGAGAGTTGATTTTTCTGATCAAAATTTTTTAGAGTCATTACCCCCCGTAGACAAGAAATATTTATTATCTGTTTTAGCACTACTTTCTAACATAGCTGAAAAGTGAGTCCGTCTTCCTCGTTTGTCTTTCCTTGCCTTCCTACTAATAACTGTATCTATAGACTAAATGCTTTGACTCGTGAACATACATTGAAGATCCTATTTCGCTTGGCGCTCGACGAAACTGTCATGAACGATGGAGCGGTCTGTGCTGAGACACGACGAGCAATTCCTGCGTTATTCGGCCAGACAAAGTCTTCTGCTCTACCAGAGGCCAACGTATGTCTTCCAATAAATTTGCTTGTCCGTTGGTAGGCTAACTAGTTCCAGGCCCACGAGTTAGCCCAAAATACTTATCAAACATTCAAAGATACAACTCTCCAATGTCTTCTACTTAGAAATATACCCCCAATAACCCCAGAGATTGCTTTGTTCAGATGTCGTCTTGCATCCGCCTTTCTGTTCATGGATAGCTCGCCACTCGATAAGTCGGACTCCGAGCTGATCAACCTACGGAAAATCAGCTCACAATTAAAAGGTGAACGTTTTAGAGTTAACGAACATCGGCCGGAAGATAAGGAGCCATTTGACTTTGCCAACTTAGCTGCTTTAACCACAATACTTGACGTGGCGATTGACTCAGGGACTTTACAGCGTTCTTTCTCAGATAAGGAGGGGGAGATTGAATTTAATAAACAGGTGGATAAACTTGCAGATCGAGTGAAAGCTATATTTACTGCTATTCAGGATTCTGGTGCCTCACATATGAAACGCACTGAGGCCAAGGAAAGCCTGCAAGCACTTCATTATCGGCTTGTCTATACTGTGAGGACTAAACCTGTCGTGAAGAAGTCCTATTTTGTTTCCTCGAATGACGATGGCTATGCCGGGGGTAGTGGAAAGAGGGATATTTTGGAAAAGTTTCTTGGAGTCAGGTGAAAGCAGCAGCCTATGAAGAAGATATGTGAGATGATACCGGACATTTCTGCCATTTGCATGGTGTATATAGATGAAGAGCCATGATACCAAAGCGAGAGGATGTGTAGAATAAAATACAAGCGATAGCAATATTCTAAATGGTCATTGGATCCAAGAACGGCTGCAGCTAGAGCTAGGTATACATCTGGCATGCTTCTAGTATTCAATGGAGGGAAGGATATCCCCGTTAAGGTTGGGAGGTACAATGGTGGCTGACAGCTAGCTGACTGTGACGATGGCGGCGAGATTAGAGAATACAAATCGAAAAAAGGGAGGAGGGGTGTGAAAGCCCGCGCAATGCTCAAAAGAAAGAAAAAGAGAAACAGGGTCGAAACACCAGGGACGAATTAGTCGTAGAACTTGCGATTGGCGTTCTTGCCGAAGAGCATCTCTCTGACTGTGGGTAGGGAGTCTGCCTCCAGTAATCTCAGACGCTCTTCAAGTGTGTTGTTATATTCGATTTTCCCATTGCTTCCGAGAATGATAACACCACCAGCCCTAGGTTATACACTGTTAGCAAATATACCCATTCCGAGTAACAAGGGGAACTAGACATACGAGTCTTGGGCGAGTGGTTCACGCTCATCAATCTCAACGGTGGCTTCCCTTCCAACCTTATCCTTGAACTCCTTGGAAGCATTCTCGGCGGCCTTTCTGACAGCAGCATAATCGGCTTTTCTGGCTCTAACCTGCACTTTGCTCTCGTTCAAAGCGTAGAGTCCCTCTAGAATAAGGCCGGCTAGTGTCTTCTCGTAGTTGGCACCCTTCTTTCCCGTGGCAGCAGTAGTAACCTCTCCTCTGGCCCGCTCGAACAATTCGTCCAGGAGTTGCTGTCTAGCTGAGAGAACCCGTAGACGAGTCTTGTTGGCAAGGGTGGACTTGGTGATCTGCTGCGACATGCTCGCCTGCTTGAACTTCTTCTCGTACAGCTGGTCGATAGAAGCAATCTCCTGTCGTACAAGTTTCGATTTCTCGATGGCGAATTCCTCATCCGCCTTGAGATTGATCTCTCTGGCCTTCTCGAGAGCTTCCTGTCGGATGAAGGCGGTCATCTTGCGGAGCTCGCCCGCGACCTACATGCGATGAAATCACCAGCCATCAGCGTCGGAGCAACTTGACTAATGGGTATAACCGAGCCCCGCGCAGGAAAAAAAAACGTACCTGGTCGTCTGAAAGAGCATGGCTTTGAGACATCTTGAAGAGTGCAATGGACGGGTTATGTGCAGTGGTCGTAGATAGGTAGGATGCTGGAGCTCGAAGGCAACAAGCAAGCTGCTGTTAGCGAGAAAGTCGACCAGCAAGACCAACAGGAACGGCAGCTCTGTAAATACCTGTGTGAAATCCTCCCGGCCGGTGTCTTTTACGGAGCACAGTTGCTGGTCAGCAGAACGGAGATGCCGGCTGTCAGGTCGTGATTATTCTGCTGCCGTCGTTGCTCGATGGGATGGCGATGTTGATGTTGACGTTGGAAGTCAGCGAGCGACGAGAGTGGACGGGGCCGGCGGTGGAGCGTCACCTGCTCTGCTTCCCAACCACGGCGAGCTGCTCGAACGACCAGCATCCAACGTCCTCGCCAGCATCACCTCGACACATCACCCAGCGCAGTTGCAGCTATCACCCGGCCATGCCCTCACGGCCATCCTCTGCACTTCTGTCTCACCCTGCTAGCATATAATATAAATATAACTCGCTCATCGACTCCCGCGCGCCGCTTCGCCTCCACCATGTCCCTCGCCAGTCAGTAGCCAGCAGCTACGCACACACAGAAGTCATACCAGCTTCACTGTCTTCTCCCCTTTGCTCCAGTTGAATACCAAATGCATGGGGATATTCGAGATGGGCCTCGGTCACCTGTCGCCTACAGGGGGCATAATAGTACGTTTCTGCCTCGTTCAGAGAGCTGTTTGACGGGGCTTAATGCTAATGCGACTTGCGACTGGACGTTTAGATCGGTGTACTGGTCGGAGTGATATCAACGAGTTTGCAGGCTGTTGGACTTACGCTGCAACGGAAATCGCATATGCTTGAAGATGAGAAGTTTCCCTACGACACGCGCCGGCCGGCCTTTAAACGGAGAAGATGGCAGGTTAGTGGGGACATCGCCTTGATGCTTTGGTTGAATATACACGGAGATAAACAAGCAGATGGACATGACGGACGCTGACGGTGGACGACATAGATCGGAATGTTCATGTTTGTCAGTGCCAATATCGTCGGGAGCACCATACAGATTACGACGCTGCCTCTACCAGTCCTCTCTACCCTACAAGCTGTACGTCTCCGTACCCCCTTTATTCTTCAAGCCCTTCGAGCTATGGCCTAACATTTTATCACCTCTCAGTCCGGCCTTGTTTTTAATACCATATTTGCAACTCTAATCCTAGGGGAGCCGTTCACGCGGTATTCAGTAATCGGAACATGTCTAGTATGCGCTGGCGCTATTCTGATTGCCACATTTGGAGCTATTGGCGAACCCGCCCACACTTTGGATCAACTACTTAAACTCCTTGTTCGGCCTGCGTTCCTCCACTGGATGGCTGGAACGGGCGTGGTTGTTCTGCTTCTAGTCCTAGGAGCTCGTGCCTTGAAGGTGTCCCCTACACCTGCCCAGGCAAGGGGATATATGTCCATTTGGTCTCCGCACCTCCATCACAGTCCCAGGATAAAGCTGGTACGCGGGATGATATACGGATCACTAAGTGGTATCCTATCAGCCCACTGCCTTCTCCTTGCAAAATCTGCAGTCGAGCTGGTTGTACGAACGATTTCGGATCAGGACAACCAGTTTGTCTATTGGCAGTCTTGGATCATCCTACTTGCGCTAGTTGCTTTGGCCCTGACTCAGATGTACTATATGCACCGCGGCCTGAAATTGTGCAGTACAAGTGTCTTATATCCTTATGTGTTTTGCGTTTACAACATAATCGCTATTTTAGATGGCTTAATATATTTTCACCAGGCCTCTCAACTTTCCGGGATACACGCTGGATTGATAGCCCTTGGAACGGTCATTCTACTGTCCGGTGTCCTTTGCCTTTCTTGGAGATTGGAAGAATCCCCTACGCATCCCGGACAGGCTGCCGTGCCTCCTCCAACAAGCGCTATAGGTCCTGGTCTTGGTTTAATGGAGGAACCAGATGCCTCGGCTGCAACATACGCCGATTTCATACAACCCCATGACGAAGAATCACATCTGGGCGAACGTCAACCTCTACTACATCATACACCCCGTCTCCGACAGCCTTCTAGTCCCTTCAACCACCCATATCGAGCCTCCACCTTTTCACACAGACGTGCCACCAACCCAGGTCTAGAAACTGCAGAGATCTTGGCAGAGCTCCGAGACGACCAAAACGAAGATGACCTCGGCGGCCGTCGAGAGCTACTTGCTCGTTCGGCTCTCCTCCCCCATGACTCTCCATCGTGGCCTCGTCGAGCGTCAAAACGACAACGGCGTAAGAGCACAACTTCCGTTTCAACCGGCCATAGACGTTTATTTTCTCTCTGGGGAACGTCCAGCGAGACTACGGTGCCTACAGGCAGTGACCGGGATAGCAGAAAACTCACAGATTCCAAAAGAGCAAGTTTTGCAGAGAGATCTTAGTTCCATCCAGACAGTGCTGCATCTCGGGGCCAGACACCTTTATCTGAGCCTAGTTGCATGTTCCATGTTTGGGATTTTCTGCTCCCTGGCAGTAATGTGTACTCATATATGATCGTTTCAACACCCGGGAACTTTGTGTACTGACCTGACAAAGATGTCCCCGATAATGAGCGGAGTGAAAAAGGTGGCCTTTTTTTTTTTTGCCTTAATACCCCAAATATTGTATGTATTTAACGAGTAGATAGTCCTCGGATAATTCAATAGACGCGTTTCCTATGTTGTAAGTTGTAGGTGTGCTGCTGCTTCATCCAACTATCAAACCTGACAAATTTATGGAATGTATAGTTATGGAACGCATCTCCTGCTCAGACGACTTATATTATGCTTGCGAATCATAGATACTTGTGTTTATGTCTGTAGACCTAAGGGCGTAGCATCTGGAGCAGCCTACAATCCTGCCCAGGGCGAATATGAAATTGGTTGGAGCGAACTTTGTGTTATTCGCTATGGTCTGAGGCTATGAAACGAACCTGAAACCAGTCACTCCTTTTTAGTTAATATCAAGTTTAACCGTGCAGGGGCACCCTGAGACTCCACTGCAAGCCCAGATTTCACCGAGCCCAATCGATTGGCCAAAGTTTCCAGCTTCTGGCGCCCTAACCACCCAGCATTGACCACAAGTGTGTTTGATATCTGCAGTCCAACGCCAAAGAGAAGGCTCCAGGTTTTGCTATTTGCCAGTTGGTAGAGTGACACATCCTTTCATCGAGCGACACCTGCCTTGTAACTTACAACTTCACCACAAAGACAACCTGGCTGATCGACTGGCTACTAGTTTATGCAGTGAAAGAGCGGACTAGCTCGTATAACAGGAAGATATACACCGAATATTCTATAGTTAGTTAGTATGTACGTGATATCGAATGTCACTGTGTCTCTTCCCATTCCACAGCTCAATATAAAACCCAACCGCGTCTCGCAGCTTTCTTTTTTCTTTTGAAATAAAGACAGAAGAACACTTTCTTACCTCTGTCATAGGTATCTCCACCCCGCATTACCAGCTTCGACTCACTATGAAGACTGTGCCATTTCTCTCGCTGCTCCAGGCAGGAATATTGACGTCTGGAATAGTGGCGCAGAATATCGCTTTTGTGGGCAGCAACGCCAACGCCATAGCGACTGTTAGCTTTGATACCAAGACTGGAACTTTCAAGGTTACCGGAAACAACACAGATTCCAGCACGCCGTCATGGCAGGAAGTCTCGAGGGACGGCAAGCTGCTGTATTCTATCGAGGAGACATCGACTGAACATGCCTTGACGAGCTACTCTATCGGTCAGGATGGGAAGCTGAAGAAGCTGAAGTCTATCAAGGGGCTGGCAGGACCTGTCTCCTTGGACATGCACCCTACCCAGCCTATAATCATCACTGCAAACTAGTAAGTTGACGATTGATACGTGCCGTGTACTCCGTACGGAGTACATTTTGTGTATGTACTAATGCAGCGATAAACTAGCGGCTCAGCGAGTGCTTCGGCGTACTCCTCAAAGGACAACGGCGAGCTCACCCACCTGGGAGACTTTATGTTTAAAATGCAAGGCAAGGGGAAGGTACCAGACCGCCAGGACGCTCCTCACCCGCACCAGGCGCTCTTCGACCCAACCGGCAAGTTCGTGCTTATGCCAGACCTAGGCTCAGACCTGATCCGCATCCTCAAGGTAGACGCAGGACAGAAATTCAGCGTTGCACCTCCCAACAAGGTCAAACCGGGGACTGGGCCTCGCCATGGAGTGCTGTATCCAGCCTCGGACAAGCCTCGGTTTTACTATGTCGTTGGCGAGCTTTCCAACACGGTGACTGCGATGTCCGTCGAATACACGGTTGAAACGATCAAGCTTACCGAGATCCAAACCCTATCTACGCTTCCAGACGGGCAGAGGGGGGCGGCGGGCGAACTCATCCTCTCGCCATCGGGCAAACACCTGTATGCCTCCAACCGGCTTGACAAGGTCTTCCCTGGCTCCAGCTCCGTCGCTTCGTATACCATTGACCAGATGACCGGCAAGCTGAAGCTGCTTGAAATCTTCAACGGCGGCGTGGAGAACATAAGACACATGTCTATCCACCCTAGCGGCAAGTGGTTTGTTACCGAAGGCCAGAATTCGAACGACATCAAGGTATTTGCACTTGACCCTGAGACCGGAAAGGTGACACCGGAGGCCAAGTCTACGCTGGAGATAGAAAAGCCTGTTTGCCTGCAGTGGTGGCATAACGGTGCTCAAGAGAGTGAGGCCCCCGAGGCTGGCACCGAGACTGAATGCGAATTCGATGACTAGACGAGCATCTCAGCATCTTGTCTGCGACCTCGAGGCTAAGGGCTGGCCCTGATGATGTTCTTTTCCTTCTACGTTTTATGATAGTAATTAATGATACGGTCTTCTGCACGTTCGTAGACTAGACGTAAGTTATATGGAGACTTGCAAATAAGAATAAACACCCACATAGCCTGCCCTCCTCGACTGCCTAAACAGCCGAGGCAAAAAAGAAGAAGAAGCGCCAAGACGAGTTGGCCAACAGAGAATTAGACTTTGCTTACCTCAGCACTACTTACGGAGTACTTCCTTACATAAGCTGAGAGCAGCCTTTCTTCTTCTTGCTTCTTCTTCAGCTTCTCTTCAGCTTGCTCTCGCCCTTTGCACTGTCCCTGCGGGAATACGAAGGCGAAAAAAATAAGGGCCTGATCGCTTGATCGCTGGCCCACCCCGACGCTAAAAGGACAGCCGGGAAGCTGGGTGCAGAAAGCAAGGAGATCTCCAGGCTGAGCAGATCTGATCCAGACGGGCAGCATAGCGAGACGGGGGAGACGACGAGCAAGAGAGCAGCGAGAAGACGAGGCCCCCGGGCCCTCCAGCCAGGACAGAACCGGCCTAGTTCCCGTGTCCCCCGTCATCCCAGAAGCGCTTCCAGAAGGCAGAGAGGACTTTTGAGACTTTGAGGGCCGCGGCGTGTTTGAGGGTTCTGCATGCTCAGCAGGAGGCGCAGCTGGTGAAACGCCGATCCTTTTGTCTTCCCGCGCGCGCCCTCGACTCGACGCTAACTAAGCCGACCTGTCTGCTATGTACATACATACACAACCTGTCGCCGAACCCAGCGTAAGAGAGAAATAATAATAATAATAATAATAATAATAATAATAATAATAATAATAATAATAATAATAATGTCTAGACTTCTTTAACTCCTCTTTTCTATTTCTTTTTCTTTTTTTTTTTTTCCTCTCTGCGTGGCAAAAGAGAGCGTGGCTATAAATAGCATCAAATAGCTGTATTATATAAGCCGCCGTAACAAAACGCCACCGTAATACGGTACAGCCCCGGGCGCGGCGTCATGGCGGGCGATACGGCGGCAGAACCGCGCCGACGATGTTCCGTGTCAGAACTAGGCAGGCGGTGAGCGCCCCCCTTCGCCGGCCGCCCGCCCTGGCGCTTTTCCTATTTCTTCGCCTGCTCGTCGCCCTTTTCGCCCTTTTTTCCCTCTTTTACTCCCGACCTTACCCAAACCTGTCACTCTTCCCACCCCAGCGCGTTACTCGATTCGGCCGCCCGTCCCTTTTCGCCCGCCAAACATCATACCTCTTTGGGAACAGCAAGCAGCCAGCACCAGCACCAGCAACCAGCAACCACCGACCGCAGACGCTCGACAGCAGACTCACGACACAGCTCGCTTCTCGCCCTCCCCGGCCAGCAGAGACCACCGCCAGCTCGCCGCCGCGCAGGACTGCCTATCGCCATGGCCGACGTCGCCGCGGTGCCCCAGGAGAATCCCTCGCCCTCGCAGGACGATCTCGTCCCTCCGTCCGGCAACGGATCGGCCTCCCTCGACTCTCGCAAGCGGCCGCGTCCTGCGGCCGACGACGACGACGACGACGACGACAAGCCCGGCCGCGAGCGTCGCAAGATAGAGATCAAGTTCATCCAGGACAAGTCTCGCCGTCACATCACCTTCTCCAAGCGAAAGGCCGGCATCATGAAGAAGGTTGGTTGTTGGCAGATCTAGATCACCGCGTCCCCATCACCAATCTCCATCTCCATCACGATCTCATCTCGCGCGCACACACCCATATATCTATATACGAGCAACCGGGACTAATATGTTCGATAGGCGTATGAATTGTCGGTCTTGACGGGCACCCAGGTCCTGCTGCTTGTCGTGTCCGAGACTGGGCTCGTCTACACATTTACGACGCCAAAGCTACAGCCGCTCGTCACCCAGTCCGAGGGCAAGAACCTCATCCAGGTACGCCCGTGGCACACCCGCCTTCTCATGAACTACATCTAACATATACAGCGCTGCTTGAACGCCCAAGAGCCTACGGGAACAGAGAACGGAGTCGAGGCGCCAGAGGTACCGGCAGACTCACCCGATGAGGTCGCCCAGGCCACCGTCGCTGCCCAGCAGCAGGCCGCCGCGATACCGCCCCGTCCACTGCATCCAGGGTACAACATGGGTGGCATGACCAACGAGCAACAACATCAGATCGCGTACTACCAGAATCTCCAACAGCAGCAGCAACAGCAGCAGCAAGCACAGGCTGGAGGTCAGTATTCGGGCGTGCCCGCTGGTACGCGTATACCGCAGCAGTCCACCACCACCACCACTACCACCACTTAACCTTCTTCTCACTTCTTGATTCCTTCCTTCTTTCCTTTTCTTTTTATTTCTTTTCTATCCCTCACTAACTCTGTTCCATGCAGAATACTAAAAAGGGAAAGCAAATATGTCACCTCTCATCTCAAAAGAAAAAACACGACTCTCACCTCTCCTACTTTCTTCCTTGGCCGCGCATTTCTAGACCGGCCGAGACTACATCTTTTTTTTTTTTCTTCTCTCTCTCTCTCCTACCTACAGCCTGTATAGAGGGAAACCCATGGGAACAACTCGCCTGTCCTTCTTCTCCTCGACACCGTCTCAAAGTCTCCCTCCTGTTTCCTTCATCTCTATATCCTTTCTAGAGTTATAGCCTTTCCCGAGCCATTCCGTCTCAGGTCAACGTTCCGCCGACTTCCCACACAAACCAGGGACCCATTTCCTCCCTCTCCTGGTACCTCTTCTCACCTTTCAAACCTCTTCCTTTTCCCCTCCTTTTCGGCGGAACTAACAATAGGAACGCAACACCTATGACACCCAGTGGATATGATTACTGTTATATGATACCAATTCAGCGGTGGATCCCTTGAGATCAATATTGTCTACTTTTTATCCCGCATCTTTTTTTCATCGTCCTCGTTCCCCCTCTTCCCCTATCTTTTCTTTTCTTATCACCAAACATATTACACACGGGGATGGGGGTTTTTATATCGGAAACCCAGGAAAGGGTGAGGGGTTCTGGTGTTTGTTCTGTATCTCTTTATGATAAACGTGTGCCCCCTTGACTTTGCTTGCTTTCTTCCTTAGCACTCTTATATGCTATTTCTACCCGTCGATGTACCGTGCTCTTTCCCATCTGGTCGCTTCTTTGCTCTTATATCTATCTCACTCTATATTCCGATCGGTTTCGTTCGGAAGGGAAAATGGACGAAGGCATGTCTTATAACAAAAAGGTGTCTCCTTGTGTTTTTATATCGCCCATGATCGTTCCCGTCTCTCTGCGTATACTGGCTTCCTCTTATCATGGTCTTAGCATGATTTTTATCAAGAAGATGTATAATTCACTGATCTATACTTAAAACAAATACGTGCTGCTCTTTACTCAAATGTCCTTGAATGTACAGTAGCTCCTCTCTTGTGTAAGATGGCGGTGCTACAACATGACTGGTCCGAGGCCCTTGTCACAATTTAGCCGCCGAGCTGCTGCAACCCGCCACCCAACCTAACCCGGTCCCTACCAATAGATCACAGCAAGCATCAGTGAGCACAGCCAGGACGCAGGACGACAGCATGGGGGAACATATTATTTACCATGGCCCTCGTCCTGGGCCCTGTTTCTTCTGTCGTCTTGTCTGCTTCTTTTCCCACTATACCCATATCACCATCGCTATAAGACTACCCGAACAACCATGGGTTTCGCCATCAACAAGGTCCTAACGGGGTACATAATCGCGGACCTCCTTTTCCTTCTGGGCGGCATCATCCTCCTTCTGGGCTCAAGGCTAGGCGAAGCAAGCCTCCATCATGAAAGAAACGTCGAGAACGTCATGAGGTCCCTGCTCATACCTCGTTGTCCCATAATCCGTTCGTCATCTGCTCAGCTACCCACATATTTAACTACTTACTTTGCCAACCACACACACACATACTTACATGTGCGCATCGGTATATAGCCTCCCTTGCCAATGCAATCTGCGTCTTCGCAGCCTTCCTCTGCTCGATACCGGTCATTGTGTTCCCGCAGAACGGAATATGGCTACGTCTTCATGGCTGGCTACTCGTCTTCAGCGGGATTTTCACCCTCAGCCTAGGTCTGAGTGTTTGGTATGAAGCTCTGCGTACCCGCTCGACGCTCCAGCCAATGTGGTCCAGGGAGACTGGTGACATACAAGGCCTGTTGCAGAAGAAGGTACGTCATTTCTATGCATCCTGGACCCGGTGTGATTGCTCGGTCTAACGGTGGCTCTGCATGATTAGTTCGATTGTTGCGGGTTTGAAAACAGTACCTCGCCACTATACCATTACGATTCGACTTGTATGTCGGATCTGCTTGCCGCACAGAAACCGGGCTGTATAGGGCCGATGTCTGATTACGCCTTTTCGTTCTTTGGCAATATATCTACTGCTACCTTTGGCATTGTTGGTACGTTCGACTCTGGGACTTTGTATCAGGCTGATGGGTTTGATGGTGTGCTGACACTGTTTTATGATAGCAATTGATGCCATTCTCCTCCTGTGTGTTGCAATGCTGTTCAAGGATCGCAAGGATAGAACAAGATATAGACTCATTGACGAGAAATATGAACTTGGCATGAGGCAAACATGAGTGCTGGGCCTTTCATTTAATATTTATTTAACCCTTTTTCTTTTTCCGGTATACCAATGTATGATAACCCTTAACGACCAATATATTCAGAGAGAAATGTTTTAATTTCAAGTCATATCATTTGATTCTTTTGCTGTCCACAAAGCATCAGAGCCATGTTTACTCGCTCATGCTTTCACACTATGCCATAATGTACACCAGACCCGCGCAATGATCTAACTAGGCAAATATCAACATCTTCCCAAAAGAAGCCGCAACATTGTGCAGGGTGAAGATTCAAGGACAAACACATCCCGTTCCACGTAAATGCGACAGAGAAATACTAGCACAAAGGAAAAAAGGAGAAAAAGTAGGGTTCGACAAAGGTACAAATGGAATAAAAAAAAGTAATAACGAAAAAAAAAAGCCATGTTTTGGCGCCGTTGACCAAAACGCCCCCCACTGTAGTTAGATGCCCGCCATCCCGTCCGGCATTAGAGAGAACTTGACCTGCTGCATTAAACAGAAATGAAAAATGGTATAGTTAAGATGGGTTTGTCCGATATGGCGCATGGATTAGATGGGTAGTTGTAGTATGTGTAAAATTTCCAGGGAAGATAAGAAATGAAAGACCATTAGGTCCTTCCTTTTAAGCTTGGTAGTTTGGTGGTAGATAACTCGCAGTGGTGTGGAAGAGTTCGTTGTGCCGTTGCTCCAGTTATGTATGCAGAGTGGCGTGGTCGTTGGTAGTCTTTTTTTAAACAGGGTGACTATCAATAAGAGATGGATAAGATGGAGGTTTTTTGTCTTGGATATTGGTATCGTGAGAATGAGCGAGGAAAAAGCGAATTTATGCTTTTTGTTTCCCGGCTTTCCCATTTGCAGGAGGTTTTGAAGCTTCTACCGAGATCGTATCTGCAGTAGTTCCGTTCTTCAGTTTGCTAGGCGCCGCGGGTTTTTGACTCTTAAGTTTCGTTGCCAGGCCGAAATCTTTCTTTTTCTTAACTGGACCGGCGGCACCTTCTTCCTCGCCTTCACGTACACGTTTTCGTGCGTTCGCAGGCTGCGATGGTCCAGGTGTACCAGCTTCGCTGTTGGCGAGGGGAGTGCGAATTCGGCTCTGTCGTGTTGAGATACCCAAACATCTGTCAAGGTGCTGGGCACTCTTGGTAAGAAGGAAGTACCGTGGGCAGTTGGGGCATTTGGTTGTAGGAACATAAACCTTGTCTGGCTTTGGCTGAAGAAGAGGGTTGGGGCCAGGAGTCTCGGGAATAGATGGTGGACTCGAGCCTGGCGTGCCCGCTGCAGGCTGAGTTTTCTTCTTCTTCGTGATTTTCTCTACGGCGAAATGGTGGCCGTGAACGTCCCTACCATGAAGGTTAACGGGGGGTTGCTTGCGACAGTATTCTCGGCTTGCATCCACTGGGCGTGACCCTTCACCGTATGCTGGATATAGCAGGCGGGGGAGACGGCAATTTGGACATATTATCTCCTTGACTGTTTCTAAGGGGTTACCCTTTAGGTAAACCTTTCCACTGTCGAAAATGGCGCTGTCGGTCTCTAGTCGAACTCCTCTGCTTTTTACTATGTGCTCGTGTGAGGCTGATGTGCCAGCATCAGCAGTGCCGTTCGCCTCTTCGCCAGAGTCTTTGACCTTTGTTGATTCTTCGGCTAGCTGTCTTGCAGTGACAACTGCTGACTGCTGACGAGCAACCTTTTCTTCCTTGTGCACCTTTGCCACAATATCATGAATTATGTTATAGAACGTATCATCTAATATTTGGCGAGTCTGCTAGGAGTGTTAAAAATAACCCGAACCAAGACCCGTTCTGATGAGAGAATGACTTACGAATCTGGCAAGATCTGTAGAAGACATAGGATCACTTTTTGCAGCTTCTTTACTTTTTTCTGGGCCAGCCATAATTTGAGCTCTGTCTATTATAGCCATAATGTTAGAAAAGGTATCAAGAATGGCGACCACCGGAATTGAAAGAAATGGGAGATGTAAGAGTGCGAGTTATGTGGCGTAAAGAGTGGACGAAGCAAGAGGAGGGGAACTATATATGATGGGAAGAGAGTATGCGTGTTGCTGAAAATTCGAGCACTGGCCGATTGGTGTTATGAACAATAGCATCATCGACTAACCCGCTTATTGAGAACTCAATGTCCGCCAATGCCAAAATAGGACATCAGCCTGACATGCTTCCATTAAGTGTCTTCATCCAAGGATAGCAGCCTGAGGAGCTATGGTAGGCCGAGCACAGTACTTGTCAAGCTCGTTGAAGTGGGTGATGTAGCCGCCGAATCTCGGCACCGGGGTCAAAGGAGCGGTTCGGGTCCGGCGCTGGAGCGGCAGGACGGCAGTGAAACTTGTCGAACGGGAAACGTACTGAACGGTATATCCAGTCCTCGGTGCCAATTTACTGCGTCAAGTCGTCAATGTCTATCGCTACTGTTATAGCACCAGGCAGTTAGAAAGCGTTCTCGGCATTAGGGGCGATGCTAAGGGGAGGTTGGAGTCTTCCCGCGGAGGAGCTGGTAATACCTGTCTAACGGGCGAGACCTGAGCTCGCTGCTTACCCAAAGAGTGCCCGGCGTCTCCCTACCAACGCCGTCCTCTATTTCTCACGCACAAGATCAGGATAGGAGAGGCCTAACTGCGCAGCGCCGTGATAGTCATCTCTTGATGGCTTCGCCTGCGGTGTTTTCCTTCTTGCGTCCTCTTTTTTTCGCCCAGCGTGCTTACGTCATCTAACTAACTTAGTGACCGCAGCTTAATCTTATCTTATCAATCTAGTTAACGACGCTCCCACGCGCGCCGTCGGGGTGACTTTTCGCTGCCTTCTTAAGCAAACGTCGAGTCATGAGCAACAACCAGCTGCGTCGACAGCGTTGGCTAAGCTACATAGCTATATAACAGCAGCTGCTCCAGGGCTTACTCCATCCTTTTATTTACCTAGCCAGCTCTCTCTGCGCAGGCAACGGCTAGTTAGCGCTCCGTTGGCCCGTCATGTCGCGTCTGTTCTCCGCATCCAGATCATCGCGGCCTTCCACACTGCCCACCACAAACCCAGCAGCCTCTGGACAACATAACGCCGACAGGTCAGATAAAGCAGAACTGATATCTTCCGTTAAGAGTGGTCTGCCGTCTATGAAGCCGCAAACTGTCGTACCGCCTCCCCCAATATGCTCGTCTCCCGCAAAATCTAACCCCGCATTCCATAATCTCACCCCATACCCTCATGTTGCGCCGCCTATATCAACTCCACATCCTCATGTCACCATCAGCCAGGTCAAGACTGCGCATGTGCCCTCACTGATGCGAATAACGGGTTTGCTTCTGCCAGTTCGCTACCAAAATTCGTTCTATACCGCCACTATAACTGATCCTTTCATCGCGTCCGTCTCGCGTGTGGCTGTATATCATCATCATCCTCTTTCAAATATTTACGGAACAGCGTACCTAGCAGCCAAAAGCTTGCCTTCCCCTCCTTCTCCCCCAGCATCCGGAACGGACAAGGTGGTAGGCGGCATACGGTGTCGTCTGGAGCCGGCAACGCTCCCTTACCCTTCTTCTACTGCCAAGGCAACAGCATTACGGCCTGTGGTTAATCTCTATATCCAAACCCTACTCCTCCTTTCCCCTTACCGTGGGACTGGCATAGCAGCCTCCCTGTTAGACTCTCTCATATATGCTGAGGAACCTTGCACTTCCAAGGACAGGTCCTGCTCTGATGAAGGGGAACAAAAATCGCCTCGACAGGTTTCAAATATGGTCAAACATTACAACATCCGTACGGTTACTGCACATGTCCATGAAACCAACGAAGAGGCCTTATCCTGGTATATTGCTCGTGGGTTCACAGTTGAAGAAGGCGTAATCGAAGGGTACTATCGTCGCCTGAGCCCCGGAGGTGCGCGGATAGTCAAGCTAGAGCTGACTTGGGAGGACGAAGAAAGTACTACGGATGATAATGTCCATACCTGCAACGAAGATGAGGACTGGGAGAAAATCGACGCCCATGACTTGAACATTGGGGAGAAATTAGACGATTACCAGCAAGTTAGCCGCAGCTCTATAGATGAGGGAGAGTTTGGGCGGGAAAATGCTAAAAGGGTACGGAGAGGGTAAACTTCCCTGTTTTCACATACTCGGTAGAGGTGCTTTATATATCGTCCATTTCCCTTTTTATTCCAGGATACCCTTCTCTTAATGCCAACTTACAACCTTGCATGATACCCCTTAGTGCCTAAATTTCTATGTTTCTTTGTTCAACGGCCATACTCTATTGTCCTACAGCCATTGTGCATATCGTAGATTAGAAGAGAGAATATAATTTGAAGTTTACTTGTGAAATATAAAACGTTCAAAGGAAAAATTGCACTATATTATCAGTAGTCAGGGTTAACCACCCCCGTAGCCGGAATATAATGCTAAGCTGATGCTTGGAGGGATAATATCATTGGAGTCCTAGGTATTGGAAATATATACATTGCAAAAGTGGTATCGAGATTTTCGTTAGAGTGTAGGTAAAGACAATATTTGAAAGGGGGAAAAAATAAAATTAAAAAGGAAAGTATGGTATGTATATGGTGAATGGATTGCATTGTGAAGTTCAGATTGCATAGTTTTCAGTATGCAAAAACAATTCATCTTTATTCGGGTCATTCATGACTGTAATTTGTAGCTTGGCGACTGTATTTGCGACGTCAACCCGCATGCTCGGTGGCCCGCACACGAAAACACAGGTCCGTCGACCAAAGTCCTTGGAGAATTGCTTCAACATAAACGGTATATCCGGTCTGCCATATTCTGTTTTCCAGCCGTCCCTTTTCTGCCTTGGGAAAAACGCAAAGCGCATTAGATTCTTCTGTAGCATGGTCGGAGTGCTAGGAAACCCGAAATTGGGGCCATCATTCTCCTCTGGAGACGACATCATAGAGTTGGGTGTCTCAGGGAAATATGGGTTAATATGCCCAGTCTGTATCCGTGGACGAGCGGCTAAGTGTGCGTTTGGCAGCGCAGAGATGCTATCCTCGTTCTCCCTTCGCAGCTCTCTTTCTTTGTCCTCATCGCCGCCAGCTTCTTCTCGAATATACGCAGAGTTTCTCTTGCTAGCAACCCCCTGAAAGACGTCATTCAGTTTATCGTGGAAGTCGCCGCTTTGTGGACGTGGGTGAGAGACGACTTCGGTATTTTTGTCATATCGTTTTGCGCCAGTCAGGTAGAAATTGCAAAACATGGAGTTGGGCGGTGCGCATTCACGACAAATGCGTAGCTCCTCCTTGAACCAGTCCATGGTATCTGGCCGCTTCAAAGCCCATACAACTTTCACTGTTCTGGTTCTGGCCTTTCCATCTCGCATTCTCTTGATTAGGTCGAGTAGCTGGCTTGCAATTGCAGTGATTCCGCTGCCCCCAGCGAAGAACACGACATCGTCAAAGGAGGAGAGTTCTCTGCGAACTCCGCCATAGGGCCCATCTATAAAAGCCCTGTATGTTTTATAGGGCCCTTTCTCCAACGCTGTCTCAAGTACCCTCCTAGTAAACCCACCAAATGGTCGAAATACAAGGGTCATATCACGGTATTTGGATCCATAGCTAGATGGAAAGTCGTCGCTGCAGAGAGAGGCAATGGTGAAAGGATGGTTTTGAAGCATAGATATTCCCGGCATACGGAGGTATACGTACTGGCCGGGCCTCCATTTCATCTGCGTAGGTATTGTGACCTTGACAGCGTTCTCTGGTAAAATTGTAACCGCCGACTCTTCTCCAATGAGGAACGAAAGGCGGAATGGGTTCAACCAGTTTAAATAGAACACCCTAGCAAGGTATGATACTCCCCAAAGAGCAAGGCTAGAGATCAAATAATGCCAGGAGGTGAGGAAGTTATTGCAGTGCCAAAACATCATGGCGATGAAAATCAGGGAAATTGGGATGTGTAAAGTGACAAAGAGTTCGTACATGCGGTGCCGCAATACTGGTAGAGAGTGAACGCAAAGGACGACCAGCGGCACCAGAGCAGCAAGCCCCGATCCATAGATGTAGTAGTCACCCCCGATAAACAAGGAGAATAACGGAAGTGCTCCATCTTCCCAGACCGGAGTAATGTAGAATGGGACCATGTGGACTAGGGCTAAGAAAAGGCAGAGATATCCAGTCCAGCGGTGGAGGACATTCAAACGTTCGTGGCCAATGCCGGTAAAAACGCTGATAATATTTGGCTTTGTGCTTAACGCAATGATCCATGGAAGCGTCGCAACAGCAAGCATGCCTGCTCTAATTGCGAGAGGAGGCGATCCGTCGGTGATGTGAGGATAATACAAAGGCTGGGGTAGGAAACAGTATAGTGTCACAAAGATGAAGGCAAGCAGGACGAGGACAGCAGCAGCTAAAGATGGGGGAACAATTTCAAGCTTTCCAAGCTTTATCACCGGCAGAGGGCGGTAGAATATCCATCTTGCAAAGGCGATTGAGTTGTTTACCCAGCCTATAGATGAAAGAGCCGAGTCTCGCTTAGGGGGTTGGACAAGCGGGCCGGTTGCAGGGAAAAATGCTCGATGGGAATTTGCGGGACTGGGTGTAACCAATTCATAGTCAGACTGGGGTGAGAGCGTTTGTCCGGGGCTAAATAATTCTTCTTTTCGAAGGGCGGCCCTAATCTTGTCTCCCCATATCTGGTATAAGCGGAGGAAAAATGTCAGGACAAATAGTACAATACAGAAGTAGACCCAGCCCAGCGCATACTTGGAGGCTTGTGAGAACGGGTCTAGTTGCGATGTGGCAAGCTGCTCTTCGGTAGTTGCGCTGTTAATCGGGATATCTATGCGTTTGGCAAGTGATTTTGAATATGATTCTGAGCCTAATATGGATGATATGAAGGACTCCCATTGCCTGGGCGGCATTTTGCCCGTTTATCGAGAACAGGGCAGGTTATCAGGCAGTCGGCAGGATTAATGGAGTTCGATATTTTCACTTCGTCAGAACGTCCTCGTGGGCACCCGAACAGCAGTTGCAAACGGTAGGTTACTAGCCCATATTTGTCAGACCGCGAACGATTCTAAATTCAAGTGTAATGGTTCTCCATACTCCATCCAGGTGTGTAAACTAGATTTGAGTAGAATAGGGCTTTGTGATGTGGCTACCTTATCGCGTAGTCATCTGTTGAAATGATCCTGATTGCAAAGAAGTTGATGCGCGGGGTGGAAGGCCAAAATCTATATAGTTTGGGTAAAACGACGTCCGGCGGCTAGTACTCCATAAGTAGGTAGATGGGAGATCAAGTTTTTATATGATATGAGAAGGCTGATTCATGAACTGCATAGATCGACATAGCAAGAGCATGGATTGCGGTACAGATAGTTCTTAAGTGTTGTAGGGATGAGGGGGTTCCGACCGCCGATATATCTTACTTCCCACGTTCAACGGAAGTCAATGCAGTTTTGAAAAAGCAATTCATACTAATAACCTTCAAAAGGATAGTATTATTAGCGTGATTTCACTATAAACCAATGCAAAGCGATTGTGTGGTTTCTGCCAAAACTAAGGAGATAGCTCCCTACGAAAAAGGGCAATCGAGGCGTCACAAAAATGCCTTTGGATGGATTGCGTCGGCCGATCGCCCATCAACCAGCATGGTCACTCTAGTTATTGATTGAGCCTGGGGTGGAAAGCAAGCATGATCAAGCTTTTGCATGGTTGAGAAGAGACCAGGGGTATTGCAAAGATTAAGGATACAGCATATCTGCCTCAAGCGGTTGGCTATGTCAGCAAACGAAGCTATACCAAATACCTTCATTCTCGAGAAGAGAGTGGCGCCAAGATGTGAAGGAAATGCAGCATTCACACAGAGCATGAATGAAGTTAGGGGACCTAGCGAATAGGAGGGCACAAGATGATCGGTCATGGGCCACGGATCAGGGTTGAAGGGCTTTTGTGGCGCCGGATATCGATTGGCCGCAGGCGGCTGCCCCTCCTTCATGACGTCCGAACTCAAATACGGGATCAAGGATCAGGGGAGTGAAGGGCTTTTGCACCGGATAATCGGGTTTTCTCTCAAGGGAGGACCTCAACACAAAAAGACACTGCCGCTGAGATGTCACCATGTAGCCGCCGTGCAACTTTCATGGGGTGCCATCGGGTCCACAGCCTTGGGCCGACTGCAAAATCTTGTGACCATGCTCCGTGCGCCAGTTATTGTACGAAGTATGTCCGTTTCGACACCAAGTTCGAAGAAAGAATCTTCTGCACAGAGTGAACTCACGCCCGTGGCTGTGCGTCACAATCTTGGCCCATAGCCAGCAAGTAGGCTAGCGGCGAGAGCTAAAATGAGTCCCACAGGCCTACAACGACCTGGAGAGAGGACTGGGGGTGCAGTAGCAAAAGAAGCCCAGGCAGAGAGAGATGCCGTTGTTCCTCGGAGTGCTCAGCTCCTCAATCGCCAACACGATAAATTGCACGCCTATTGGCCAGGTAGAAAACGAAGCGCTGAAGCTCCATCCCATTGTACGACTGCCGCTGATGATCACTCGAAAGGATCTTGTCCAATCAACAGGGGTAGATAGTATTCAGAGGGTGATGGGCTGTGAAATCTCATGCATTAGTCCCTCCGCTAGTTATAGTTGCGCACATCCCGAAGACCAGCATCCGTGTGGCCCTATATCCCGAGCCGGTTGATAATAGAGAAGACTGGGCTCATCCTCGAGTACGGAGTAAACGGCACACCGTTACATTAGCACCCCTCTGGGCTCTCTCCGCGGAAGCCCTTGACAGAGTCCAAGTGTCGATGTTGCTTTCTCGATGTCGTTGATTTTTTTTCTGATATTATTGGCTAAAAACCAGGATTCAATCACGTGTATGATGGAAGATAAGGTAAGCGCCAAGACTCTTCACCGCCTTGGTACCTTGAACTTATTCTGCCACAGCGACTTTTCTTAGAGAAAAGAAAGCTGGAGGACGATGAGATAAGAAATAACGATTGTTCGGAGTCAACGGCGACATTCTGGAGAGATGGCAACGGTCAATGTAGCCGTAGAAGCGCCCTCCGGAGTACCCAGCTCTACTCCGGCCTTTTCGATCTCTCCAGCCCACCTGGCACAGCTCCAGCCACATACTTATGCACTCGCACACCTCCAACCTTCCCCGTCCAGCTCACGACCGTCAATACGAATCAATGGCAGGACGGATACGCAGTTTCGGCCAGCCTCTGTGAGCACAGGCTCACTTACTCACACCAATGGCAGCGCGGTTGTTCGGATGGGCGACACAGCAGCTGTTTGTGGCGTGAGGGCAGAAATACTCCATACCGATGATATTGCCTCCTGGAAGGTCGCATCGGAGCTGTCTTCGAGAAGCGCTAAACGGAGGAAAACTGAAGATGCTGGTGCGAAATCTGAACCGGGCCCGGTTATAGATAATGAAGATGACGATTCGGATATCCAGTCATTCAATTTACTTGTTCCCAACTTGTCATTAAGCACCGGTTGTTCACCCAGCATATTTGCCAGTGCTCCACCTACAGCTCTGGCGCAGTCTCTATCCCATCAACTTCTTTCTCTTCTTCACAGCTCGAATCTGATTCGTGCTGAAGATCTACGGATATGGTATACCCCAGATCCAGCCAAGGCATCCGAGACCACCAATGAGGATATCGAGATGGATGATGGGAATGATAATTCGACCCAAACAACAGCCAAGGACCCAGAAGTTAAAGCTTTTTGGACTCTATATATTGATGTCTTGATGGTTTCACTTGCAGGAAACCCGTTTGATGTAGCGTGGGCAGCAATAGTGGCTGCACTAAAAAACACCAAACTGCCCAAGGCATGGTGGGATTTAGAGAGCGAGAGAGTACTATGCTCTAATAGAGTTTCTGAAGCCAAAGCCTTACGACTACGTGGTATGCCGATTTCGAGCTCATTCTGCGTTTTTGAGGCTCATGGAATGGACGATTGGAGGCGGGTATTTCTTCCGTTTGACCAACAAAAGGGGAAAGGGAAGAAATTGGACGGCTCGGTTTCTAATGATGCGGATGAAGCTTATGATAAATGGATATTAGCGGATCCTGATGCGTTTGAAGAGTCTTTATGCCCAGAACGTATCTGTGTTGTTGTGGATCTCACCTCGTCAAACTCCGTCGCTAAAATAGTGCGTCTGGAGAAAAATGGTGGATTTTATGTGGGCAAAGAAGAAATAAAAGATATCGTCAGCTTAGCCACCTCGAGGTGGAATGAATTAAAGATGGTGTTAGAAGGCTGAATTCCAGTCCACAGTCTGGATGGAAGTCACTCCAGGTAGCGCCCATTTTAACGGCAGGGAACCAAATGAAAGATTGATTGAGCTTTTGTATTATAACCACAGTATCTATTCTCAAATTCTATCATAGCATCGTCAATTCTAAGGTTGGCGTAACACGAGTCAAGCTCCAGAAACGCCTAAAAAATCTGCACATTACACTGACCACACTTCAGTTGGTGGGTTTATATCCTCGTCTTTTCTTCAATGGGCGTTCTTCTTCCTTAGCAACAAGAATTGGGGAGGAATTCGTTGATGGCTGGGGTGTTGAGACAAGTTTACCTTCCCCTAGCTCCTTTTTCGATTCTGTCTCTGTGATTAATGAGATTGACAGCGATATAAGTTCTGACTTCGAATGGGTCCTCTTCTCTTCAGAAGAATTGTCCTCAGTACTAGGAGTACTGTCTTTATTTCCATCACGATCAGGGCTTTCTGAGCTGGAATCCCTGCTAGAATCGCCGGCGTCGGCTGCGCTCTTCTCATCCTTCTCAGATATGCGAGTATCCCAGAAGAATGACAATGTCTTCTTTAAGATTTCCTCCATAAACGAATCGTTGGCTTCGGTTGTATTCGTTTCATCTTCGTTGCTGCCCTCGTCTTCAACTTCGTCAGAAAAGTTCCACATGGCCTGTATATCGCCTTTTGCAAATGCTGTACCCCAGAGGGAGATCAGAACCCCAGGCACAAGGAACAATAGCGCAGGCTGCGGATGTTGAGATAACTGCATCGACAATAATGTCGCGACTATGCCAATGGCATATCCGATTAATCCAGCAGTAAAGTATGTCTTTGGGAATGATTTTGAATCAAAGTATTCTTTTTCATGCCGAGGAGCATTTGCTCCTTTAAGCCCACATCCCCAGGCCCTTTCACCCCACCCACCTGCAGCATTCTTGTACTCAACTCGGTTGTCATCCTTTGAGCTTGTTTGTTCTTGTCGACTTTGCTTTCTTAAGTAGTACAAGTAAAGGTCAAACCGCAAGGCAAGTCCGATTATCATCCCAGGTACCACAATGTCGCCTAATCCTAGCGTTGCTTCTGCTGGTTTGCTCTCACCAGGGACAGGTGGACGTGGGAATACAAGCTTTATCGGAATATCAAGCTTTGTCGCAACAGTAACCATCATTGGTGTGTAGAAGACGAAGAATATGTCGTAGAAAAATAAGGAGCTTAGTATAAGGGTTCCAGTCCAGAATGTAGTGGGTGACATGAACTGGAGCGCACCATAGGAAAAGCAGAATCCCAGGAAGTTTGTTAGCCACCATGGGCGCAAACCGAACGCAGAGAACTGAACCACGATGCCAGAGAAAATAATACTAAGTACGTCGATGATATTGAAAGGAAATTTAAGATCCACAAGTGACCGTATATAAGCCTGGAAGTTCAATTTCTGATAGGAAGTTCCCCGTAAGCTCCAGAGATAGATTTGTACAGATTCTGCGAGGGGTATTGTTCCCAATATACCCGGTAATGGCGACGGACGGGTGTTACGGGATGAGCCTTCTGAAGCCACTGCTTCGTAGACTCGCTTTTCCTGGTTAGCCTTCCACAGAGTACCACGGTGAAAGTAGCGGGTAGGAAAGGCAAAGGATCTGAGTATCGTAATGGCATCCCGGAAGAAAGCTATGCCAAATATAAAACTGGTGTGCGAAAAGTACCAGTTTAAGATCTTGCTCAAGTATTTGGGGTCAAAGTTTTTTATCAGGAGATAGAGACCACTGAGCGTGAGGCCAGATAGAACCGGAAATACTATAGCATCTGATGGTTCCAGGCCACCCATCTTCTGGACAACAGCTTCATCCGTATCATCCTCTTCTCTGTGTTCTTTGGATTCCTTTTTGGCTGATGAGGGCCTTGAGAGTGAAGCATGACAGCCAATATATAAAGCAAACAGTGTAGAAATTATGAGATGGGTATATGTGGGAATGAGAGGCTTTAAAAGGGCAAATTCGATAGTGAGCTGATCGATAGCTTCCGTTAAGCTAGGTAAAGGATGCATGACACTTTCGGTTGTCAGCTCCTATATAAACGAGGCTTCACTTTCTGGTGTGCGATACTGGGTGTAGTGATAGCGACGAAGGCTTAGGCCCAGATCCGAGGCCTAAAAGGGCTGAGAATAAAGATGAGGATTAAAAGATATTTGAATGTATGTTTACCTCTGTCTGGAAAAACTGCCAGGAAGCGCTTGTGTAGAACAGTCTAGCGATGTTGTTGGAGTTTTATTATGGCACTTGATTAGTTAGTTAGAAGTTGAGATGTGGCTCTAAATCAAATTGATTCTCCTGCGCGCTTTGAGTTTCAAGTTGCGCGCCGTCCTTCATACAGTTCAACACCTGCAACTACCACCACAAGCCAAGCATACTCCCTTCGACTAATATTGTTATTGATTTAGCTGCAGGATTTGTTAGCTTGCGAGCTAGATAAAATTACAGTCCCTAAACATGGCGCAGGAAGTGGTTCTTGAAACAACTATGGTATGTTTCTACCAACGTCAAGATTAACAAACTAGCTGTACGGAGTATCTGACCGTGACTTTTTGTTCCTAGGGTTCTATAACAGTCGAGCTGTATACAGAACATGCCCCTAAGGTGGGTTATTACCAATATTACGTCCTTTCGTTTGTAATGCGAATCAACGCCGCTAACTCAATTACAGACCTGCAAGAATTTTTCGACGTTAGCACAACGAGGATACTATAATAATGTCATATTCCACCGTATAATTCCCAATTTCATGGTCCAGACGGGTGACCCTACCGGAACAGGCAGAGGCGGAAGTTCGATCTACGGTGAAAAATTCGAAGACGAAATAAATCCTTCACTTAAACACACTGGCGCTGGAGTGCTCAGCATGGCTAACAGTGGCCCAAACACGAATGGCAGCCAGTTTTTCATCACTTTGGCACCAACGCCGTGGCTGGATGGGAAACATACAATATTTGGACGGGTGAAGAGCGGGATGAGAGTTGTGCAGAGGATGGGTCTGGTAAAAACAGGAGCTGAGGACCGGCCGGTGGACCAGGTCAAGATAATGAGGGCTCGTCTTGTTGAAACTGAGGAAGAGTGAGAGCTAGCTCTAGATTGACGTTTCTGGACTCTTTCAGACAATGGCGATGGATGTCAACTCCAGTATACCACGGCCACACCACTCATCTCAGCAGAGTAGGCTGGCCTTTACTTATTGGATTGACCAAACAAGCGCCCACAGCTTTTTCCCGTTAACAATATGGCTACTGTTGCCACCAGGGATTTTACACGCGGAGTTCCGACTGATATTGAAGAGCTATTTTTACTCCAGATGCTCGCAGGACGGCAACGCAAGGCACTCCAATAATTATTATTATACACATATAGATGTATCACCTCAATACGAACCGCATCTATCAGAGTAGTTATCCTGAGCGGCAGATACAGGGCGAAATTGGATCTACCACTCGTGAATGACAGCACCAATGAAGGGCCATCCATAGACACAGAACTAACATGCATAATAATAGCTGTATGTCGGCGCTTTACACGCGGAGTGGCATGGAGAGAAAAGAAGAAGCAGTTTCAACATTTTTTTCCTCGAGGTTTTTGTGCTTGTCAACGCCAAGATTTATATCACATGACACATCTGTGGCCTACGCACAAAAAAGCAAAATCGAACAACTTCATGCAACTCAAACTTGAGCTTCTTGTGATATTTAGCTACAGAATACCAGTCGTGGTAGCCTGGGAGACAATCTGTGGTCCAATCGTTGCTACCTTTGCCCTATTGTGGCTGCTAAGAATGGTAGAGGGGCAATGACTAGATGTTGTTCCCCTGAGACCTGGCCTTTGATCCAAAAGCAGAGGACCATATCAGAATGCTCGACTTGAACACGCTTGATGGGTCGACTTGGGATGTCGTGATATCTGGCACTGGCCTCCCCCAGGCATTCCTGGCACTGTGAGTTTAGGATATTTTTGAGTGAAGTGCTGTATGAAGTGCTGTTTCTGATGGGAAATTTTACGTGAAGGGCCTTGTCACGATCCGGCAAGAAAATACTGCATATTGACAAAAATAACTACTATGGTGGCTCTGAGGCCGCATTTAGCCTGCAGGAAGCAGAGGAATGGGTGAAAAAGGTCAATGAGGGTATAATCTCCCCCCCCCCCTCTCCCCACCCCCTACTCTGTTTACTCTGTGAATTTAGGGCGCTGACATGCTTTTTATCCAAGTCAGTGCCTAACTCTATGCCCTTCGAATCTGCGAGTATATCACGTCCTGCTGTTTTAGATGGTGAAGATGACGAACTGTCGTTTTCACGTGCATACACGTTATCTTTATCGCCTCAGCTACTGTTTTCCCAGTCCAGGTTTCTCCCATCACTCGTATCCTCTCGAGTCTATCGTCAGCTTGAGTTTCAGGCTGTAGGGAGTTGGTGGATATACCAGTATAGTACTGGTTCAGAAGCCAACTCCCAACCTGCTAGATTGCAGCGCGTGCCTAGTAGCCGTGAAGATGTGTTTACTGATGAAACCATGAGTATGAAATCTAAACGATCTCTAATGAAGCTTCTCAGGCAACTCATGCAACCGGGCCATGATCAGGAGAACGAAGCTGAATCAGAAGTAGACCAGAACATGCAGTTCCAGAACCTGCTGGAGACCAAATATCGCATTCCCAGTGATTTGTTCGATCCGCTACTTTCACTTTCTCTTTCTCTTAAGAGTATGGATACAACCGACTCCATCGATGCTATTCCAAATATCAAAAGACATCTTTCTTCTATTGGAGTATTCGGGCCCGGTTTTGGCGCCGTTCTAGCTAAATGGGGTGGCGGGGCTGAATTTTCCCAAGCTGCCTGCCGTGCCTGTGCCGTTGGAGGTGGGATCTATGCCCTTGGTAGGGAGATTAAGAAGGTGGATGAGATAATCGAGGGAAGCGAAAGCGAAAAACTACATGTTTATCTTACGGACAACGAGTCCGTAAAGAGTAGGTACGTCGTTGGATCTGGATGGGATCTCCCGGAACAGATACAAAGAGAAAGGGTACATCCCTATTCCCACCTTACGCGAGCTATCATGATTGTCAATTCTTCATTGGAGATACTTTTCCCACAGACTTCGGAGAATGGGCCCGTACCAGCTGGCGCTGTTGTTACCATCCCATCAAGAAATTCTGGTCCTCCCACTTATCTCTTGGTACACTCAAGTGATACTGGAGAGTGCCCTGCTAACCAATGTGAGTATTATCATTCTACTAGCAATCGCACTCATTTAACTATCTTTCCATGATGCCTTTATATTATCTACATTGTCTGCAAAATCATTGATGATAATCTCTTTTTTCTGATCCGGAGCACATAAAGCTCTTTTTTTTATTGCGCCATACTACACTATCATTTTGGGGTTGATATACGTTGCTAACCTTCGGCGCAAATAGGCATAATTTACGGTTACGTCCTACTACCCGCTGAAAGGGGCAAGGTGATCCTTGAAAACGCGGTGGACAACTTCTTGAAGTCTGTGGACTCAAAAGCAAAGGTAATCTGGGGCGTTCATTTCACTCAGCTGGGATGTCTAGAGCGTGAAATGGTTGTACCTGAGAATTTAAAAGGTTCTCATGACAACGTCTTCTCTTTCCCTGCCCCGGCACTTGACCTGGCCTTTGATGATGGCTTGATTGATCAAGTTAAGCAGGTATGGAAAGCCATAATGGGTGACGAAGCCGATGAAAACAACTTCCTGAAATTTGATGATCGAGAAGGTATGATTGACGAAGAGGAAGCAAACGAGACTATGTAACCGTTGGGCGGTTACAAATACCCCAATATACTCCTTCAGATATTATATATAATAATATATAACCATCAGATACCTTTTTTAAATGCCTTTATTTAACCCGTCCTGGCTCGTCCCGTCTACCATATGTATGGTTCGCCCGTTGCTGGCATAGGCAAGATAAATATATATATATATATATATATATATACCATCGTTCTCACCTACACGCAAGTTCCGAGTCCTAGAAGGTGCCAGACATGATGGCCGCTGCCTAGCAACTCACTCTGCTCCTTTTTGTTTTGATATATCGTCTACCCCATCTATAACCGTGGAAAGCGCAACCATTTATGCATATGCCTTAGGATATTTCAGACCTTCTGGTAAATAGACAAGGGTCGCTGGCAATAGATACCATTCCTATTAATATTGACCAAAGGCAATATTTTGGGTTGAAACGCCCATGTGAATATTGCTACAGGATGGTCTTCTCCCTAGTATTTGCTATTCTGCATGGGGCTTTCTTATGCTTTGTATTCTTTACCAACATTATCTTTCTTTACCTCCTTGCTAGGCTTGTTTTCTTACTTGTACGGTCCCGCCATGCCTGGTGATTCTCCAGCTTGTGGGGTTGATATCTGTGGTTAATAAACTGCTGGAAACGATATCTTTTAATCAAAGTGCCTGTCTTTACTTTTCCCTTTTCTGCACACACTCACACACACTCACTTACACATTTTCTATCTCTCTCTTTCTCGCTTATTCTTCTGTCTTTTACTACACATCAACGGTTTTTCTAGCTAGAGACTCCTTGTCTCTGCTGCTATCTTCAAGAGAAAGGCTTAGGAAGCGTTGTTCTCTCTCTAGGATCCTGTACCGACGCGCCTTCTACCACCAAACAGTGACAATGCATATCCGGCCTAAAAATATCATTATTAGCCTGGTGCTGGCGATCCCAATCTTCCTTCTCTGGGCTACTGTCAGATACGATCGCATTGCCCTCTCTAATCTTGCTCACTCTTTTGACCAGCTATCTCGGTCTAGCCTGAATGTCTCGCCCCTGACGCGTTTCCAGCCTCAGTTTTCTTCAGTCGAGGCCGTCAATGAGCTGTGCAAAAGGGGGTTGATGGTCCCTCCCCCCTTATCATACTCGGAATGGCTCCATCGAAAGAACTTTACCCGGGCCTACATCCGTCCCAACATGGTCAGCTCGGATGCGAAATTTGCCCCTTTGGAGACCATTAAACAACCAGTTCTCCCGGATTTCATGGCTCTGGATCGAGGGCTGACGGCACCACCTGAGGATAAAGGAGAGAGTGCATTGACATGCCCTCCAGTCATTGACGTGGATGTGGCCGCGGACAGCGAAGTCGACGATACGGCCGCTATTCTCTTTGGCCTCGCAACAGATGTAGACCGGCTGAGGCGCCTTCTCCCGTCACTCCTTTTCTCATATGGCTCTTCGAAGGCAAACATGCTGGTTCTCATCCCAGAGGGAACTAAAGATATCGATATTCACGAGACATACTTCCACAACCGTGGGCTAAACCTGACCCTAAAGACCTCGCCTCTTGAATTTACGGCTCGCTATTTTGGCCTGGTCGAAGCATTCACGGAGCATATCGAGAATAACCTTCCCAATGTCAAGTGGGTTAGCTTTGTGGACGACGATACATTCTTTCCGTCTCTAGCTACCATCGGCAAGCGTCTTGCAACAATTGATGCCACCAAGAGACATTATATCGGTTCCCTCTCCGAGGCAGATATTCAAGTTAAAGAGTTCGGTCCTATTGCCTTTGGAGGTGCTGGGGTATTTGTGTCGAAGCCACTTCTTGAGACCATGCATACGGTATACCAGAAATGCCAGGATCTTGGCACTCAACCCGGAGATCAGAAGGTAGCACACTGCATCAAGAAGTTTGGAAATACGGATTTGACTCTCTGGGATTCGCTGTATCAGATGGATATAAGAGGTGAGCCTGATGGGCTGTTCGAATCAGGGCGCCGTTTTGACTCTCTTCACCACTGGCAGAGCTGGTACAACAAGGACGTCGTAAAAATGAGCACAATTGCAGCTGTTGCAGGCCGTAACTCCGTTTTACGACGATGGCGTTTTGACGAGCGGATTACCGGGAAAGGACAACGAACCTTTTGGGTGCTAACAAATGGCTACTCGATGGTCAAATACACAATTGATGCCTCTGCAAACGCTGAATCTGTCGGATTCGATAAAGTTGAAAAGACATGGGATGGAGATGATAAAGTGTTTGAAAAACGACTTGGACCCCTGCGTCCTAAAGACCAACCTGGAGTCAAAAAGGAACGATGGATGCTTGCGGAAGCAACCGTCATTGGACACAACGTGCACCAGCTGTACTCGAGGGAGCTTGATGAGACGCATAGTATGATCGAGCTCATTTGGCTAGGAACACCGGATGGCGCGGGGACATCCTATTAGTGGCAGGCTGTTCTTATCGCTGTTAAACGCAGCTGGGGTATCCCGTATGTGCGATATTGTTGTTTGATGGCCTTTCCCACATGTTTGTTCTCTTTCATGGCACTGGCTCTCCACCCATCCTTGTTTGATTTATCGGCTTTCTGCTTCACGCCGGGCATATGCTGGATAAAAATGGTCAAGGTTGGGGCTTCCCTGCAAATCAACTAGTTAGTTTAGTTAGTGAATTCATCCAAAGAATTATGGCAAGCATATTTTCTACAGTATATCTTGGGATGGGCATAGTCCACTTTATAGGAAATTGGTTATATCCAGTTCGTCAAATATGAACATAATAACCACTTAATATAATGTGGCCAATAGTTACTGGCCACAGCCATGTTAACCAGTTATTTCTTATAATACCTAAACTGATTAGCTACCAAGGCCCGGATATAGATTTATGCGGGAGATTCTGCCAGATCCATCGGAAGTAATTCGTGTTGCACACAATAACTACACTAACAACACCAAATTAACAACACATGTACTGTCTAGCATACAATGGCTTACCAAAGGACGACGGCTGACGCAACACATTGCTGTGTTGCGGACTCCAAACTATTGACTGGGCTCCCTGAAGGAACACCGATAGTCAAATATACCAATATGAAGAAATTGAAGAATATAATAGATACCCAGTCCCTTGACTGTTCTGCGGATAGCTCTAAAAGCCCCTTTTTAATAGTAACTTGCGTGGATGATAACTTTTTCAAAGCTCTTGACGAGGCCTATCCTGACAGTGGACCTCGTATAACATATAATTTTGAAGAAGGAGGCCCAACTGTGATTCTTGAAGTGATGAAGAGTACGGCGCATGAAATGGCTACCGGTCGCCTCCACATGGAAATCATCCTTAAGCTTGGAAATATGGGCGTCGAATACGAACTCGTCTCCATGAACGAGTCGGAAATACATAGTTTGAATAAGACTTGGAGAAAGCAACCTGATCTGGCCTTTGGCCTGGAAGGCCATACCCGTTGGCCCGTGCTTGTTATCGAGACTGGAATGTCGGAAACCCAGCAAAAGTTGGCGATTGATGCCCAGGGATGGCTGGAGGCGCAGGGATCCGACACCAAAGCTGTCATTACTATAAACATTGACAAACACAGCCCACACATCACTTTTCAGCGTTGGGAGCACGAAGATACCCGACATGCGACCCGTTCTCGTCATCCACACGGATCAGTCGTGCAAACTGTAGAGGTATTTCACAAAGGTGTTACCACAAGAGCCACGGGGGAGCTTATTATCCCTTTCGAAAAAGTGTTTGGCCGCGTGAGACATGGCCGCAAAGAAGCGGATATCATCATTACGAAGAACCAATTGATACGACTGGGGCAGCTTGTTTGGGCCGAGCAGAGATTCATGTAGACGAATGTATTTTGGTATGGAGAGGCTCACCTATCAGTTTCTTCTCCTACCGAGAAGCGGCGAGGAGAATAGGGTTGTATTACGGTTCACAGGAATGAGCAGATATCCCCTACGGTATCAATAAACAGGGAGTAGGAGTATCATTGTATCGGAGAAATATCTCAACTCTCATGTTTGTAGTAGTTGGGTGGGCTATCAAATATCAGTTAATTCAATTGAAAGCGGGTTCAGTTTTAACCAGGGTTCAAAAGTTGGCTTGGTAGCTCAAGGTACTGCGAAGTTATCGAACTCAGCCTTGCATATTCTTGTCCCTCCCTTTTGCATAGAGTGTCATCCGATATCACCACCATCCGGACACTTAATATGCAAGACCACAAGGCGGAGATGACTGTCAGCCTCGCGGTGGCATGGGATGGTTATGGGTAAGAACTTTAAAATTATATATCCTTGTCTTCTGCTCTTGATCGGTTTAATGTCCATAATGCTGAGGCTTGTTGACCAGGGCACCCAGATTTTCGGCCACTATTTTATATTTGCTTGACGGAACGAAGAGAAATACATGATTATACTTATCAAGAAGGGAGATTTTTGTGTACCTCACTCTAACTCATTACCGACTACTCCGTACTATGGGAGTTATATGAAGGGCGCGGAGACCTTCGCTTTGCTAATTTATTCCATACGAGCAGTAGGCTTCAAAAGGATGTCTCCCAGCAAGTTCTCCGCATAGAGACCAGACGTTCTTTGCTCTCTGATGTGGGGTCGGTGCAAGCCGATGGTAGGATCGACGTGGCTGGTCTCCTCCAACCAAGTCATTCTATACCCAATTTATGAATTGCAGATTTTCAATTTCCATGATTCATTCTTTTCTTTTTCTTCTCGAAGCTACCCCTCCAATCCCACCACAGGGCTGGAAGGCATGTTTGACGAACTTGAGTTTCGGGAGCGCATGAATACGAGTGTACAAGGATCTCATGCTTCTGGTTGGCTCCCAGCTCGCAGAGCCCAGAGTTGCGAGATCTTCGGTTGGTCTTATTTTTGGATATCATTTGAAGCAGTGTGTCTTTGTTGTGGTACCCGCTGGATACGGAGACAAGACTATGATACGGGGTTACAGAAGAGGGACCAGCCTTCCTGGGCTCTGTTCTCACAGCGGACAAGAATGGTTGAATATAAATAGGCAGAAGCTCCTCCATGGAATGCTCTCGTTGTATACCAGGCGCAACAACTCAAACAAAACCCTCTATACAAAGAAACAAACATACAAATACATTATCCACAATGAAGCTCAGCGTTCTCCTTGCCTTGGGTGCCAGCTCTTTGGCCGCTGCTGCCCCAGCTGCTACTGCCTGTGACTGCGGTGCTGCCGTCACCGATCGCCTGCTCTTTAGCTCCTCCATTTCTACCTTCCAAGCCGCCCGCAACGCCCTTAACCCTCCATGCTGCGACTGGAGCTCTGACAACTGTTCCAGCTCCCCAGATAAGCCACGAGGATACGACTTTATTCCATCCTGCCAGCGTCACGACTACGGATACCGTAACGGAAAGAGACTCAACCGTTTCACTGAGGACTACCGCAAGAAGGTTGATGACAACTTCAAGGCCGACCTTTACAACTACTGCAGCCAATTCTCTGGCCTCGAGAGCTGGAAGGGCGTTGAGTGCCGCCGATATGCTGACATCTACTACTTTTTCGTCCGCGAATGTGGTGACGGTGATTGCCCTTAAAGAATATTTAAGTCATTCTCGGGTTTAGAGAAGGGAGTGGGTTCTGCCTCTCTGCAGACCTCGTGGAATGGATAAGTCAGGTACCATCCTGGCACTATTTTGTATATAGCCTGAATAATGAAGTCATCCAAATGTGAATTGTCTTAGCAGTAATGCTATGTTCTGTGCAAAAAGTACTTGTGCCTGGATATCCCTCCGCGGTTTATCATGCCCTCCTTCCATGGTTGTTCTGAAGAAAAGCCTTGACCAATCTCTAATTCTATTTTTATCAAGGTTTGGCAGAAGCTCGTCTTGGCACGCATTGAAAAATGCGCTAGTCCAAATATGGATCACCGGTTTTTATTTATCCGAAAATTTATTGTTAGTCATCGCCCGCGCGCTTTGGATCTCAAGAGCGAAAACAGACAAACAGGAGCTTTCAAATAGATTGAAAAATATATATATATATATATATAAGAGTTGACTCTTATTACCATTTTATATCTCTTCGTATATTGTACAAGTGTTTTGCAGTAAATCATGTCAGGATCTTCTCTTGAATCATGGGCTGTCCCTCGACTTGCTAGACTCCTTCCGTTGGACGAGGAGTCTCTCAAACAGGTCATATCATATTCATCCTCGCTTTCCAAAGACGAGTGTGCAGTGCATTTGAGAAACCTGTTGGATGATTCCCCAGCAGCTCTCGAGTTTATATCTGCATTTAATTCACGACGTGGCCAGTCGGGCCAGCAGAGCAGCAATAGCAGCAACGGCCAAGGAGGCAGGAGTGGACAGATACCCAAGAAACCAGCAGGAACGAAATCTCAGAGGGGTGCTTTGAAACCTCCACCTACCGCCAGGCAACCGGAAGGTTATGGAGATACCAGCGGCGGTTATACTAAGCCGCAGAGGGAAGAGAACTACATGGCTAGTAGTAGCGCCGTAGCCAGAGGTGCTTCAGAGAGCATATCACCAGGATCGTCATCGAGAAACCCATCACCAGCCCCCTCGCAGTCGAAGAATAGGCTGCCTCCATCTGCTACTGGCCCCATGATATCAGAATATCTACCAAACGTTCGGTCAAAAAAAGTTCCGAAGAATTTCGGACAACATAATACTGCACCGTCATCATCGAGCAATAACACTGCGCAGAAAAAGACTGGCCGTACAGCTACCAGCAACAACACCACTACTACCACCACTACTACAAATAATATAGCTGATATCACATCTGCAATTGCGGCATTGGAAATACTAACCTCGAACCCTTCGAAAACCCAGGCACGCAAGTGTAACTGCAATGCTTCCATCCATCCTCTCTTCGCACCCGCACCAAACTGCACTTCGTGTGGGAAAATAATATGTGCTCTGGAAGGCATACAGCCATGCTCATTCTGCGGTACCCCAATTCTCTCCAGCGAGGAGGTCGAAGATATGATCCGGGAACTACGATCTGAGCGTGGCAATGAAAAGATGAGAGCTCATAATGACAGCTTCCGCCGGGATGACCACGTCCCAGCCGTCACTCGACTAAGTAGCGAAAGCAACCAAAAGTTGACCGCTGCAAAGGCTCACCGTGACAAGCTTCTCTCTTTCCAGGCGCACAATGCACAAAGAACTCGGATTTTAGACGAGGCGGCTGATTTCGACATACCAACTTCGTCGTCGACACAGTGGATGACCCCAGCCCAGAGAGCACTGGCGCTAAAGAAGCAACAGCGCATGTTACGAGAGCTGGAAGAGCAGTCCAAACCAGAGTGGGAGAAGAAGAATGTAGTGATGAGTCTGGAGGTGAAGAAAGGGAAACTCGTTAGGACGTACGAGAAAGCAGAGCAGCCAAGGGTGGAAGATACCGATCCTGATGCCATCGCAGAAGAGGCAGTCGAGGATACGACAGAGTCTCCTGAGCTGTCCGTAGGAGAGGGAACCTTCTCCAACAACCCCTTGCTAAAGGGTGCCGGCCTGGTCAGGCCTACGTGGAAACCATCCGGCGAAGGCAGCGACAGGCCTCCCGTACGAAGGAGAGAGCAGAAGCAGACCTGGAGACGAGTCCAGGATGATAACGACGACAACGAACAGTGGATTCTTGACGGTGGTCTGCATGGGTACGATAGGGAATCAGAGCCCGCACAGTGCGGATAGTCGTGGTCTCTGCCCAAGAGCCTCACCTTGATATCGATAGCTAGCCACAAGCGTAAAAAGAAATATGCCGTCGTATTAATAACTGTCGGCAGGGCCTTTGATCTCGCATTACGTAGCATCAACTTGCTCGTTAATTATTTCTTCTTCTTCTTCTTCTTCTCCTTGTTCTTCTTCTTCTTTATGTCAAAGCGTGGGAAATGCAACCGGTTTGATCGCTTCCTGCAACGTCACTCTCTTCTCCTACCCCGTCGCTGGGCAAACTGGGGCCTATTCCCATCACCCTCCGGCCGCTGCGATGTCAATGGCCGCGCACAAGTGATCAGGGACACAAAAAGACACCTATTGGCCCTGCAGTCACAGCAGGACAGGAACAACGAGCCAATCTCTCTCGCTGCCTGGGGTTTTACCTCGGGGCGTTTTCCACGGGTCCAACCCGGGCGTGCCAACCCTTAATCTTGTACCATCGATGACGGCCAGTGACGTCCACATCGCAGATATCCTCCACATGAACCAGGTTTCCGGGCTTCATGAGACATGCCGGCCGTCAGTCTATGTTTCCCTCCGCTCTCCAGAAGGCCTTGGTAATTTGAGTTAACTTGTAGGTATCCATCTCTAGGCCGCCCAAAGAAAACACTGGTAGGGCCGCAAGCCTCCCCACCACCACAGACAAAAAGCTGTCAATATTTAACAGCCTGAGCCCGTCACTTTACTACTTTGTCCTCCCCATAATACTCATAATAATACATCTTCTCCTTACGTCTACCGTCCCTGCTCTTCCCGCAGACGGCCCGAGCATCCCCCGCGTGTCGTTCCTGAAGTCCTCGCCATTGCTTTTCTTTCTCGCCTCTCGCCACAACACCGAACAGACACCCCCCGAATATCTGCGCCAGTGGTGCGAAAGCCCGTATCTCCAAGGCCTGCTCGATCCGGAACAGATCTTTTCTATTTGCCCCTCGAAGATGGCTTCTGCGGTTCTGGAGGAAGCGAAGCGGATTTCCGCGGGGTTTGAGTACTCTACGGAGGAGCTCAATAAAGGGGTGGAGGAGTTTCTACGCGAGATGGAGGTTGGACTGTCTCGGGAAGATTCTGGGTTGAGCCAGATCCCGTCGTATATTACTTCTGTGCCCGATGGGACGGAGAAGGTGCAGTATTTATCCTTCGCCTAGCTGGAGATGACTGGCGCTGACGTAGCATTTGGCTCCGGTAACTACAGGGCGTGTATCTGGCAGTCGACCTTGGTGGTACCAACCTGAGAGTCTGTTCTGTCCACCTGCATGGCAACTCCACCCATGAGATGATACAATCGAAATCTGCCATCCCAAGAGAGCTGATGGTTGCCGAGCATGGAGTGGAATTGTTTAATTTCCTAGCAAAGCAAATTGAGGCATTCCTGCGAGAGCACCATGCCGAGCAGTTCAGTTCCCACGTCGAGAAAAGGCAGACTGGAGAGGTAAAGGAGCCCTATGCCGAAGAGCAAGTGTTTGACCTTGGGTTTACTTTCAGTTTCCCCGTCATCCAGCATGGAATCAACAAGGGTGAACTATATCGATGGACGAAGGGTTTTGACATTCCTGAGGTAGTCGGTAAGGATATCTGCCAGCTGTTACAGGCAGCGATTGATGAGCTCAAACTGCCCGTTCGAGTTTCGGCCCTCATCAATGATACCGTGGGAACGCTGATGGCCCGGTCATATTGCTCTCCTGGAAACTCCAGGACACTAATAGGTGCCATCTTTGGCACGGGAACCAACGGAGCGTATGTCGAGAAGATGCCCCGCGTGACGAAAATGGAACGGTGCAGCAGCAGCGCATATAATAAGTCAGCTTCTGAGATGGTGATAAACGCTGAGTGGGGTAGCTTCGACAATTCCCTCAAGGTGCTCCCAAACACTGAGTTTGATATCCAACTGGACAATGCGACCTTCAATCCTGGGATCCAGATGTTTGAAAAGCGGATCTCGGGCATGTTCCTCGGTGAAATTCTTCGTCTTGCTATTTTGTCGATGGTGGAGAACCCTTCTGTCAGTCTGTTTGGTAGTCCGGCCACGATTGACTCTAACTCGGTCCTGTATAAGGCCTGGGCAATCGATGCTAGTATTCTGAGCATTATTGAGGGCGATGACTCGGAGGGCCTACAGGCCACAAAGGAGCAATTGCGCAAGGACCTTGATATCATGGATGTGAGCACCAGTGACTGCCAGGCCGTCAAGCTCCTGGCACACTCTATCGGCAAGCGTGCAGCACGACTGGGGGCTATCGCCCTGGGCGCCATCGTCATCTCCAGCGGCCGGCTGGCAACAGATGAGGTGGTTGATATCGGCGTTGACGGCAGCCTGATCGAGCACTACCCCGGCTTCGAGGGCTATATTCGGGAAGCCTTTCGCGAGATACCAGCCATCGGACCGGCTGGAGAGAAGAAGATTCGGATCGGGATTGCGAAGGATGGTAGCGGTGTAGGAGCAGCGCTAGGAGCCCTGGTGGCCAAGAGGACGTCTCAAACGCTGCAAGGTTAGGCTGGTGTTTTACTTGTCTGTGATCAGCGTGGCAGGAGTGGGTGTTCTTTATATACGTGTACCCAGGCATGGAGTCACCGCCTGTGCTATCATTTATCTACCATCTCTAGTCATGCCGCCTATCCGAGCATGTCCACTCTCAATGACGTATATAATGCAAAATATCACCATCAAGCTCACCATCAAGCTCACTATCAAGCTCACTATCAAGCTCACTATCACCATCTGTAGTTAGGTACATCGTACGATGCAACTCGCTGCCGGCGGCCGGGTACGGAAACGGCATTTTATGTCATCAATGCCGGGTGGTGGGGCACCGGGGGGCGCAAGGGCGGGACATCGAGATAAGGATAAATAGCCAGCAGCGACGCCTGCCTCGCCCTCGTCCTCCTTTTCCTCTCTCTCGTCCCCCATCTTGCTCTGCCTGTTAATAGCCACAACCTCGCGGCCGCTCTGCTGTATCGAGTTCTTGCTGCTGAACCCACGTTTAACCACGTACACTACTTTCACAATGCCTGCATTGAAGTCCGGAGACGCTTTCCCATGCGATGTTCTCTTCAAGTGAGTCTTCAGATTGACCCTTTTATATTAGGCATGCTGGACTTGTAGCTGGGCCAGGCAGTACTGGTTGGTCAAGTAATGCAGCTGTGGAAGCGGTTTCAGGCTAACCAAGGATAATATCTTAATAGGTACATCCCATGGACTGAGGAGAAGAAGGGATTCTCTACCTGCGGTGCCCCTATGCCCTACGATGCATCCAAGGAGTGGAGTAACAAGAAGGTCGTCCTCGTCTCCGTTCCAGGTATACGCACCCCCGTAGGACGATATAGGCCCCCTTGAATGCCTGCAAACTGACAACTGTACAGGTGCCTTCACTCCAACTTGCTCTGCCACCCACCTCCCTGACTACATTGCAAAGCTTCGTGAATTGAAGACCAAGGGCGTCGACATCGTTGCTTTCGTTGCCTACAACGACCCTTTCGTCATGAGTGCTTGGGGCAAGGCCAATGGTGTCACTGGTGATGACATTGTAAGCTCTCCCTCTTACCCCAGGCCTGCACGATTACTGCAAAGTCACACGTCTGATCATGTTCAAAATTGTACAATATAGCTCTTCCTCAGCGACATTGAATCAAAGTTCTCCAGTTCCTATGGCTGGACCGCCCACGAGGGCCGCACCGGCCGCTACGCCATGATCATCGACAACGGCAAAGTCGTTTACGCTGAGAACGAGCCTTCCATTCCCAATGTCACCGTAAGCTCGTCCCACTCGCCCTTCTTCCCGGGCATTCAGTTAGACTAACTGGGCGTGAAACAGGTCTCTGGTGTCGATGCCGTCCTCGCCACGTTGTGATTTGCCTTTCAATAGACATATAGATTAAGGCTTGGTCCGTGGAGGCGTCTAGAGTCTAGATATGAGTTAGCAGTATTTGCCCATCTAGATTTAGAAATATATCAATGATAAATGATATTAATGACATGTCAAAGTCGGTCCCTGTTTCATAGAGCATTGCTGAGACATCCGTCGTCGGCCTTAATAAAACAATAATAAGACACGAATCTGATTAGATAATCCCCACTTAAACTCAATCTTATCAAGATAAGAGTTAGTTAACGCTAGTCCAAATACGGAAACCTCACTCTATTTTTCTCAACTTTGTTGATTATCAAAATGTCTGAAAACTTGCAGGCTGGGTTCATCAATCCAATGACTCCGAGGCATGGCCTCAAACGGACCCAACAAGCGCAAAGGCGTATGGGAGTCCTCTTCGTCTCTACACCGTAAGCGAGTGAAGATACAGGATGCTCGCACTTTGGCCGTCCAGAGCTCTGACACAGCTCTCTCAAAAACCGGGGAGCTCGATGTTGCGGCCTTCGTTGCTGCTCGACAGTTCGAAATTCGTGCTCTGGAGGCCGGTATTCGAAAATCCAAGAATGCAGCTACGACACGCGCTTTTCAGCAGGTGCCTAAGAACCTCAGGCGGAGAACCGCGAGTCATAACGTGAAGCGTGTACCTCGTCGATTGCGGGCTCGAGCCAAGCGGGAGGTATGTACTTTCTACTTTACAACCATCATTTATAACACAGTGAACTGATGACTCACCTGAGTGTAGATGATAGAAGATAACACACCGACTGTCACGGCAAGGCGAAGGAAACCGACTCAGTTGATGCGACTCAGGTTGGAAAGTGCTCGGCGACTTCAAGGCCTTAACGCGCGCTCAAAGGCAAAAAGACAAGTCGCAGCGAAGGCCAAGCTAGCACAATCCCCTTATTATGCTGGCCATGATTCTGAAGTTGCCACGCGTATCCCAAAGATAAAAAAGAACAAGCTCTCCCACCCTCATAAGCCAGCGTCGAAATTCAGAAAACGCCAGATTTGTAAGACATGGCTGCCAACTCATATGTTTCATGCCAAACGGGCACATCTCACAGAACCAAAAAACCCGCTGTGGAGATTTGCGATTCCATTGACACCCACAGAGAAATGCTATCGAACAACCCACCGCGCCAGCGGGGCTAGGGGTGCAATTGCTTGGGACATGAGCTATATGTCCACAATTGGCCTGGAAGGAACATATACCAGCCTAGAAAGTCTTTTACGAGCGCTAGGCGTGAATGGACAGAATGCATGGGGAGGTAATGAATACAAATGGAGGAACGGAACTCGGAGCTTACGCGTCTGGGTTTATGAAAGGGATGGACAAAAGCGACCTATTGCTCCTGTCCAGTTGATTTGGTGCCCACCCAAACAGGATGAAGATATAGAAATGACAGATGCTGACTCTGCCCCCAAGAAACTGCAAAAGTCAAAGACCCCAAGACGACGAATGTTCCTCAGAGCCCACCCATCTGCTTTCTTGCAGCTGTGGGAGGAGCTCCTGAAGGTGGCGAAAATCCAGAAGCCTCAAGTGATGGTTGAAGACCTCAGGTTCGAAATAGGGAGTATTGAAGTCGCGGGACCTGGTTCTACGGAAGCCTTGCTAGGTGCTTTGAAACCTGCTCTTCCCCATGGTGTGGATGTATGGCCAGAAGGTTCACCTGAATCAACCTGGCTCTCCCTGGCCGGGTTAACAAATTCGGCTTCTTTACCCCGGAACGCACTTCTCTCCTTCAACATCAGCGATCCACGTCTTCGCTTCCCCCCAAAAACTATCAAAATACCCAACTCAGCAGAAAGCCATACTAAATTAATGGAAACATTGGCTTCGTGGAAGCCGGATTCAACTCAAAAGTTGTCTCCAGATCTGTTTTCTCAACCTGCCAGGCGCAAGGCTTGTTGGCAGCTACCGTCGCAAAAGGCAATTAATAGAAGAAAATCCGAAGTTAGCCCAGGGGAGAATGTTCCCCCGAAATCAACTGACCCAAACATTCCCATAATCCTCCTTGCCTCTAATAATAGCTCAAAGAATTCCAACTCACAAGGCTCCTGGACAGTTTTACTACCATGGAAGTGCGTGACCCCAGTTTGGTATTACCTGCTCTACTACCCCCTTTCTTCTGGAGGAAATCCCCGGTTTGGCGGAATCCAGGAACAGCAACAGCTTGCATTTGAGTCAAAGAAGCCGTGGTTTCCAGGTGACTTCCCTGGAACCAGAGCTGGGTGGGAATGGGAGATCCGCGAGAGAAAAAGAGAGAAGGAAGTCTGGGAGCGTAAGCCCAAATCAAAGCGGGTGGAATATAACAGCGTTAATCTTGGGAATGGGAAAAGCGGTGAAATTGGTCAAGGTTGGGCTTGTGACTGGGAACGCCTACTTTCAGGGCCTGCCTCGATGGCTGTGAATCATGGGGTTGGGCCAGGAGAGAGACATAACCAACCAGGTAGATCCGAAACAGCTGAGGCGGATCTGATTATGCCTCCAGATCTCATCCAACTTGACCCCTTGATTGCTTCTGCGATAATCTCGAAATTGAAAAAATCAAACCAGCTTCCTGCCTCAATGGAATCTCTCTGTCAGAAGCCTGCACTTGCAACTGTTTCCATCACTCTCTTGGGTCGAGGGACTCCTATGCGACGTTCGCGAATCTACCGTCTCCCAACCTCAGATCTAGAGCTTCGATCAAAATGGTTTTCCCTCTTAAATCAATTAGAGGGACCATTAAAGAAGACAGGGAACGACTCTGAGGAACGGGCACATTTACCAATTCCACGGGAAGAGGACTTGCTGGGCTATGTGACCTCGGGCAATTTTAATCTTGCTGCAGGAAAGGGAACGGGTATTGGTGCCATATTAGTCAACAGGATATGTCCTCACAGAACCCTAGATGACTCTAGTGTTCCTTCAACTGATAAAGACCGCCACCAAGAAGGTAAACTTATGAACGTATGTATTATTAGAGCTGCTGGGGAGAGTGTTGGAAGACTAGGACGCTGGGAGGTTGTCTGAACGTACTGGGTACATATATCAAAACTGCATTACGCTTGCTGCATCGTAGCTATATATCAAGAGACAACGTAGTAGATTATGCACTTCTCCCATTTCCACTTACTGTTGCTATGGTACACATGCTAGGAAAACTGTCTAATAATGGCGTTACAATATAGTTTTTCTTCCTCAAGGCTCAGATACTCTACCCAAATTGTTGGCTCATACCAGGCTCTCTCAGCTTATCATTTTTTGGACCCATTCCTTTTCTAGCCTTGCAACTTCGCGCTTGAAAGTATCCACCTCTTGCCAACAGTCTAATGGTCGCTTCTGGTTATCACGCAGGCATTTCACAACTCCCTCCCTTGCAGTTTCAAGTTCGGGGTCTAATTTTCGGATCGTAGGCCTGGTGGCCAGTGATTCTCGCAATGCCTCAATTTCCTTAGCAACCCTTCCGCTGCTTATCATCTTGGGATTAATTGCAGCGGCTTCATCATTGCTTTCTGCAGGCGCAGAGGTGGCCGGAACACGGTCGAATTCGGTACCGGCAAATGGGACTCGAGGTGACTCAAGGGATAGAGGCTGGCTAGCAAGAGCAGAAATGTTGCTTTTGGCTGCTGCGGGTCCCTCAGGTGGATATGAAGCTGCTATTCTCTTTTCGATATCGGCGAGAGTTTGCGTCTCACGTTCACGGATGCGGTTCAGCTCCTCAGCAACACGGGCTTGGATATGAAGCTCTAACGATTGGGAGCGCGAAGCATCGGTCTATTTTATGGGATAATTTATCGGTACTTAGTGGATTTGGTCGGATTGGAATATGGTAAACGGGTAGCTGGTGTATGATTACCTCTGAGCTTGACTGTAGCGACTCGACAAGGACTTGGGAGAATTGAACAGGTGAACTACTGCAGTTATCAGTTATCAGTAAAACAGCCTAAATAGCATAGTCGCTAATAAGTGATTACCGCCTTTGTCCGGTCATGGGTGGTGGGTGATGGATGAAGATTTCGCATCGTCATAAGGGAAAACAAACCTGCTAAACACATGCTTCCCCCCTTTCTCCGAGTCCGCCGGTTTTGAAGCGCCTGCTCCCATGGCTTTTGGAAGTCAGTATTCGATCCCAATTTGCGCAAACTAGACAACTCTCGGGAAGTGGTCGTGTTGTGTAATTTTCCCAGGTCGAAATGGGTTCACCTTGTATGCGTCACGGGTCCCAGAAAAGGGCCACAAGCAAACAGCAGTATTTCAATTATCACAATTAATAACAGAATAGCCTCTGAGTTCGTCGAGGAGACGCTAATTGCCGTTGTTCTCGGGGTTGCTGCTTCACCATCGACCGCAACCTGGACGTAGTTTATCAACCTGGAGGTTAGAAAATATGATGACATAATATCAATCACGTGTATATCACGTGATTAATACTTGGTCTCGCAACCAACCAGAGCAACAACCAACAACTTCGGGGGCCCAAGGACCAAGGATGGGACGAAGGGCTTCCTCTGAGCAGTTGCTCTTGTCAATGTACGAGGTAGCCAGCCAAGGCAGAGGAGCATGGAGGTGTATAAACTATATTGACCGAGTAAAACCTCCTTGATGATGAAATCCTTCCATCTGTGAATTTCGCAATTCCACGAACGATTTCTCAACACGAGTCAGATGATATAACGATTTCAAAATAGTTCCCGTGTATGACTGCATCGAGTGGTCTCACTGACTCGGTCTAGGTCTTACCCTGGTCAACTAGTGCGAAGGGCGCCGATGTCAATATTCGAGTCGCCACAAGTACAAAAATCCGTCCGTCGTTCTTTGGGTTCAGCCGTGGCCCTCAGGCTGGGAGTGTCTGAAGCTGCCATCAATAATAACCAGCCAGTGTGGGCCACACTACTCTAGTGGCAGAATCTCGTAAGGGCGTTTTATATGGAGGATTACTTGGGCATCTTCAGCATTCCGCATGTTTTGGCTTGATCTACGGAACAGGAAGCTCCGGGGAGAACTCCGGGATAAAATGTTAGCTAAAAATTGCTGCGACTTTTATATACAAAAGGCCCCACTCGGTCACCCTCGCGTGTTGGGATCGCCTTGCTATATATATAACCAGCTGTCCCCAGATTTCCCCAGAAATTATTATCCACCCATAGAACGGGGTAATTAGACAGATCTCTACTTTGAGAAAGCAAGACTGAAACTTCCCGTCAAGATGCAGGCTCGTGGGCAGGAAACCATAGTGGTAATCGGGTGAGTCATCCTATAAAGGCCCAGTTGACATTGGCATTGAACTCATATATGAAAAAGAGCTGGTGTCCTTGGCCTTTCGTCGGCCTTGGAATTGATCGAGAAGCCCGAAACATCCAAATACCAGATAGTGCTTGTGGCAGATCACTTCTCAACAGATCCCCCAAATCCCGTATACGCAACCACAAATGCTGGTGCACATTTTCGTCCTATTCCTGCCACAGATACCCAGACACAGGTGGAGAGTGATCATGCTGTGAGAACATACTCACGGTTCAAGAAACTTGCTGAAGAGGAACCAGCATTAGGCATCAAATTCCTGGAAGGAATTGAGTATGTATCTGGACCAGCCGCTGAGAAATATAAGGCAATGAAGCCGAATTACGTGAAGCAAGAAGGGTTCCGGCTATTAGAAGGCCCCGAAAAGCCGGCAGGTGTTGATTTTGCCGCGAGATATGAGTCCTTTATAGTCGAACCCGACACTTACTGCTTCCATCTTTTACGGCGCTTCAGACTAAAAGGAGGTAAAATCTTACGGCTGAGGCTGCAGTCCGTGGAAGAGGCTTTCTGTCTGGATGGTTACAAGGTCTCGCTCGTGGTGAACTGTAGTGGAATGGGGTTTGGGGATCCAAAGACCTTCATTATTAGAGGTATCACTTAACATTTAGTTTCGTTGATTTTCACTATGCTGAGACCGAGATCTGACAATTCATCATAGGCCAGACATGCCTTATTGCAGAGACTGCTACAAAAACGGTGACACAGCAAAACGCGGATGGAACATGGACGTTTCTGGTTCCTCGACCTCTAAATGGTGGGACCGTCGTCGGTGGTACAAAGGAGGTAGGTGACTGGAACCCTACAGCTTCTATAGCGGTCAGAGAGGAACTTCTACGCAATGCTGCAAAGATGTATCCTGGCATTGTCAACTCCAAGGGAGGCTTTGATGTCATCAAAGACATTGTTGGCCGGCGTCCTGCACGAGAAGGAGGAATGCGCTTGGAAGTCGAAACCCTCCCCGATAACAGACCGGTCGTCCATGCTTATGGAATCGGCGGCAGAGGTTTCGAGACCAGCTGGGGTATAGCTGAGGATGTTCAACGCATGGTGACGGAGACTCTTCGAAAACGGCTGTTAGCCAGCCGTCTCTGAGTCACTTATTGTTGGCAATATGTCTCCCTGAAATGGATGCTACACATAATTATAATCTCCATGCAACCGTCCCTAGAAAAGACGAGATGTGTAGAGGTGGGAACGTCAAGGCTTCTTTCTGACTTACTGAACCAAAAAGTAACAATAAATTAATTAGTTGACATCACGAACAGTATCAAAAAGAAATCCTAGCATGTCTTGGTTTCGATCCAAGGTCCTCCGGGTTATGAGCCCGGCGCGCTTCCGCTGCGCCAACATGCTTAATTGATGTGATAAACCAGCAATAAAAGGCATATAAGTGGAATGAGAAGGGCTTTATCGGAGTTAAGGGCGATATTATTGGAAGAACATGCGCTCTCACTCTCTCTCATCCCCCCCCCCCCCTTTTTTTTTTTTTTTTTTTTTTGCCTGCTTTGTTGATGCTGGTTGGCGAGTGGAGACGGTCGTGTGAGTCATAGCAAGATTTTGCACTTGGCCACATCTCAAAGGCTAAAAGTTGGACCACTCTTTTCCGTTGTTAGCTTGTTAGCTTTATAAAGGAGCATCCGACAATAAACCGGGCATAATGTCGACTTCATGTTAGGGAACGAAGGTGCGTGCTATTATACTGATGTCCCAGGTGTTGCTGATTGCATAGATCGAACTGATGCGGTGTTAAGGTTTCTTCTACAGAGAGTAGCCATGCTATACGTAGTCTACACTAGATATCAATGCACAAACGGATGTGAGACTAACCTGAGACCAAAACATGGTACCTATCGGGTTCTCACCGCTCAATCTGGGGAAGGAGAAGGCCTTGCAGAGTGCTGTTTCATGGGAGGCGACATTGAGGTCATACCTCACGACCAGTTAGACACTCGAGTAAGACAAACGAGAGGAACCACGTTGTTTGTAAAACAAGAATAGTGTCTTCGTGTCTTGATGCCTTGATATTTAGGTCAAATATTCAATAAACTGCGTGTGTTTGCAGATACCGAGCGCAAAGTGAATGTTAGTAAATACTTTCCATGTAGCAGGGTTTATCAAAGCCCTTTCGAGACAGCTTGCATGGCCAGGTACCAGTTTGTATCCGCGGGTGCGCGATAATATGCTGCCAGATCAGCTCTCGAAGTTCGGCTCTTGACAGAGCCAGCTCCAAATCGTGAGTGAGGTGACTCCATGACAGCAGGGAAAGAAAAATTAAGCAAAGAAGTTTTCTCCCCTGCCAAGCCATTAACTAGTCTTATCAGGAAGCTTGAATTTATCCTCAGCTCCAGCGCACATCAAAGCAGGGCGAGGGATGGTAAGTAACGGGGTGGAGAAACGGCTCGAAAGTAGCTCTGATAAGCAAGGCTAGGAAGAAGCAGGTAAAGCAAAGAGAGGACCCCGATAACCCGATGCATTGCACTACATCGGTTAGCACGGTCTGCATCATCGAACCCGACCGAAAGTGCAACACCCAGTTCCGGCCTATCGAAGGGCTGGGACAGAGAAACAATATCAGAAGACGTGATCCGAGGAATGTCTGATTGGGTAAGTGACTCCGGGTGCAGGATGGTTGACAATTGCATGCAGGAAGCACGGCCGAAACTTTCCTTTACGCGCAGGAAGAGCGCCTCCGGACCGTGTACGGAGTACATTTTCCACTTCATGCACAAGAAAAAAAAGGGTGTGGATGACATGTCAATGCAACTTACAGTCGACATCCGAATGCGTAGGCAAGGTACGGAGAGTAATTGGTCCCCTCGTTTGCGGCTGCATCACTGCATGACAGTCGGAAATTCCGGGACCAAGGGTCTTCGTCGATCAACAGCATATAAGGAGGGTAGGCGATCGAAGCGGCTTGTCCAGACTCTTTATTAGAAAGAAGTGCGCAAGAGCCTGACAGGTCCTAGCGTACCAGGTATTGCTCCGGATATATCAAGGTGGCTGTAAGAAGCAGGCAAGCTATTCCGATAGTCTGTCGCGATCCTTAATGCTAAGAAGCTAGTGGAGGCTGTTCGCAGGACCTCTGAGCCCAAATTTATTATTCTCGTAACCCGGAAGCCTGCATTTGATATTCCCGTCCCTAGCTAGGTATAGGTGATTTTCGCTAGAAACAGCCAGTCCCAGGATGCTGGGGGCCCCAGTGAGCTGCAGATGCATGTAATAGTTTCTTCCTCATAGTCGTCGCAAGGCAAGCGGAAGCAAAAGAGAGGAAAGGGAGAGAAAAAGCAAAGCAGGAGCTGCGAATACACGGAGGACGTGTTGGAGGTGAAGAAGCTAAGTTAGCTAATTAAACACCCTCTCCTTCAGCTCCTTGGCCAGCGAAGCGCTTGACCTTCGAAAAAGCACCGGGGATTTTTGATGTTGATATCCGGATGTGGATGTGGGTACAGCAAGTCGCTGCCCTGGACTTGGAAATAGGTACTCCGTACGGAGTAGGCAATAATGATGATAATAAAACTGGACGGGCGGGCGGGCGGGAGGACCTGAGGCTGAAGCGGAGCGGAGAATCAAAGTTCCGGGCCGGCTTGGTACCTGCGTCCCGTCCGCTTTGGGCAACTTCAACTTCAACTTCATCTTATGAACAACATCGGCTTCGAGCTTTTCGAGCTTCGAGCCAGCGCGGACAACGCTCTGCTCAACAGCAGCCAGCAACGAGCAACCATCAGATGGACACACCGTCCGACGCTGATGAGCTATCCAACCGGGCTGCCGCGTTGGACAATGCCGACTTTTTCTGGCTCTGCGAGATAGTTCAGATTTTGGACCTGTCTGTATCACCACGCTTGGCCACAGGATCATCTGTTTTCCCTCGAACAAAGAACAAGCAAAAACGCTCGTGTTCCGCTTTGCATATGTTGTATTTCTTGTGTACTACCGGAAAGCCACAGACACTTCCTCACGTACTCCCATGGATTCCGATGTTGCTTGGACTTTCCTGGCCATCCAGCCGTGGAAAATTGAGAATCAGTCTCTTAGTTGGCTAAGAGCGACAATGGCAGGATGCATTGCATCTTGTCGATATTCTGTTTCTTTTATTTCTGTAGATCTCATTTGTTGACAGCAGCCATGATTCAGCCATTCCTATGTCGCTGAATCGAACCTTTGTCTCTTACCGCGCTGCCTCCAACTCCCCCCGCTTGCCTGATTCTTATTATTCCCTAAAAGCGTTGAAATAGCTATTTCTGAATTCTTATTTATGTACTACCGTTGGAGCCGTGCAGACTTCTGCACATGATTTGTCTACCGCTCATACATGACAATTAGGAGAGAAGAGAGGAGTAACAATAGTTATATATCACTTCCTGGAACCGGAGCCATCTCTCCCATCTTTGAACTGCAGAATACTGCATTTTCTTGTTCCCTTCTAGGCATACAGTCCATTGGAATCTCGTTCCTCGTGGGCTTCCCGATAAGTTTTTTTATTATTTTTATTATTTATTTTAATTTCAGTTTTCCAAACATCCTGCTGGCCGTTTGTTTGAAATTCTCCGTTGAGATATTCTCAAATCATTAAACCCTTTCACAGTGCTTTGACCCTCAACTGGTTCTCTTTTAAAACGAGTTCCAGGGCTGCTACCTTGCGAGTGTCAACATCGTGAGCCAGATTATTTATTCTAGCTGTCATTCGATCAAGCTGGTGTGTACGCTTTATTTTACTTACCCTCTTCATCCTTAACCGAGCCTGCCATACCCCCATACCATATTACTTGGCAACTGTCTATATTGGCAGTTTAGTATCATCTTGTTTCAACAAGGGTGGAATACAGCATTCTACCAGGCTTTTGCAGTTTGATGCCTGCTTATGAGGTGCCCGTTCGACTAGCGCGTTGGTATAGGAAGCGTGTTCCTTTGCCTTCACACTATACTTACCAGAGTCACGCGTGATGAGTGCAAGTTTGTGTTTACAACCACGAAAGATTTCCAGCTCCCAAATATTTGATTTACAACACCCTGACACAAGCTCCTCTATCACTCCTTCGCAACTACGCGACCCTGCTAACACCAGCTTTCCAGCTTGATGGAGGTCGACTCAGTGAGCCACCGCAGCCAGCGACCGAGGCCACCTTTTGGTGATGCACAGAACCGCGCAAATATGGCTCACCCTAACCTGCAACGGTCGCGTCATATTACACTCTCTCCATCTTTCGAGAAGCTTAACTTTGACGGGCCAGATTCAAAGCCTAATGAGATTATGGAAACCACGTTGACGCCCGTCGAAAATAAGCGAATATCAGCTATTGTCGAGGGCCAACCCAACTCAAACCGTAACTCTACGATCTCCACCGCCTCAACCACATCCACAAAGTCTCGACGCAAGACTCACATTGGGCCATGGCAGCTGGGGAGGACGCTTGGCAAAGGATCGACAGGACGGGTACGGCTTGCAAAGCATGCTGTAACTGGCCAATCTGCAGCCATCAAGATCGTCTCCAAGCGTTTTGCAGCCATGGTTCAAAGCCAGAGCATTATGGTTATGGATAAGGTATCGAGAACCCCAGGGCTCAACAAGGAGTCTAGAGCTATTCCCTATGGAATTGAAAGGGAGGTGGTTATTATGAAACTCATTCAGCATCCAAACGTAATTGGCCTCTTCGATGTATGGGAAAATAGAGGCGAACTGTAAGCTGATTTTTTTACCTACCCTCACATTTCTTTCTGTGACTAATTTTAGTTGTAAAGGTACCTTGTTCTCGAGTATGTGGAGGGAGGGGAGTTATTCGAATATATCTCTGAGCATGGACCGCTTCCTGAGATTGAAGCTGTGCGACTCTTCAGACAGATAATCTCGGCCGTGTCTTACTGTCATAGATTTAATATCTGCCACAGAGATCTCAAACCTGAAAATATCCTGCTTGACGGTTCATTCAACGTTAAGCTAGCTGACTTTGGAATGGCAGCCCTACAACCCGAAGGACACATGTTAAATACTTCATGTGGCAGCCCTCATTACGCCTCTCCCGAGATAATCTATGGAAAGCCATACCGTGGCGATAAAGCTGATATTTGGAGCTGTGGGATCATACTTTACGCTC